TGGTCCTGCTTTGAGCAGGGGGTTGGACTCGATGACCTCCTGAGGTCCCTTCCAACCCTGATATTCTATGATTCACTATTCAAAATCAAAATGGCACATATTAAATGGATAAAAAGCTGGCTTGCTCATAGATCTGAAAACAGTTGTTAATTCAGAGTTATCAACTAGTGGGGTCCTACAAGGATTGGTTGTTGGCCAAGTGCTGTTCAATACCTAATTATCTGGAAAAAAATATAAATAATACAAACTTATAGAGTTTGCAGGTGACACAAAGATTGGTGGGGTAGTTAAAAATAATTACTTGGACTGGTGAGTGACCTGGAGTTTTTGGTAAGCTCAGGGCAGTCAAGCAGTATGCATATTAATACAATCAAATGCAAGGCTTTACATCTAGGAACAAAGAATATAGGTCACACCACCTGATGGGTGACCTGATGGGGGCTGTATTCTGGAAAGTTATGACTCTGAAAAGAACTTATGAGTTATTGTAGGTAACTGACTGCATATGAACTTGCAGTGTGAGGCTGTAGTAAAATGGGCTAACACTATACTTGGAGAATATCTAGCAGGAATCAGGAGGTGATATTACCTCAGTGTGTGGTATTAATGAGACCATTACTGGAGTACTGTGTCCAGTTCTAGTGTCCACAGTTTTTAAAAGTGGAAAAACCAGAGAGGATTCAGAGAAGAGCTTGCAAAATGATTTGAGAAAAGTGCCTTAAAGTGAGAGACTTTTAAGGACCTGAGCCTATTTAACTTATTAGAGATTTAGCCATGGCTATAAATACCTCCACATGGAAAAGATATCTGATGGTTCTTTAATACCAGATAAAGGCATATCAAGAGCCAATGGCTTGAATTTGAAGATGGCAAAGTTCAAACTGGAAATAAGATGAAAAAAATGTAATGGCAAGTGTAGCTAACCATCAGAACAGCTCACCTAGCAATGTGGTGGATTCGCCATCACTTGTGGTATTTAAATCAGCCAATCAGATTTGTGTTTGTTTTTTTTAATGGAATTTGGGTTTTGTGATAAAAGCATGAATTTTGCCACAGTTTTAGGGCATGACCTAATAAAGGTTTTCAGATATGGGGTCATTGCCAACTCTTAAAATGTCTGCCAGAGCCAACATAACATTGTCATAATTGGCAAATAATATTGCTTTACAGTTGAACAAACAAGGGGTGTATTCTTGAGTTTGCTTCAACATGACCTTAAAATTGGTGGACACATTTTTTACTAATTTTGATTGTCATTGTGGTCTTAACAGAATTTAATCACATCTCCCTTTTTTCTTTCAGATGCTACCTTGGTTGTGTGAAAGGTGCTTGGTGATTGGATAATACTAACTTTACACGGTAGCTAAAAGATATTAGATTATTATTGGCTATTACTAGTGCTTCAAACATGTTAAAAAGATATACGCTTGCTCGAGAGCCAGCTCCATCACAAGAGACATCTCATGCCTCTACTGACTGTGGCAAGTATGTGTTATGCCAGAAAGAGACAGATGCAGAGTTGATTAATCCAGCAGAATCAAAAGGAGAGCATGCTGGAACTGGCTATCAAACTCTAGAAGAAAATACCAGATGTTTCCAAAAGCTGAATGCATTTCTTGTATGCATACACATATACAGATTAGATTATGCTGATGGTATTGAAAAAATACTTTGAACAAAACAAAATGGATGTTGGCACAAATCTTGCTACATGAAGTTTAACGGGACCAAATTTAAAAGGGCTGGGGGGGGGACTGAGAAAGCTGTGGATCAAACTGAAAAACTGAAGAGGAAATACACATGTTGAAGAGACCAACAGGAAAAAAAAAGGCATCCTTTGTGAAATAAACATACTCTCAGAAGACCTCCATGAAGTTTCTGCCCTTGGCATTGATAGTCGGGCTAGTTGCAAGTGTGTACTTCAGCTGCAAGATCAGCGCTTGTTTGCAAAACTAAGTGCAGCAGACTTAACGGCTCAAGAGGCAAAATATCATGCAACATGTGTCTCTCTGCAACAAAGTCAGGGAGAAGAAAACCAAGCAAAGCAACACAGAGAATATGTTGCATAGAATTGCCTTTGTTGAACTGATAGCATACTTTGAAGAGACAAGGCTGAATGAAGATGTGGCTGAAATCTTTAAATTAGCAGACCTCACAAGGTTCTGTAGAGCTAGTTTAGAACAGCTGGGGGTGACACTGGCTGGGCAGATTCACAGCTCTGAACTAAAATCCCATAGCCTTTCATGCATTGCAGATCTCTAAGCACACACACAAGTATATGATGTGCATCATGCCTTCAGCCAGAATATTGGACAACCACTCTGAAAAGCATGTGAGGAAGACTGTGACGAAGAAGCACTTCACCTGTCCCAAACAGCAAAAATTATTCAAAGGGACATGTTTCAAATGAAAACAGTTTACTGAATCATTCGACGTAGGATGCCAAGCAAAATCTGTGTCTGAGTGATTATTGGCACTGATGTCCATGATATTGGATGGTCCAAACATTTAAAACTCAGAACAAGTTTCCAATCATCCAGCTACCCTTTTTTTGGCACAACTAGTGCAGTACAACAGCAACATCCATTGCCACAAAGGAATAGAAACTCTGTACCACAACAAAGTGGTAGAGAGACAAAGTGGATGAGCTGATATTTTTTTTGGATCAACTTTTCTGTTGGTGAGAGAAACAAGGATTTGAGCTACACAAAGCTCTTCCTCAGGTCAGCTGTTGTCTCACCAACAGAAGTTGGTCCAGTAAAAGGTATTATCTTACCTACCTCATCTCTCTTAACCAGTCTACATTGGTTTTACACTTCATGCACAGCCATGAATAAGTCATCTAGTAGCTACCTTCTTTAAACTTGGATTGTCCATCTCCTAGATATCGGCCTCTTTTACCAGCATGGCAAATAGTGCATGTCAACACTTCAAGGATGAGAATGTAGTCTGTCCTCTAAAGCTTCATGATGGTCTGTTCACTACTTCTGCCACAGACAGCACAGTCCACAATCTAGGCTCCACCACAGCAAGAGGCTCCTCACACGGAACTGGGGGATATCACTTTTTTGAGCATCCCAGTACTCCAGTTGAGGCAATTGTCCATGGAATTCCCACCCCAGACTTTGAGACTGCAGCATCAGTGAAGAAGGTTATCTCATCACTTCCTGAGTCTCACACAGTTGTTCATTCATCTTAAAGAAACCCAATGCTTTCATCCCTGCCAAAAATGTTGAAATCAAGACTGAATGCCAACTGATTATCCAAGCCCTGCAAGAAGAGTGTAGGTGGCTTGAACAAATACGGCAAGCAGCAAATCTGGTTACCTTCAGTGGAGATCAAGACATTTCCTGGGCCACTTAGCATGCTAGCAAACAGTCAGTGCCAGAGTTCACCCCAGCCATCACTGCTCATCATCCCTGTTTTTCAGATGATTCCAAGTCAGTGGCAATGATTTGTCATGCTGTAGATGTGATAAGGAATGCTGTACACCACCTAAACACATGCCAAGTTCCAGTGATCATTGTGGATCAACCCCTTTTCACCATAACCATGCAGATGCAGTGGACCTGGTCTGTTGGGTATGAAGAGGACAAACCACTTCTCATTATTCAGGGTGGACTTTATCTGGAAATGGCAAATCTAAAGCTGATTGGAGATAGTAAATGGTCAGAAAGGCCATTCTTCAGGCCAAACTGGCCTCTCCAGGAATGGTTGACTCTTTCTTGAAAATCTCTCATGTCATACATAGTAGGCATGCCTCAAGTAACAGCCACTAACCTGTACATCTTGCTCCAAAACACACAGACCACAGTATACCTAAGGTCTCAGGAAAGATGAGGCCCCCATGAGGTATGATAAATGGTGTGACAAAAGCTAGAAAAGCCAATGTTCCACTTCTGGCATACCACACTTCATCTGGAGCTTCTTGTATTGATCTATGTTTTGTCAATCCACCTGTTGTTCAAGGTGGAGCCTGGCATGCACACAGGCTTGCTTGTGTACTGGTGGTGAGGACTGTTATAATCATCAAAGTGGCCAGTGTGAATCCATATGAGTCTGCTACTGCAGATGGTTCAGGTTTAGATATGTAGCATTCAGCAAATATGTTGAAAAAGGCTCGACACATGTATACTGTCATACTGCCCATTGCTGAGGAGTGTTAGTGTTTTGCTAACATGATGGTGTGCAATAGTATACCTGGCTTCTGTTATAATGAATACTTAAAATTTTTGTGTCAATGAATAATTATGCATTTATCAATACAAAGTACAAAGCTAACGCTCTTTAAGTAATTAATGAGCCATGTTAATTTGTGTCAGACCATTTGTACGGGTTGACTTTTTCTTTTAAAATAAAACAGTGATAATTTTTGTCAAAGACATCTTTTGCATTACTAAAATTTGTCTTAAAATAAATTAAACCCCATTTTATTGGTCATTTTTTCTTTCAAACTTAGCTTGACAACTTAAGTACATTTTTGTAGCCTTTTCACTTACACAAAAGGTTGTTTTGACATGGGTACAAAAATCTTGCATTGGAATACCTTGCTACCCCTTTACAACACCACATCCACCCTAGATAACTATCTAAGGAACACTTCTATTAAAATAACCTAGTTGTTGCTTTTTGTACAGGGGCTGCTTCATTGCCAAGAATTGACAGCCTGGGCCTCCAGATTATATATGCTAATGTCACTTATTTGTGAAGCTGTCTCTTGCTCCTGGACAGCATTGTTGGCTTCTAAGGAGGTAAGTGGCATTATTATCCCTCCCCATCAGCGATGTCATTTCCTGCAAGAGTTAGGGATCAATGACAGGGGCCCCTTCCTACTCCTGGGCAGCACCAGCCGTCATGGTTGGTGGTTGAACGGGTTTGGAATTTGGGGTGGGGGAGATAGGTCTTAATTCTGAGACAGTGGTTCCTGAACCATAGCTGTAAGGGTGGGTTCACGCCCTGCACGTGCTCTGCGAAGTCCGAATTCATCCCTATCTGGGTTTAAAGCTTCTTTGACTCTGTGCCTCAACAGCTTTTTCTTCCATTGCATACAAAAGGCAGCTGCCTCTGCTTCTTCTGAGTCAGGATCTGGCTTTCGCAAACCCTGTTTGAAGGAAGCAAAATAATTACCCACAATAATATACGTGGATAGACATGGGAGTTTAAAATTTCTTACAGTACAAAGGGGCCTAAACACACTACCTCTAGATGCCTACATGTGGGAACCAAATTAACTTTTGGTTAGCCTGACACCTCTCCTAGCCTAAACAATGGAACAGCTGGCACAGGACTGTCAATAAAGAGTTAAAGGATGGAAATATAATAAAAGCCAGTCTGTATGGTTTTATGGAAAAGAGGCACTTGACTTAGTACAGTGTGACATTCTGATTAACAAGCTGGTACTCTGCAAAATCATTGTCCATATTAAATAGATCAGAAGCAGGCTAAATGATAGATCTGAAAACACAGTTGTTAATGGGGAATCAGCTAGTGAGGCCCCCAGGGATTTATTCTTAGCCCAGTGCAATTCAGTATCTTCATCAATTCATTGGAAGAAATGAAAATCATTGCTGAAAATAATCGGTAGATGACTAAGATCTGTGGGCTGGTAAATAACGAAGACAGGTCACTGATACAGAGCAAGCTGGATTGCTTAGTAAATGGGGGGTAGCCAAGTAGCTGCATTTGTTTTAATGCAGCCAAATGCAAAGTCATAATCTTGGAACCAAAAATACTATGTCCTGGAAATCAGTGATTGAAGAGGGTTTACAGGTTATTGTAGAACATGCATTCCCAGCATGATGCTGTGGGGACAAAAGCCAGTGCGATCCTTGCACGTACAAATAGGGCAATATGTAGCAAGTGTAGAGAGGTGATACTGTCTCTTCATACTGCATTGGTGAGACTGTGTCCAGTTCTGTTCTCCACACTTTGTAAAAGTATAGTTATGAGCTGGGTAAAACCTTGTTGGTTAGGTTAAACCTCATTTAAATTGCTGGGTGTGAATGTGCCCTACATTTGAGATAGCTATAAGAGACAAGTTAAGTTCCTAAATAAGGCATAGTGGAGTCTACTCAGAAACTAGCAGCACCATGTTGGCAAGGTTCAACTGGGTATTGTTTTGGGGTGAGGGGGTTGGTTTTATTTGGGGGTGGGGGGGACAAGCTGGTGTGCAGACAACAAACAGACTCAGGGAAGGAAAGCCAAGCAGTAGCCTGTAAGCATGGTGTGGCCCTGGGAGAAGCTAGGGAGAGATCAGGGATGCTGGCTGAAAGAAGCTTTGGCCTGCAAGATAAGAAACTTTTAAATTTTGGTTCTTCCTGCATTTGGAAAAGCAGGACTATGTACTTCCTTGTCAATACACAATACTGCATCAAAGAATGTATCAGTCTCCATCATAAATTTCTACTGCCAACTGGAATGCCCCCAGGGCCCCAAAACGTTGATTAACCACTTGGGTTGACAAGGAGTAACAATGTGTTGGGAAAATGGAAAACAATTCAGAGAAGAGCTGCAAGAATGGATTTATGGTCTGGAAAAAGCACCTTATAATGAGAGACTAAAGGAACTCAATCCATTTAGTTTATCAAAGAGAGAGAGAGTCTATAAGCACCTAAATGGGAATGATTTCTGTTAGTAGAAGGCTCCTTAATCTAGTAGACCAAAGACTGGAAGTTGAAGTCAGCAAATTCAAACTGGAAACAAAATGCACATTTTTTAAGAGTGCCGATGATAACCATTGCCATTGAAACATTTTCCCTGGGGATGTGGTGGATTCGCTGTCACCTGGGGTCCTTATATCAAGGTGGATCTCTTTCTGGAAGATGCACTGTAGCTGAACCAGAAGTTACGAGTTTCTTGTGTTATACAGGTCAGGCTAGATATTCGCAATGGTCTCTTCTGGCCTTAATATTTACAACTTTTCAGAAATTATAGGTCGTATCAGCAGAGCCTGGTTGAAAGAGTGCCTGTTTTCTGAGCGTGCTCAGTTAAAGATTGCTCTATTCAATTATTTAAGGTATTTAGTTATTTCTTGTTGTCATCATTAGGAAGCCCTTGGGAGTTTTAATGGAAACTTAACTGAGCCAAGACAAAGCCTAAGAGACACTTCACCTGTCTCTAAAGCCCCAGCTGAAAATCTACTTCCACGGCAGTGTGTTTCTTTTGTCTATCTGCCTTTCTGTCCAAAATCAAAAGCTGAAGGCACTTTGATGAACTTACACGGCTTTGCCTTATAGATATGGCCCAGTACTTACTGGGCAGTCCTCATCTCAGAGGGCAACTTGGAATTTGTGACAGTGAAGGTCCATTATTTGGAGGGATGATTCAATACGGTAAATACAGGGCAGGAGCAAAGGTTGCAGATCCAGAAAGCAGTTGTCTCCATTATAAGAGACTTGACCACAATAGTCACGTTGTGTGAGCAATTCTAATTATGGGTTTGCAGAACACAACAAATCCAGGCTAAGGAACATTTATGGTTCCCCCAGGAAGACAGAACTCCAGTGCAATCAGCTGCCAGGGAATGTCTGTGCTACAATTGGTACCTGGTCACCTTTGAGAGGCAAACACAGATTCCAGATGGGATTTGCAGAGGCTCTTCAGGGAGTGAGTTAAGTGCCCAACTTCCAGTGAGATTTGGACACTGAACTCCCTTAAAATTCTCTGAAAGTTACAGCCTGAATTCAGAAGTGTTGGGGGTAAAAATGTGAATATATTTGAACTCACCTTCTGAAAGAATCTTGACCTATACCAGTGCACACTTACTTTGACGCACGCGGTCTCTGCTGCCTTCAGGGACTGTAGGACCACTTGAAACAGATTCTGTGCATTGTTCACCAATAGTTCAGCAGAGCACTTACTCCCTGCTGTTGCTGCTTTTACCCTTAAAATATTTAAAAATGTAAAGAGAAAGCATTACACAACTTGCTAAGTGACTATATACTGTCACTCTAGAGTCACGGCTGGCTGAGGGCTTCCTGGAACTAGGAAGGTCACAGAACAAGCTGATACGTGTGGAAGGAAAGTGTTCCAATACTGCTGGCCCTTGCTCATTAAACAATTTTGACCACAGAAGAGATTTTCAGCTTAAAAAAGGCATTGTAAGGAGAGCAAAAGAATAAAAGCAGGAGCAGTAGTAGCTAAAATGGACAAGTAGCAAACGCCATGTTGAAACCTGCTGTAGCCTGAATGCCCAACGATACTGCTGCCAGTGCCTAGTTACAGACCTTTCCCTCAGTCAGCCAGCGTGAGCTGGTCCAGCGGTGGTCATTCTGGCCGAAGGGGGACAAAGGAAACCTATTGCTGCTATTTGGACTTAGCCGGTGTGCTCAGAGTGTTGAGATGTGGGTGACATAAGCACTGAGACTGTGGCAAGGAGAAAGGGGGAGATGCCTCTGAGCTCTGTTTAACTAGCACAGAGAGCTATGCAGAGATATTCAGGACCCCAGAAAGCCACCAACAGCATGGCACTCATTGGTCAAGGAGCCCAAGGGACACAGGTGCCCAACTCACACTGGGTTTCAGGGTGTCAATAGAAAATTAACCGCAAGGAGCCAGAGAATCTCCAGGCAGACGCAGCATGGCTGGAAGCCTGAAAGTGCCAGAGGGGACATAAGTGCCTCCTAGCACAAGTAGCATTAGCTCTGGAGAAAGCTGTTCAAACATTAGCCCAACGCTTATTCTAGGCTCAGCTGAAGCCCAGAGGTGGCTCAGCATTGCCTGCCTGGGAGCAGGATCGGGCTCTCAGGCAGACAGAGTTTACCACTGGGCTATTTTAGAAGGGGAAAGATACAAGAGCGGAACCTTCTGCACAGCAGCAAATAACACTGCATGGGGGGTTCAGATGTGCAGCTCACGAGAGGCTCCCTATTGTCTGCTATAGGAGTCGTTTCTATAGACACACCTCATGCACATGCACTGATTTTAAAGGGACACTGCTGCGGACTGTGGACCCCACCATCCCCTGTGCTGAAAAGTGGAAGTCGGTGAGGAATCTTCATGAATAGAAATATGTAACTATTTTAAAATATCCGTAATTCAGAAACAAACTTCAAATAGGATACTTATAGTGATCTCAATGGGACTTTGGTTAAAATGCCTTCACTCTGCTGACTTGGCAGCGGCAGCCAGTAGCAGGGATCACCCTAACCAACGATGTGGGAACAAAAACCAGGGGATAAGTTGTTTTTCAGCTTGTAAGAAGATAAAACAAAGAGGAAAACTCTTAACGGCAGAAACAGTCTTCAGCCCAATAACTAAATGCCTACCACTGGCACCGTATGCAAATACGAACAAGAAAGATAGTTAGCAGTGTCCTTTAAAAATCCCTTTTTAAGAAGGAGTGAACACACACCAGATTTGAGAGAGAATATCCTTTGAACCTGTGGTTTACCTGGAAATAATTCTGAGCTGGTTGCTGATTGTTTGGATTTGCTCGGTGACACACAGCAGTTCAGTTGCACATCTTTCATCTAGGCAGTTCTTTGCAATCAGGTGGCCAAATCTGACAAACACTTGCCCATTGGAAGCCATTTGACTAGCACAGGCAATGAGCTGCTCTTTGGTCTAAAATTAAATCAAAAGAAGTCGGAAGGGATTGGGGGTGTTTGCTCTAAAACAGATGTAAAACCTACTGCTGCCTCATTAGCCCTAGCGCATGTTAGCACAACGGGACCTTTATCAGAGCCTGGCTGAGGACACTGACTGCCCAGCTGTGTCGGATTTGATGATGTCACATGCATGTATCAACGCCCAAGGGGGGCAAAGCTGGGCCTTCACAACAGGAACACCCACAAACTTCCCGATGCCCCTTATGTGAGGCCTGGGGTGGGGATATTAATGGACAAACAAACATCCTAAAGACACCTTGTGGGGATGGATGGTTCAGAGGCTGATGGAGAAAACAGGACAGGTTTAAAGTGCTTTCAACAGCCGAATTGCAGCCGCTGCAGCAGCAGGTCATGGCTCATTCCGCCACTTCTAACCTGCTCTGTGAAAGCTACATTGGGAACGGTTTGATATGCCAAACTCCGTCACAGAACAGAAATCGCAAATAGACTTTGGGCCCCAAACTGCAGCAGCCAGCAGGCCTGTGGGGAGAAGAGGGAGGGGAATAGTTCCGAGAGCCAATAAATCGATTGAAATAGCCGGGGAAAGGGGTTGAAGAATCTCCCTTGCCTTCCTCTTCTCCTTTTTGGAGGAAATTCTTTCCAGAGCATTGCAGATACACTCACACTAATGCTATTACACCTGTTTTAAATGAAACGGACATTGACTGAGTCTTCCCAGGGGGGCGGGTGTGCGCGCGCAGGGCACTAGTGGATTCTTGTGGCAGGAGTTAGTGTGTGTGCAGCCTTGTCATCATGATAACACCCCCTTTCTGACTTATTGAGGCATGGTCCTCTCTCCGCAATGTTGCTCAGACATTTGTGATGGCCACAAATGGGTGCTCGGGGGATTGAGCTGGCCCTGGTCACTGAGCAAAATATTTCCTCCCATCCTATAACAACACTGGCAATACCGTTATCGGTCCCTTCCTCTTTAGAAACCGTGCCATGTGAGACATCCCAGTGGCCATTTCCTTGGTGACTTGGGGCATTTTATTGCTGTCGTCCTGCCACTGTCCAGCATCCTCTGGCAGGGCAGCAGGAGCGGCTCCCTTACCCTGCTCGCTGCTAGTGGAATGGGAGTCGTTAGGAGAGTCACTCAGGAGCTGTGAAGACAGTGAAACAGATTCACCTCAAACAACCAACCTTCCCTTTTACCATCTCTGCATTACTGACGTCCATGGAAAAGTGCAGTCACGAAGAGGGTTGAGACAGTCTCTTTTTGACAGAAATACTTTTTTTAATATAGGAAATGGATAGGTTTTGGATTTTTACACACGCGTGTTCTTGGGATTGTTCCACAGGCTTATTCAGTGAGCCATTTCTACTAAGCAAAACAAACAGAAACATTGCCTAGATCCATCCCACCCAGTAAGCAAGCCTCAGTCCTTGCTTTCTACTGGACTGAGTCTACCTAGCCCAGGGGCATTGTTAAACCCATATGTCCCTTTAAACAATCTCCTCATATTATCCCCTGACTCGTTCCCCAAAGACCATCCTCATTGGAGCTGACATCTCTAGGACAGTTAGTTGTGAGCTAAAACAATTGTATCTTGTTTATCTTGAAATGTGTGAAGGCCTGCTGCAACTGAAAGCAATAGTTTTCAGAAGCCAAAAAGGCAACAGAACCTCCCACATGGTGCCTGACTAATGCATCATATTGGTTTCACTAGCAGCAAGGTGATCGGGTGGTTTAGAAGTACTACCGCGGCACCCAGGCCCCGTCCAATCCTCCCTCCTGCCCAAACAACTACAAACGCTCAGCAGGACACTTGGTGGAATATTGCAGTACAAGAGAAAATGAGAGTTGATTAGCAAGTTTAGGGGGTAGCAGATGTAACTGAAAGAAACCCTGCCACATAAAGAGCTGGGGAGAGAGTTCCCACAGCTGGGCAGGGATAGCCACGGGAATCCCACAGCTGTGCCCAGGTATCAGACTCTCCTTTTGTCGTATCTACAAAGGCTGAAGATTGGAAGATTTATGCAAATGACTTGATGTTCAAATTTACATGTTTTGCAGAAATGGCAGCAACCATCCTGCTTACCAGCATAGCAAGCTCCATGGTGCAGGATTCTCTGAGTACATTTATTTCACTGAAATTCAAACCGCTATTATTCAAACCATGCACAGCACCCAGCTGTCCTTTGTGAAGCCTAAAGGAAATCCTAGTCAGCTCTGCAAGACCTTCCGTATTCTTCAGAAACTGTACGTGGCCACAAGCTAATTCTAGATGCCCCTCCTGTCTTCCTGGGCAGGGATTTTAAAAGCAGCTGCTGGGAGTCAGACTCCCAGCCCCTGCTGACATTCAGTGCGACTCGTGCCTAACTCCCTAGCGCCCCCCCCCCCTTTTTTTCTTTTTACTTGACACAAGGAGGAAAATATACAAGTGGAGCTTCTGCTCTGGTAAATTCAGGCCCTCTCTTCCCCACTTCCCTCAAAGGAAAAAAAAGTCTGATCTGTACCACTGAGGTAGCCTCCAATTTCATTCTGCAAATCTGTATGTTCTCACTCTATGTTCTGTGCTCTCAGTAGCTCCAGTCACTAGGCATCCCCTGTGCAATTCAAAAGATCTAGCTATTTCAGCTGGAGAAGAACATGCTAGCCACTCACTAAAGGCAGGTCTACATTACCGCTTAAGTTGATCTAACTTACGTCGCTCAGGGGTGTGGAAAAGACACCTTCTGAGCAACACAAGTTACAGCAACCTAAGTGCTGTCCACACCAGTGCTGTTGGTGGGAGAGTGTCTTCACCAGATGTACAGCTGCACCGATGTCGCGCTTTTAGGGTAGACTTGCCCTAAGTGCACCAGCCTTGGCAGTGAATGCTGAAGTACGTATTTTGCTAATTGCAATTATCTCCGTTTCAGGAAAAAGGTCTGCAAAATGTTTACATTGTGCCTAACCTCTCAGAGCTAGCTGGAAATACTGACCGATGACTAGTGCTGATACCTTTTGTATTTGGTTTATTTTAAATGTACTCACCCATCAAAAGTGACCGCTATAAAATCTGGTTTCCAGTGAACTCCAGCTTCCAGCACAGCTTTGCAGCAGAGTTAAGTAAGGCACAAGGCAATCAGCCGGTTTGCCTCGTTAACCCAGCGACTGTGGTTCTACTGCATCTAGGTAATCGTGAGCCCTGCCACAGGGGACACTCACTGCATGTGGTTCTGCGGCTCGTAGGATATGGAGGCAACATGGGCAGTGAGCAAGGGAGGAAGATGGTTCTGTGCAGCCACAACTCTAAGCCCTTTTGCATAATTTGATTTAAAAAAACCTAAAGCAATCTGAAATGATCAAGACATGGGACTGTTGGACAAGCAATGAAATGCAGTTAGCAGGGTTTAGAGATTACACAGTTTAGCATTAAATAGCTAAGATCTACTATACCATGATTTCAAATGCATCCCTGGCAGCTAAGCCTTTCGATTCACTCATGGTAGGCCAGGGGTCTGCTGAAGTGGCTTGGTGTGTGTGATTCTGGTATTTGGTGCTGGGTATCTTGGCGGGGGAGAGCTCTGTTTTGCCATGACATTGGTTTGCAACAGCATGTGACTTGCTGTTTTGTAAACACTGCTTAACGAGCTCCAAGGCGGCCTTATCAATGTCCTTCACTGATTGAAGCTGCGTCACCACATAGTGAGCGTTGGCAGACCACTCCCATGCAATGTAGTCTAGCTGGACCAGCTCCTTGTCCTGATGGCTTTGAAGCTGCTCACCAGCTCTTCCTAGCAGCTCAGCAGTAAGGAGGAGAAGGTGGTCTGTCAGGGAGAGCAGGCTTTCCCGCATTTTTAGATGAGCTGTGTTCTCCAAAGTGTCTTCTATGATGGTTTTGACCAGCTGGACATTTGCCATTATCTGACCTGCCTGTTTAAGCATCCCTCTATCACCTCCCTGGGCACGCGCAGGAGGCCAGGCCAGTCTGAGGATGTTTTGGATGACCCTTGTGTACTCCTGATTGGTACTGGTCAGGAGGAGCAGAAGTGCTTTCACTCTAACAGCAAGCTCTCGTTGGAGCAGCTCAGCACGAATGGACAAGTTTGTAGCAGGCACTGGGGAGACAGACAGAACATCCGCCACTTGCAGGAGAGCTTCAGTTAGTACCTTTACCTCCTCCCGGAGCGCTAGGATGTCACACTGCACACTGCGTTCAGCACAGGCGAGATAGGACAGTCGGGCTGCCTCCTGTATTCTCAAAGAGCTCTCGGATACAGCTGCCAGGACATCCTGCAAGCAAAGCTTGTGCTTCATTGTATTCCTTAATTCACCTAAGAACAAAACATCTCGTCCTATGAGCTGATCCACAGCACTCAGGAGCACCTGTATGCTGACAGACCAGAGAAGGCAGATCCCCTCGAGATGGTCCTGGTGAGAATGGAAGCAATCAGAAGACAAGGCCTTTTCAAGTAAATGCTTTGTATTAGTCTGAGCACCTGTGAATTTTGCTTGGACCCGTATAAACCTTTCCTGAATCTTAGGAACTATCGTGAGCTCCTCTTCACAATCTGTATGTGCAACATCAGCCGCTAGCTGGACAACTCTTGCTAAAGTCTGCATTATCTCATCCAAAGTTTGTTTGCTCTTCAGAAAGTCAGCTGGAGCTACTGTGCAGAATAACTGCTGGACTAGACTGTACCAAGAGCCTGCCACAGCCACCAGGCATTGGTTAGTTTCACAAATCTTCTCCGATAACAAAACAGCTGTTGGAAGAAGTCTATCTGCTCTGGAAACTGGGTTTGGACCTATCTCCCTAGCTAAGCTAATAATAGATGGTGTTAATAGAACTATCTTTCTGTAGTGGGTCAGCTTTTCCAGCAGTGGTGACTTGACAATTGGTAAGGCTTCCTGAGCTGCATCTACACAACAGTTGGAAAGTTCAAGTAAACCAAAGCAAGCAGTGTTTACAGCAGTAATGTCATGTTTCTTTGTTGCAGTGATGAGTTCATTGATCACAGGATGTACATCCACTCTTCCCGGGTGTAAGTTACCTGCTCTTGGAAGCTTCTCAAGAGGAGAGGTGGCTGATGGAAGCCGTTCGCTTAAAAATTCTTCCACTAATTCGGTATTGTCAGTAGTGCTTTGTTTTATGTCATCTGGTGGTCTGAGCTCTATATGGTCCTGGGCTGAAAAGTATCCCAGCTCTTTTGGAATGTCAAGGCTCCGAATTTGTTCCCGAAGTGGACTAAGAATATCTGGATGGTTAGACTCATGCAGCCCCTCTCTGACATTTCGAGTGGAGTCCATCAGATGCTTTACTCTCTTTGAAAATGCATTTCTAGATTGTAGAAAAGAGATGCCTCCTAAACAGTGGCTAGTAGCAGTTTTCACTTCCAGAATGGAGATTTCCAATTGCTTAACTAAAACTAACAAACCGTTCTTGAAAATAGGATCTCTGACTTTATCCACAAATCTGTTAGTAACTTGGATCACGCGAGCCGCTCGGCTGGTCATATGAGTGGCATGCCATGAAAATCTTCCAGAGTTCTGACTCTCTAGTTCTTGTTCACAACACTCTCTGTGATCGGCCATTTCCTGAATAGACAGATCAAGGAATTCAGGCAAGTTGATTGTTTCGTCAACACATGCTAACAAGCTTTCTGTTGTCCAAGCCCATCTTTGATAGAAGGTTTGTAGTTGTTCCTGGATGTGAATCTTATTAGGATCTTTGCTCATTTCCGTAAGGAGTAGAGGCATCGTGGCAAGGAGTCTATTTAAACAGTCTACACGATCTTCAATTTCTTTAATGATTTTGATCTTGGTGCAGCTGGCCAGAACAAAATTTGCCACTTTGAGCATCTGATGAGCATGACCGAAGAAGGCAGTAATAAGAGGCTGAAGTTTTCTTAGAAATCCATCCTCTCCTGCAGGAGAATATTGCCCAGTAGTAGGTTCCAGTGCAGCCTCCATTAACCTTCTCAGGGGTTCGTTAATGTCTGTGAAAGTGTCCAGAATCTGACACAAAACAGCAGTGAGCACTGTTTGATCAAGAATCTCCACCTCAACTCTCATCGCATGACGTTTCTCTTCTAGGTTGCATTCTAGTTGGCTTTGTACTGGCAATTCCTCCATTATGCTTCCATGGTTGGAAATGCTTTTCCTGAGCATTAGGAGATGATGGCAGTGCTTTATCAACTGCAACTTAATACTTGGCCTGGATGAGTTAGCTAAAAGCATGCAGTGGAAGACCAGTGTTTCCACAAGAAAACTGAATTCGCCCTCAGCTAGGTGAGCAGGGTTTGTGTTGGACAGGAGGCCCAGCAGCTGGCTCACGTGCTGGGAAAAGAGTCCATTTCTCTCCAGTAGTTCCTTGTTTCTGGTGGTGTTTGTCAGTAAGGAAATCAGTTCCTTTATGGTGCTATCCATCAGATTGAAAATGTAGTTTTTGGAACCATTCACATGCTGGTCCTGGGGGTGCTTCAGGTGACTGTGTTTTGCAGCATGCAACATCGGGACACACTTCCTAAGGATCTGCAGCGTCTGGGCCAAATACTCCTGAGGAGGAGAATCTCTGAGCTCTTGGATGCGTCTTTCTGTCAAATTGTTCAGCAGGAGCAAGGACTCTGAAAAGTCACGGAAAGCAGCCAGCAGAGTTGGTACGTCTCCTGCGAACTCAAGTGTGGTCAGGCAATCCCGAAGCCAATGAGCAGCCTGGATAATCCTCATCACTACAGCATCATCTTCAAGCTGGAGGATCTAGTTGATAAATCAGAACAAAGGTCACAAAAAAGGAACCACTGAACATTTCCCAAGACCTGTGTTGTTCTTTTTGCTAGGAACATACTTGTCATTTTCAACTTGTTGGCTTTGTTTTTAAAATGTCTGTGTGCATTGACAACATCTGTCATGGGGAATTTGAAAATAAAAGTTCTGCTGGTGAGCGATACCGGATCGATCGTGCTGAAACCCGAGGGTACAGAATTCTCATGACATTACGAAAAACACCCACAGAGTATCTCAGCACTTCATGAGCAGTGATGGTCACAGCTTCTCCACGCTATTGAAAGCGAGGGGAGTGTTACTAACCGCATTTTACACATGAGGAAATTGGGGCACAGAGAGGTTAAGTGACTTGTCCAAGGTCACACCAGATATCTCCTAACTCCCAGAGTCATGCCTGAACCACGACCCCAAACTACTTCTCTTCCTTGGCTTTTATACCTCTTTATCCAGAGAGACGTGGAGCAAAGTTCTCTTATTTTCAGTTGGTTTGGGGAAAAAAGGTTAAAAGCAATGAGATGATTCAAACTGTATTACTGCTCATAGGGTGGCCCTAAACCCCCAAGCAACTGGGCACCAAATTTTGCTCTTAGTTCTGGCTGGGGGCGGGGTACAGCGTAGCTGAGGGGCTAGCACACTGGATCAAGACCTATCCCTGACCTGCTGTGGAACCGTGGGCGAATCACTTCACCTCATTGGCTCAGCTGTAGAATGGAGGTACCAACACGGGCCTTCTTTTGTAGAGTGCTCTGAGGTTTGCAGATGAAAAGGACGATATAAAAGCTACACCATACTTTGTGTGTGGCAAGTCAGAGCCCCGTTGTGCTGCACACTCATGTAACAGGACAGTCCCACCTCCAAAGAGCTTGTAATTTAAGGGCTTGTCTACACTGAGGCTTAGAGCGTGGCCAGCGGGGCGGTACATCTAGAGTGCACTAGACTGCCATGCTCCACACACTAAAAATTCTGTCATAAGCACCATTGCAGAACTTCTGGTGCACAGTAGTGGAATCCACACAGCCAGTTAATGTACTGGAGCTTCACTCTGCACCCTTTGCCACACACTCACTCTGTGTAGACAAGCTCTCAGTATCCACCTGTAACGTGGGGGTACTAGCAGTGCCTTGCCTCCCAAGAGCACGTGAGGCTATCTTTATTTATTATTTCTCCGACGCTTGCCAATTTTGACTGGACATATTCCTGGAGGTTTCATCACACCACATAATCTTTAATTCCTGGAGACTCCAAGCCAATCCTGGAGGTTTGGCAACCCTACCGACGCTCCTGGGTGGGCAGGGAAAACTTGTCCAGCAGCTGATCTTTATTCCCCACCATGACCTCGTCCTCCACACACTCCCCACTCTGGGAAACAGGGGCCTAGGGAATTAGCCACTGTGCAGATCTCCTCCCCTGAGAAGGCAGAACTGCTGGGAGGGAATGAAGAGTTACTGGAGGAGGAGTTACAGCAAATAACACAGCTGCATTACACTCACCTTTACAGTCTCCATTAAGACTCTCTCTGCTGAATCAATCAGTTCCTTCTGATGACTCTGAACATCTGGCTGAATATGAAGTTTCTGGGCCACCAGTAAGATGCTCTTCCCAGATGTGAGGAGCGATTCGGCAGCAGGCAGCATCTCCCCAGCCAGCAGCTCATCGTTGTACTCATGAGCCACTCTGGCGGAAGAATGCTGATCTCAGGTACACAAGGTCACACGCACGCCTTTAGTGAAACGCATCACCGTAAGCCAGCACCAGCATGGGTCTGGGAATGCTGACTCTAGGGAGGAGCCAGACGACCTGAACAGGCACAGGATACAACCAGCTCCTAAATGAACAGAACTCCGTGGAGGGTAAGCAGATGTAGATCAGGGAAGGAGGGGGCGGGGTTGTGCTTTCCCTTAATTAAATGTTCTGGTTTTTAAACAGCAGCCGCATGTAAGACGGTCACATGAGTGTGTGGTTGCGGGTAGAATGGATCTTCTGCCCAATCCGAGTAAGAGGGGAACCCCCCCCCCACTTGCCTGCACCCCATCCCATACTAACTCTATTACTCTGGCCTCCACTATGTGGTCAAACAACCATGAAGGTATCTCTGGGGCTAGTAAAGGAGGGGCCTGAAATTACAGCTGTACTGCAGGAGAGGAGTTAAAAATCAGAGACATCTTCCAGAAAAGCAACAGACTAGAGTTAAGCAACAGTATGGACACAGATAAAAATTAAAACCTATAACACCTGTATCCCAGTGTGTGAGGCACTTTAAATCAAAACGAAGGGAACCAGAATGCGTGGAACAGACGGATAAATTAAAAAGCAACAAGAGAAATGTGGTCTATAGGTGTCCCTGCCTGCTCCATCTATAATACATGTATGTACACACACACACACACACAAATTAATTTTGCCCTCTTTAAAACTCAGCGTTACCTTCTTGCAACATAAGCAAGTTCTTGGGTAGCTTTGGCTAATTCTTCAGCAGCTTTTTCTAAATCAGCGAGGCGCTCGTTATTCACCCCTTCCCACTCAGCTGCGATCATTAAATGACAAAGTTGAGCTGCCATGGGTGAAATAATTCTCTCAATGGTTTTGTTGGAGGTTACAGCCCTGATGTCATACAGATAAAAAGGCTCCATGGCTTCTCGGCTACACACAGGAGACAGACAATTCAAGATTTATCTCTACAATACAGTAATATTAACTAAGAACAGATACTATTGTATTGTATTGTACTATTTCCCCTTGATCAGTTTTCACTTTCTTGTGCTGTTGCACTTCCTACTCACAGACAAGTCTAGAAGCAGAAAAGATCAAACATTTCACAGCTGCTCCTGCAGTCTGACCAGCCTGACCTGACACAAGCACGCCAAAAAGCTTGTGGGGAAAACCCTAGCTAGGCTCAGAAGAGCTCCAGCTTAATTCTGCAGCCTCAGGTTTCCACTCCACCTAATCTTCTCATCACAAACCACGCAAATCATGCTAGTGCATAGCAGTGAAATGCTCCAGCAAGTGGCTAAAGTTAGAGTTTGCACTAAGACCCTTACAATTAGCTAAGATAAATGGGGGAAATATTCATCAGCTGCCTGTCTCATGGTTTCAGACCACCTCAAACTCACCTCCAAAACTGTACTCACTAATTTTGCATACACTGGTTGCACACAGGCAAGCATTTGCACATGACAGTTCAGATGTTCATCTACCCAATCTGTATGTGCAAAGGTTAGTTTTGAATGCAGCTGTAGGTGATCATTTTAAAAATCTGACTCTTGGAGTCAGTTACAATTATTTTATTTCTATTGAATCTTCTATTTTAAATAGAGAATATTCAGAATCAACCCTTTCCCTTTTTTAAAAAAAATAACAGTACTACATGTGCCTTAAATAACTGAATAGCAAAGTGAAATTTACAGGGGATTAGAAATGTCATTTTTAAAATAAATGTTGTGGAGAATGAGCTTGTTACCTCTGCCCAGTGCAGACTCTCAGGTTGATGATCGTGCATAATACACGAAACCAGCTTGAGTGACAATCAAGTTAATCAATAAAAAAAAACAAGTGTTTTATTCTAGTAACACCATTACAGTGGCGATGGACAGTCTTTGATAGTGATCTACCAGGTACTATACCGTTAAAATGTTTTTAATACAGCTTAGTGCAATTTTACTTTGCTTATCTCAGGTGATCTTATCATTTGAACAGCTTTCCGCTGTAAATTATAAATACAAAAAAGCTATGATAATCGCAAGAACCACATCAAGAACAATACCCACCTGAAAGCACTCTCTACAATCAACGGTAAAGGTTACTAGACACCTGTGAGACCTTATTATTAGCCAGCCACACAACTCCTAACACATAATTGACAGAAAATCTTCAATGTCATTTTACCTTGTGGTGAAATGTTTCCACTGGTTTTCCAACTGCAGGTTAATTAAGATAATAAGCTCAAATTCAATACATGGTGTATGCTTGTTTACAAGTAACAAGAAGCTCGCATTACTCTGTGGTCTCATAGCTACGGGCAGTCAGCTGATGGAGGTGCTGACATCAGAGGCAGTAGTGTTAACTAGCCCTCCTATCGATTTTAAGCACGGAGCTAGTAGAAACTCCACAGCCCCCTGCAATGAGCACAGCACTGGCCAGAGAGCTGCTATGGTGGGGAATATCTCGTGTTCTAATTTCACTCCCCTCCTCTCCATGAGAGAACCATGTTTCTAAATGCAGGGGGAACAATGCCCCCGTTTCTAAATTCAACCCAATTCCTATTGTAGCTGACATGAAAAATGAAGCAGGCAGCTGTTCAGCAACGGGGACGCTCCCGATAGCCACTGGTTGTGGCCAGATTGGGCCTGGCCCTGATGCAGACTTGCCAGGGAATAAGCCTCCCCGCAGTAAACACCCACCCTCCTAGCACATGGGGGGAGAGCTCCCCTGACTTTGGTTCCAGAGACGGGGGGAGCTCAGGGGCTGTGTACCTGCTTTTATCCCACCCAGCTAGGTGGAGAGGATGGGGCAGTGAGGCTGAGCAGCGCTGGCAGCACCAGAGACGGGTGCTGTAGAGGGTGGTGTGGGAGATCAGAGACCTGCTGCAAGGGAACAAGAGAGAGCCACAAAGATCCCAGTGAAAGAAAGTGCGTGGAGCAGCAGGGAGGGGCTGAGCTGTGGGAGCCCAGTAACCCCCCTACTGTGCTGCTCTGAGACCAGCCATGCAGGGAGCTGTCACTAGCCCCAGCCTGGGGGAATTCGTGCCAGCCCATGTCCAGGGAGGAGGTGGAGAGCCCTGAGGGGTGATGGCTGCCTGTCTGCCAAAGCGTTCCCAGGCCAGTCCTGAGGACAAAGCCCTGTCTGAGCTGTGCACAACCCCAGACTAGGCCACCCCACCTCACAGCAGCCAGTGGAGGGCTGAACTCAGACAAGGCCAGGGGTTATTCTTTTCTCTTTCCTTTTCAGTTGACCCTTGACTACAGGCAGCTGAGAGGCCCATTTCCCTCCATTCCCCCTGCCATACTCAACTGGTACATTCACGCACTTGGGAGATGGGTCTTCATTCTCTAAAGCCTCTTGGGAAACAACATCCAGTGGCCTTTTGAACCAGGGCCTCTGTTGTAGGGGAAGATTTGGGGCTTGTATAAAAAGGTGGGGGGGGGGGAGGATGTGGACACGGCTGGGATAAATGTGTGTGGCACTCTGACACCATCACTCAGCGGGCAGGGCAGTATCCTAATCACACCCGCTGTCTGGGGCTATCAAACAGAAGAGCCTGGCTTCACCGCCCCCAAGAAGCAACTATTTAGAGTGGGGGTTTGTATGTATACGTAGCAAGGAAATAGGTCCGTATATTTTCAAACCTTTCAACTGTTCAGCATATTTCAAAACCTTCTCACAAGTTTTCAGGCTGTTCCTGAGAGAGAGAAATCGGTTTGGTTTGGTGTTGTGTGTGTGCCTTTTTTAACAGTGTAACTCAAGATGCAGCTTGGACCCTGGTTAGGGATATGTTAATTGTTTCTGACTCTATCTAATGTGGGTGGGGGAGCACTCTACCTCAGAGACGGATCTGATACGGGCAAGAGCAGCAGCTGGGGAGGAGTACTGGGACAAGGGCCCATGGCAATTTGGAAGCTCCTTCACCCTTGTCTCCAGGTGAATCTTACCCTGGGTATCCCATACCCTTCTCTCCCTCAGAAGCAGCCTTGCTCGTAGAGCAGAGTGGGAGTTTGGAAAACCCAAGTATCTGGTAGGTATTTGCCCAGCCCTTTCCCAGTTCTCTCTCTCTAACCTTTCTGAGCAGGACTATCAGGTGCGCAACTATTCCTTAATCACTCATGTCTTTTGTAGTCCATCTCACAGTGGGATTTCGTTTGCAGGTGGCCAGGAAACCCTGCGAGGGGGAGAGCTTTATGCTTACAGCTGAGTGGAAAGTGTGGGGCACAGCCAGTGGCCGTGCTACAGTTGAAGCCGCATTTATTTTTAGGGTTTCTTCCCATTTTTGGATGCCTGAACTGCCCCGGGCCGGCGGGCGGCGAGCACGCTGGGTAGGAGGAACACCAGGCGCCAGTCTCGGGGCGGGTCGCTCCCAGGGTAACTGGAGCGCTCCCCAGGACGGGCCGCGGGCGGAGCGAGGCGTCCCGCCACTTTCAGCGCGGCCGCAACCCGCCGGCGGCAGCGCGGGGCGAGGCAGGACCGAGAGGCCGGACCCGAGCCCCGGGGCGTCTCCTAGCCAGGGGCGGGCGAGGGCACTGACGGCTCCCCGGCCGGGCAGGCCAGCGCCGCGGCGGGAGGCCTTCGGGGGCTCGCTGGGGGCGGCGCCCCGCGGGTTCTCCGGCCGCTGTCCCGGGCCTGGCTGGGAGCCCGGCTTCCTCCGGCCTCCCCCGCACGTCTCCGAGCAGCGGGGCCCGAGTCCTCTCCGCGCCCGGCCCGGCCCGGCCCGGCGCTTACCACGGGGCTCCGCCGGGTCCCCCCCGCTGCGGCCTCGCGCCCGGGGGAGCTGGGGCCGGTCCCGCGGGGGGGGGGCGTGGAGAACCGGCGGCTCCCCACCCACAAGCGTCACTTCCGGCCGCGCGGCCTGGAGGAAACCCTTCCGGATCCGGGGGCCCGGCTCGCGGCCGCAGCGCGCGCGCGGGGCCGGTCGGGTCACGCGCCGCAGCGACCCCCCCCCCCCCCCCCCCACAGCGCGCGCGCTGCCGACGTGCCCCGCCAACTGGGCCCGGCCGGCAGCTGAGTGGCAGCGCCCCCCCCCCCACCGCACCTTGTGCAGCGCCGAGCACAGCCGGAGCCTGCGGGCGCCGCCACCCCCACTTCACACCCCCGCCCCTCAGCGTCCCCCCGCGGCTGCTGCCGGGCCTGGGGGCCGGCGGGGGCGTCCCCCCGCGGGGAGCGCGGCCCCGGGCTGGGCGCTGGTCCCCCCGAAACTCGCCCCTCGGGGCTCCGGCCCGCCCCCGGGCCCGCGAGCTGCGCCGCCAAGCGCGGGGGCGGAGCTCGCCAGGGGCATGGCCGGGCTCGCTGCTCCCGTGCCGCTCCCTTGCCCGTGAGCCGGGCGGGGGCGGGAAGGTCCCGGGGCGGGCCTGGCTCTGCCTGATCCCGGGGACCAGGGAGGCGGCGCTGGCGGGTTCGGGGAGCGCCCCAGGCTCTGCCCGGCGGCGGCTGGCCCACGTCCACCGCCGCAGAAGGGAGCTCGCCGGCGGCTGGGGCAGGCCCGTGCTCCCCTATGGGCTTGCGTGGGGATCCATGTTTTGATCTTCCCGAGCGGATTGTAACCCTGAGCCTGGAGGCGTCTGGCCGAGAGGCATGCCTTGCGGCGCCGCTGTCCTCCTCTGAGTCCTGCGGCTTGGGCGGTGGCCGGGGTCGAGGAGACCCGCTCTAGTTCGCTGCAAACCGCGCTGCCTCCCGGCTCGGGCCTGAGGCCGCTCGTGTCGCGTGGAACGATGTACACCTTCGTGGCACGAGATGAAAACAGCAGCATCTATGCTGAGGTGTCCAAAATACTCCTGTCCACCGGCCAGTGGAAGAGGCTGAAAAGAGACAACCCCAGATTTAACCTGATGCTGGGGGAGAGGAACAGGCTGCCCTTCGGGAGACTGGGTAAGAGGAAGAGCGGCACTGGCAGGGCAAGGCCAATGAACAGCCCACCAAGACAGCTGGTTTTTATCGGCCAGTGTTCAATGCAACATGCTAATGCTTGTTTGTGTGGAGGGGGCCAGAACCTGTGCTTTTTATTGTCTAATCACTAGTGCGAAGTAATTTGTTTCCATTACGGGGTGTTCTCTGATGTTTCTGGGGATGTACGTTTATGTGCTTTTGCATACTGGGAAATGTAAACTAATATGTGACTAGCGTGTGCTGCAGAGTGTAGCTTTGGGTGTTGTCTGCTGCAACAGGGGAGGGACTTGGCCATTGGCATGGCAGCGGCAGGAGCAGGGGGGTCGTCTTCGGGAAGTACAACAGCATAGCTGAAGAGATATTATGGTGGTGGGTCTTATTTTTAAAGTTAGCCTTCGTTAAAATATAGCATTTTTATGACCTAAAGGTTAACTTACCCAATTGTAGAAAGAAAAGGAGGACTTGTGGCACCTTAGAGACTAACCAATTTATTTGAGCATGGGCATACATCAGCTCACTTCGTCGGATGCATACAGTATGCATCCGATGAAGTGAGCTGTAGCTCACGAAAGCTCATGCTCAAATAAATTGGTTAGTCTCTAAAGTGCCACAAGTCCTCCTTTTCTTTTTGCGAATACAGACTAACACGGCTGTTACTCTGAAACCAATTGTAGAAATTAGTTATTTGGGGCTGTATTAACGTTTTTGGTCACATCGATGTTGCATTAAACATTTTAGTTTTTACGGTTCTGTTCCATTATACTGTGGAATCTTAGAGGAATTTTAGAACTGCTGTCTGCTTATAGCAGTACCTTATGTTAGAAAACAGGAACGAAAGAATGCTTCAAATCAGAGACCTCAGCAACATGATGCTATATTATGAGATAGCTGCAATTTTCAGCTGGAGACGAGTATTTTAAATTCAACCAGTATTTTAAATTAAAATTGCTATTTGAAATATTACCTAGTCTGATATGGAAGCAAGGCCAACTAGCTCTTACAAAATGTAACCCCCCTTTCTTGAATGATTTCAGGGGGCCCCTTGCCCCAGCCCCCAAAGTGTGAAAGGGTGGAGACCCTCACTCTGCTTTTATCTTTAATCCCCACATGTTCCCTTCTCCAGGAAGCCCTCTGACCCTTAAAGAAATAGCTAACATTTCTTTATCTTGAGGTGTTTTTCACCTGTTTGAACTTCCATGGTTGGTATCGTTTGGTGAGAACTTCCTCACCCTTTTCTGAAATCTTGACAGTGGGGCTGGGATCAGGATTGACTCAAACATGGCTCAAGGGGGGGGAAATTTAACATAAAATGTAACTCTCTCTGCTTGTATGACAAACCTATGCCCATAGTTTATCATTCAACTCCCCATATGATCACAAGTTTTCTCACAGGAGAAAATGAGTTCTGTTTAGTTGTGGGAGAAAAGTAATTTAATAATAGTACAGTGGTATCAAAATGGGATCTGCAGTGTATTTTGTTGAGGATTTATTTTATATATATATATCCTAATGTAAAAAAGATGAGTCATTTGTAAAGGGGGACACTGGGAAATTCTCTAAGTGGTACTAAGGTGTGGTTTGATCCGTTTTTAGATCCTCTTATACATTAGATTTGGGCAGATTGTTATATGAAAGTTTGTCCCTTTATTATTGCTATTTGAGTTAATTTATGATTTTGCATGAATTTATTTTGAAATTAGCCCAATGAACAGAGAGATGACTCATTGTAAAACTTCTATGTGGAATTTGGCATGGTTGTCTGCTTCTTTTCAGGAGATGGTCAGAATTGAATTAAGCCAGCCAGGATGTATTCAGATACAAGTATCTTGCTCTCAGAAGGTCTGGTTCATCCAGGGCTGCCCTTTGTGTTTGCTAACAGCACTAGAAGAATACTGTAACACTCTGCAGAAAACGCTGCCTGGGATCAAAGAGAACTAAGGGACTGACTCAGTGAAGACAGCTAAAACAGGGTTGTGTAAGCATTGGGGAAATGGAAAGAATCAAACTTCTCACTTTGGTGTGAACCAAAGAAATAAAGGCCCTTAAACACTTCTCATTCAGAACTGGCCTTTCAGAGTCTATCGGCTGGCTGATGTGGAACTCAGCGGTGCTCCTGTGGAAAACTTTCCATAACTTTTTCTTGAGCAGGCGACAGATCTGTGCTTGCTTTGTTTAGTGCCCAGGCTCATGTACTCCATCCATTAATGTGAGAGGCAGGAAAATAAACACCATGGAAATTGGCCTGGGGACATAATAGCTCTGTGACAGGCTGCCCCTTGGCCCCCAAGTCCATGTGGTTTTGCTCTGCAGGTCTAGAAATGGACATGCTAAGGGAGGGAGGTGGTGGGGCCTGTGGGAGGGCTGCTCCTCACTCCCTCAAGCTCTCACCCACTGGGACGTTTATTTTTTTTTTTGTTTATTGAAAGCGGATTGTTGTTTGATTTTATTTAACGCATCCTTAGTGGTGACCCAAACTGTAGTAAGCTGCGCTGTTACTCTGTAAGCTGGTGCAGCACATCTACACTAGGTGCAAATAGATAAGCTTTAACGCCATTGACAAAATTCTCCTAGGAGATTTACCAACCTGGGTACAAAATGTAGGCACCCACCCTTTACCATGAGGGCTTGTGGCAAGGTCGCAGCTAATTATAGTTACTGGCCAACTGCAGTCTAAACTCCCCTTGAGCTGTTGTGTTAATTAGAATTGTGCTGGGATGATCTACAGAATTATTGGTAATACAAGTTAAAAAAATATGTTTTACCAAACTAGAATATGTAACCTGATGGTGTCCCATTTTAAAAAGAAATGGAGACTGATTTGTGGTGTTTGATATTGGGAGTCATACACCTGATAGGACATATTACTATGTTTCACTAATATGTATCCACCAGCATAAGCCCCCAAAATGACAATTTTAGATACAGAAGGGGGAGGGGGATTTTTACAAATTTGAAGAAAATGTTGAAATTGCCAGAATTGTTGAGGAAGTCACCTTTGATTGCATAGCAATAGAATTATGAGCTGGGAGAATACAGCAAAACTGAGGCAGTGTGTAGGCTACTACCAAACTCACGGGGTGGATGGTTTATTTTTAACCAATTTGTCTTACTTGCTGTGTTTTTCCTCTGAGAGTTCAGTTGTTAATGCAGTGCTCGCAGTAGGTCATTCTTTTATTTTTGCCAGCCACATTTCTATAGGAGATATTTGTTTTGCAGTCATATGGGCAGATCTGTCTTCGTCCCTGTGCCACCACTCCCATTCTCTGTCCCCCTCCCCCTGGAAAACTAGGGGGGGAGCAAACTCCACAAGCTTCTTACAGATTTCCTGTAGATTAGGGTTCATCACCTCTCCCTCTCTAGATCCCAGGGGATCTTCTGAAGATAACAGGGTCATCTGCATGGAGGTCCTTTGCATCTGCACCAGCTCAAGGCCTCCCTACCCTCTCTTACAGCCTTGCATTTCTGCCAGGGACCCATGCTACTGCCCCTAGAACTTCCTTCCCCTCTTGAAGGGGGTCATTCCGTAGCACAGAGGGAGTGTTCCACTGAAAAATAATCATTACCTACATGGAGTGAAGATATCTGATAGTAGAGGGCTCTTTAATATAGCAGGCAAAGGCTGAAACTAGCCAGAATCAGAGGGACATATTAGTAAATGATGGTGCAATTTACCAAGGCAAGTGGTAGATTTCCAGTTATCTGGAGTCTTGAAATTAAGATTGGCCTCTCTACAAATACGCTCTAGCTCCATCACAAGTCATTGAGCTGGATGCAGGAATCAGTGGGTGAAATTCTCTGGCCTGTGTTAAGCAGGAGGTCAGACTGGATGATCTCAGAGATCCCTTCTGGCCTTAAAACTACAGGGAAGAGGGAGGGAAATTATGGCAGACCTAGGCTGCATTCACTGTTGTACGGGATCCCTGGGGAGGTTGAAGAACGATGAGAACAGATTGCAGTGTCATTGCTGATCCTGCGGAGAGCCTTCTACTGGGGAGAGCAGCACACAGAAGTTGAGAGATCTGCATGTGCTTGGTGAGAAGGATCTGTCCCACTGCAATGAAATGTGTTTCCTGGCTGCCGTCAGGAGGATTATTCTGCACTGGAATCTCTCTTTCATTTCAGTAAATCGTGACAGCTCCCTAATCCTGTAATAAGAATGTGGGGCTCTGTTCCTGAAATAGCTCCTGCGTCTGTTCCCTACCAGTAGGACTAGTTCCCCTTGCCATGACATTCCCGCCAGCATGTTGCTGTGTATTTTCCTCTTTCCCCCACCACTTTTTTGCCTGTTCTGTTCTTTTAACTGAAGGATCTTAAAGTGTGTATGTATAAATACAGTGGCAAAAAAGAATACTAGAATAACCTCTTCTAGTAGTAACACAATAAAATGTGCGTAATGGAGTCCTCTTTTCAAGAAAATACAGTAATAAGATTAGAACATAATATCCAGTTCTTCCAACAGTAGCTCCTATTGAATGACCATCCAACAGAGCCAATATCCCCGGCATTCACTTTTCCTTTTCTATTATTTTTTGCTTCAGGGCAACCAGTTAGTAAAGATTAAAAAGCTACTCATGTATGTCAGTCACTCATTGGTTTTTCGGATGGCCATTAGAACAACTAGAGTGTGGCCTGTGGCCTGCAGACCCCTGGGGGTCCGCAGACAGTCTCTAATATTTCCAAAGGGATCCGTACCTCCACTGGAAGTTTTTCAGGGTCCGGCAAATGAAAAAAGGTTGAAAACTATGGAATTAGAGTAACCAGTAAACCAGTATTTCCCTTTCTTATTTTGCGAATGCTGTGTGAGTTTGTCTAGTTCCCGTGCATGGAAGTAACGTGCGTCTTATACTCTTCCTTTTAAAGCACATCCAGCTGGAGTGTGCCTCATGGTTTTTATTGAATTACCTGCCCACCCCTGCCCCTTCCCAATCTCTCCTCGTCCATCCAGCTGGTTTGGGTGCCATTTCTGTTCAGGACAGTCTCTAATTTGTGGAGCAACTTAGGGGCAAACCCTTAGCCCAGTCTGGTCGGGTGTGCTATGTGGGTGGAATCTGTGCCCTGCCCCCGGAGCCAGTTTGGATTCTGTTCCAGTCCAATGGCTACTAGCCCTGAAGTAACAGCCCCTTCCCCACAGGGTTGGGTTGGAGGAAGATGGAAGTGTCTGTGTAACAACTGATCCTGTGCTTCTGCTCCCAGCCCCTGCGCCCTGTCATAGGGAGCTCATGCGGAGCAGGCCACTGGCAGTGGGTGACCTGCTGTCTGTCTGGCCACCCAAAATCCATCCCTTGCCCCTTCTGTGTGCAGCAGATTCTTCTTTTTCTGAATCAGATAGAAAAGGTGCCAACAGAGAGCGGTCTTCAGTGCAGGGAGCCTCTCTTCAGCTGTATCCGCTGTGGGTTGGGCACCCTTGAGTCATGATGACAGGGCAGCAATGGGGAAAGGGCACGCTTCCACTGAATCTGGGCATTTTCAATATTTGAGCTTTGTCCTGAGCTCTCAGGCTGGCTCTCGTGCCGGGAGAGGAGTCAGGGGCATCTGTGGGCTTTTGAGGATGGGTTCAGCCACTTGAGAAAGACTTTTGGCTGGGTGGTTTCTTGTGGAAGAGGGGACAAGTTTAGAAGCTGGGGTGGGCAATTAGATTCTTAGATGGTAGATTGTAAACTGTTCAGGACAGACTGTTGGCTACCCTGTGTTTGTACAGTGTCTCTCACAATGAGGCCCTGTCCTTGGTTGGTCCATAGGCACTGCCCTAATAAACATGATGGATTAATAATGTGTAGTCATTTGGTGACTGTTTGACACTGAATCTGCCTTCGACCCTTGTCATTGTTCATCACCCCTTTACTTCTAGCCAAGACAGATAAAGCAAGGTTGCCTAGCCAATAAATGAAAGATTCTGCACATTTCTTAGAAGTAATAATTTGACATTTGATTTTAATTGTCAAGACACACAAGGTAGAGTTGCTGCATTATTTCTTGAGTCCAAATGCTCAAACAATGTCCCCCACCATCTGTGGCCAGGAGGGAGGTGGATAATGCTTACAGACACTTGTCTAGCTAGTGAACCTCAGGGGACTAAGGATTTTTAGGTATTCTAAGCAAATAGCACATCGCTACTCTCTGTCGTAAGAACAAGGTGGGGTCACATTAGGGGGAGATTTGGTTCGTTGCAGATATTTGAGTAATAGGCCTATTTGTGGAATACTAAGTATATACGAATGACAACCAGCACTAGAATATGGAAGTATATAAGGCATATATGACTTACCACCACAAATAGTAAAACCTAACTTAGAATGGTCAAGCCTAAGAAAGGTGCTCTTCAGGATGCAACCTGGGCCCAATATCAGCATCATGCAGTTGACTGTATAACAGAGAAGTCTAATTTTTCTCTTTTTTCCTAGGATTCTTTAGCAATCTGTCCCCTCTTCCCTCCCCCCCTTTTTTTTTAATTGATAAGTTTTGTTTCTTAACTCTCCCTTTCCTCTTGTAGGTCATGAACCTGGACTTGTGCAGCTGGTAAATTACTACAGGGGAGCTGACAAGCTTTGTCGCAAAGCTTCGTTAGTGAAGTAAGGATTCCATTTAAACCTTTTAGTGTGTTTGAAGAAATGTTTTTTCTAATGCAACTAAATATTAAGTGTGTTTTGTATGATGCTTGAGAAAAAGCACCAAAATTTGCCTTTAAAGGCCTTCTGTTCAGGGGCCCTTCAGCAATCTTCAGAAGCTGCATCTGCTTTTTTTCTTCACAATCATTTGTGTGCCCAAATAGCATTTCAGTTTCTAGATACTGGACCTGATTTTCATGGGCAAGCAGCATTTGTATGTGTAATTCTGTTGTTTGCGCTTGCAAATGGTGCTGCATGTCAAGTTGGGAATGCAAGAGCAGCAGATGATGTTGTTTCCTAAAATGTGGACCTAAAGAAACAACCACTACAACATTATCTGTTTCTCCTGGTAGATATATTTTTAAAGCTTGGTTCCACTCTGCTATTTCTGTTGTTCATTTTTATAGAGACTTGCAGTACTAATGTGCTTCTAGCTAAGCAGATCCTTTGGTCAAGTGAATGCCAGGAGACATCTCTTTCACAAGAGATGACTCAGAGATGGAGTTTCATAATAATCAGCAATGCCAATGTCTCCTGCAAGGAGTGGTGCATGTGCTTCTATTTGTTAAGGAGATGGAATATTGAGTTGGTTTATATGACTTGGGACTGAACTCTGCTTCTGTTAGAGCGTGTTCATTTCAAAGCTGCTGGTCTGGTCAAACTGTTTTAAGACATCACTGTCATACAAGAGACAGGCTGCAGGGCCTACATTAACTTACGTAATGTATAGTATCATTCTGTAGCTCGCCCATCGTAGTCATTTGTATACAATGGTGCACCTTGGGCCTGCATGGCTTACGTTCCTTAAAAAATCCCTTCTAGAAATCCCAGGCCCTTCTATGTAGATATGATGTAAACAATCACCCAGTGCCAGAGAGCAGATTACTTAAGACCATTCATTGAGATTCACAAAATTATTTCTATGTAGCTTGTACTTTGGGGTCAATGCCTGTCTTTTCTAAAGCTGTAGCTGCCTTTCCCTTTTAATCCCGGGGGTCACCAACACTACTAATTGCTTAAAAATCCCCTGAGACTCTGAATAAAGCCATTTTGACAAAGGACCTGATCCAAAGCCCACTGAAGTCAATGGGAAATTTCCCTTTAATATCAGTGGGTTTGGCTTGGATACATAGCTCCCATTTGGAGACAATTACGTTTCTGAATAGCCTAGTTCACCATTCTGTTCCCTTCATCTTTCCCAATCAAGTTCCACCGCACAGCAACTTTTGCAGGGGCTTCTGTGTTAGCACACAGGATTCCCAATGAAAAGTCTTTGCTGGTTTCTCAGAAAGCTTTGTGTGGATGCTGTGCAATATCTAGCTATGTGGAACCATTTGTTTATTGATCATTTCAGAATATTTGACTCCAGTTCATGATAAAAGGCAAAAATATTAAAGACAAAATAGAAAGATCTAGATCAATTATTTGTAACAAAGTTTATTTAGAAAGGTAAGTGCTCAAAAACATCTTTAGGGGAGAGAGGAATTTACCCAAGTCTCAGTCTTATAGTATTACAATATTTGCTGGTTTTTAAAAAATATTTTGTCCTACTGTTTTTTTCCTCTAGCAGCTTTAAAGAGAAGACTGTTTTCAGCAAGTTAATAGAAATATATACCGTACAGTATTATTATTGTTGAATATGCATTAACCATATTCACTAGCAGGAAAAAGGCTCATGTTAATGATAACCTGCATTTAATACGTATAAATTATTTTGGGAGCTGGCATGTTCTAGGATTAGCAAGGCTAATGGGCTGGTTTATCTTCTCCAACTAGGCTAATCAAGACGAGCCCTGAGTTATCAGAATCTTGCACATGGTTCCCAGAATCATATATGATTTATCCAACTAACCTAAAGACTCCAGTGGCTCCAGCGCAGAATGGAATTCGCCATCTTATAAACAACTCCAGGACGGATGAAAGGGAAGTGTTCCTGGCCTCCTACAACAAGAGGAAGGAGAATGGGGAGGGGAACGTGTGGATAGCCAAATCCTCGGCCGGTGCCAAAGGTTTGTTTCCTGCTGAGATGCTCCAACTCTTTTCTGTTCTTGTTGTTTGATTTTTGTTATTTAAAAAAAATAGAAGGATGATTATTTTCCCTGCATCGTGTCTCGCCGTGGTTGCAATATGCCTGTTTAATAGCAGTGTGTGCTCCGCACTGCAGGCCTTTACATAAGTACCACATAGAACTCTGTTCTCTGCACCGGCTGGGGTATTTTATGGTCTCCTCTCTGCTCCTAGGGAACCGTCAGCACTGATTAAAAGTACAAACCTTCACACTCTGTTTGATATTTGGGGGGATGAATAAGTGACCAGCAATGATCGACCCTGATGCCATAAACACCCAGTACTGCTCCCCGGCAGAGCTCTTTGTGTGGGGAAGACCCCAGCAAGAGACAAGGCACAAGAGGTGTGTCCTGTAACAAAGCCAGTGCGATGTGGGGTGCGGCGATGAGGGAATGTGGGGGGCAGGAGGAGAGTGATGGGGGTGGAAATGTGCGGCGGAGTAGGAGAGGTGCAGGGAAATATGAGTGGCGGGGAAAATAAGGGTTACAGAGAGGACAGATGATCATAGGGGCAGGTGGAGGACAGGAGACTGGGGAGAATGTGAGTTGAACCAGAAGGGAGGCAGGATAGTGATAGGGTCTGTTGTACCGCTGTCTCTCAGGCCAGTGATACGGAAGGTGGAAGGAGAGGAATCGATTGGTAGCTTCCCATTCCAGAGGATTTGGGAGGATAATGGGGCAAGAGGGGTCGCCCTCCAAGCAGCCACTGGGGAGGCACCTGTATTCCTGGTTGAACTTTGAACCTGAAACGAGCATACAGGGAGTTCCCTGCAAGGCTCAGACGCTGGAAGGCAGCGCTCTCCCCACCGGCTCGTGATGTCTGGGTGCTCATGGCTGGCAATAGGGGATGCTGGAGCGCAGACCAAAGGGAGGCAAGAACAGAAACAAGGAAAGGAGAGAGGACAGAGACTGAAATCACGTACAGGAGGGGAAGGAGAAAAGAAGAGGGACGCAGACGCTCTCAGACGTGCGTGTGCTGGAGTAGGAGACATGAAACCAAGTCCTCCCCCTCCTTAAAATCACTACGGCTTGTGTTCAGAGGGAAGCTAAAAATCTTAGCCCTTGTGGTTCCCTGGGGGACCCGCTCACCTCGGGTACAGAGCTGGCCGGACTGTCAGCTGATGTCAGTCAGTCCGTAACACCATCAAACAGTGCAGTTATGCCAACTCATGGCATCCCGGGTCCAGCCCAGAGGCCTTTCGGCCACCCACAATAGCCAGCCACTTCGTTTTGCAGAAATCCCCATCACAAAAATCAAGTCTGAGGAAAATCTCAGTACTTTAAATAAAAATCATATTGATTGACTGTTAATAAAGACAAGTAATTACTCTGGACAATCATAATTTGTCACGTACAAGACCTCAAATGATTTTTGATCCAGTATTAGGAAAAAAGCTATCAAGTAATGCTACAAGGAAGCTTTAAAACTGTGTACATTCCAGCGCAAGGTGTCTGTAAAATATATTCTTATTAATGGACAGTGAAATTCCAAAGTATATCAAAACATCTCGCTGAAAATCAGTGTGGATGCATTCTTCCAGAAGATTGTCCTTTAGACCATCTGTTCCCCTATCACTATGTCCTGTCATTCATATCCCTCAGACGTGACCTAAGAGAAGGCTTGGTTTCATCAAAATGAAGTAAAAGGACATGTTTCTTCCCATCTAATCTTTGTAGGAAAAAGTACTCCTGTAGTCTCACTAGCTGATTTTAAAACTCTGATTTAAGCAATAACTAAATCGTCTCCTGTATCCGGGGAGTAGCTATGACAGGGAAAATTATAAAGCTTTTTACTTAAATATGATACATTTTTCCTGCTACAGACATGACCCCATCTTGTCAGTTACTGCAACAAATGTAATTGTAAGTGTTTGACGCACAGAAGCAGAACCCAGAGCAGAAAATTAAAACGGAATACAGAGCACTCTTATAATCTTCAAAAATGGTTCATATCTTCTCCCAGAATTGTTCTATACAATAAAAGAAAGTTTATCACAGAGATAATAGTCCTCTAAATGCTTAGGAAAACCCAATCTCCTAACATTACGTAATTTAAGAAGAAGAAACGTAGTATTTAATTAATTTAATAACCTCAGTCTCCTATTATTAAAAGGAAAATTGCTGTTTTAAAAACCCAAACAAAACCAGAAAATACTAAATTTAGAGCAAACATTTGGGATTTTTTTTCAAGAACAATGGATATGGACAGTTAAAGGGATCCCAAGGAGCCTTACTTCTGTCCTGCTTAATCCCCACCTAGCTCAGCCACAATGCAGGTGACAAGTTCAGCTAACCACCTGCCTTGTTTACCATCCATCCTGTGCACTCAGTGGAGCAGGAGTCCTGGGGGGGAATAGCATGGGATCATGTAATTAAAGACTAGCATAATGCATATGGACCGGGGAACCAAATTAAGATTACACAGGCAATCGTAAATCTGGCATTTTCTAACTTTTCAGTGCTTGACTTAGCAACGTTGCCCTTATTTTAATAGGGGTTATTTTGCATGGAATTTCCTTGATCTTTTTTAAAAGAAAAAAGAAAAGTTCCATTATGTATAATCATATTGCTCCTCTCCACTCTCTCCAAAGGCTAAGTTTGAATCTAGAACCTCAGCACATATCTCTGCCCCTTAGTTACTTTCTTAGCTCGGTACCAGTAGTAGGCTGTTACTCTGTTTGAACCAGCCACTAGGTGGGGATGTGATACCACATTGCTACTAGTGGGTGGTGGTGATTGATTATAATTTGTATTGCTGTAGTGTTTAAGGATCCCAGTCATAAATCAGGACCCCCACTGTGTGAGGTAATGTACAAACATATAACAAAAAGTCATTCCTTGCCCTGAGAGGCTTACAACGTACGTAAACTGCACAGCGATTTGCTAGACAGCAATGGAATGCTGTGGATCAGGATTCCTGGGTTCTGTTCCTGGCTCTGGGTAAGGAGTGTTGTCTGGTTGGTTAGAGCAGTGGATTCAGACAACCTAACCAAACACATAAATTCAGCAAATTCATTCTGAAAAGCAGTGCAGGTAATATTCTCATCTACCATATTGAAGAAATCCCAGTTCTGCTAGAAGTGATCCTGTGCAAACTTTTACTGTATCTGTAAAACGAGAGGAATTATATTTCTTTTCCTCCTGGCATAATGCGGCCTGGCTCAATAGTAAGCATTGTGCATTGCACAGAAGTAAATATCAGTCACTGAAAGAGGTGAGTCTGGAACTCATGGTCTCCTGGCTTTCAGCCCAATATACTTTTCCCCCGATGCAAGGGTATTTTTGGTGGAGGAAGGCTTGCAAACACAGGAAGTTTGGCAGAGCCTGGGAGTTTGCTCAGTATAATTGGGAAATAGGTGAAACGAGTATAGAAAAAATCCTACCGTGGATGTGCTAATGGGGACTTTAAAAGCTTATAACTCAGCTAGAACTGGGGGGATTTTCATGGGGAAAGCAAAAGGAACCTCCCTGACTGCAAGCCTACCCCCTCCACTGAATCTCAGACTTCTGCTCCAAATCATGGAGCTGTTGAAAATAGTAGTCTGGAATTTTTGTAAGCCATGGCAAAACTACCTGTTTTCCCCTAGCCTCCTCCTTGGAAATGGCTGCCCTGCGCTCAGATTTTTCAAAAATTCAATGCGAGACAGAGACCAAAACAGAGAAGATTTCAGCTGGAAGAGTTAAAGTTTGGCAAAGCTTAAAACAACCAAGAATCAGGGGTTCTCTGGGGAGTGTTAGGCAACTGTAACTGTGAGTGTTGCTTCCCAGTAATGCCAAATTCTGGAAAGACTGTGTTCTGTTTCCAATACTCTGCCACTGCAAGTGGACGTTTGTATTGAAATTATATGGGGAAAGGGATAATTGCCAACTTCAACCGTAAATTGGAGGGAATTTGAAGATAGATTTGAACTTTCTCAATGGGGGACTTTCATACCAGGGAAAATATTGATATTAGCCTTATCCTTTTTTATAACCATTTCTTTTTGCACTCTTGCTAATTTAGCAATGACTTTCACATTGAACTAAATGGGACTGCAATGAATAAAGTTACTCCTGTGACTGTTTGTAGAATTATGTTTGTCAGAAGAAGAAGCTGGAACAAAAACCTTACTAGAAGAAATAGCTTCAATAAACTGAGGAGCCACATAGAAAATATGGGCAACTTGAATTGCTTCATGTTTAAATTCAAAGTCACCTGGTGGAAGGTGTGTCATTGTGCTGTTTCTGTGCCATCTTTCAGATGAGACATAAACCAAAAGAGGAAAGTTGCTTAGTTAAAACACTCAAGTGGGACTAAGATCTGGGTTTCAGTCCCGGATATTCCGTAGACTCTGCATGTGACTTGGGCAAGCCACATATTCCCTCCTTGCTTCAGTTTCCCATCTGTAAAACGAGATTATCGTCTACCTCACAGGTGTTAGGAGGTTAAATTCATTAATGTGTGATACGCACCCAGATGGTACAGTGCAGGGGACAGTATCTTACTGTCTTAGACAGATTTATGGTACTTCACTGGGGGCAAATACTGAACCGAAACAGACTATGGGAGAAAACTAGTTATACAGCCCCACTGTGGAAAGAGACGTGGCACATTAAACATGGGTGTGTGGGCTGAGTTGGGAGGAGATAAATATTACTCTCTGATGTCTTTTCTGAAAAGAACAGGATGATGATTCCTCTTTGTTCGGTCTTAGACCACAACTTGCTCCAAGAAATGACATTGATCAAGCAGCAGAGCGTCTAAAAGTAACTGTCAAAATGATTTAAAGTGTTAGAGAGCATGTCCTATAAGAGGAGACTGGATAAGATGAAAAAGACCTAAATATCTATAAAAAGCCAAAGAGGATTTATTTTTAGGGTTACAGGATTACATAAAATGAGGAGTAATGTTTTAAAGCAGGGGCGGGGAGGGGCCTGTCCTGCAGATATTTACATACATAACCTAACTCATGCATGTAGCACTCCTGCACTCAGTGTGACTACATCTGAGTAAAGGTATTCAGGTGTGCAGGATAGGCCCGCTAGATGATAGGAAAATAATTGGGGGAAGGGGAGACCAGTCAGTCAATGGAATAATCGCCATCAGGAAGTAGTGACATGATTGCTAGAAGTATTTGAAAAATCTCTAACTGGATTCAACACAAAAAGCCTGGAGGTCACATCAGGCCTGACATTTCTAACTACATGATGATGATGTGTTCCTGTGATTTTTGTGTATTGGAGGTCTTGTGTATTGGAGGTTTCCCTGATAAGTGTGTTGTAGAGTTGAAGTTCCCATCTCTCTGCTCCATAGAAATGTCTTAATTACTGTCAATTGGAATGGTGTATTGCATCTGAGAAAAGTTCTCTGAAACACACCAAAAGTACATGATAAACATCTTTTGTTTGTTAATTTGTCTCTTGGAATAATTCCATGTGGTAGTTAAAGAACTTGAGGAAAAACAGTAGAAGCCACAAAGCACAAATTTTAGACAAGACTCAGCCACACAGACAATCCAGACTCTTAAGTACATAATGTCCCAAGATCTAAATGTGTATTTTCAATTGTAACTCTTATAGCTGAAACTCTTCCTTTGTCTTGACGCCTAGACATCTCTGAGAACCTTAGCCAGAGAGGTTTTTACCTCCATATTCTCAAGCATGGTCATAATGCCAAATCGGCTGCAATAAGAGACCCAATAACATATGCCATTACATATATTTTGGTGTACTTCAAAATCTTTAAAAAAAAAAAATTTCCATCAATCATATCTGTGAAACCTGCTATATTTTACCTTTGTTTTTTTCATGTTAGGTGAAGGAATTCTTATTTCTTCAGAGGCTACTGAACTTCTGAACTTTATAGATGATCAAGGACAAGTGCATGTGATTCAGAAATACCTTGAAAAGCCTATGCTATTAGAGCCAGGCCATCGCAAGTTTGATATTAGGTAATGTTTTCTATTGATTGCCTGTCAATTCTTACGCAAAAAGATTAGAGAAAATGCATTGGGGTGAGCGAAGTGTTGTTAATAAATCTGATTACATGCATATGCTGGCTTAAAAAACAAAACAAAAAACCCTATTTAGTGTTCTTCTAATTTTCAGAAGCTGGGTTCTAGTGGATCACCAATATAATATCTACCTCTACAGAGAAGGCGTTCTGCGGACCTCTTCAGAACCATACAATAGTGCTAATTTCCAAGACAAAACCTGCCATTTGACCAATCACTGCATACAGAAGGAATATTCTAAAAACTATGGGAAGTATGAAGAAGGGAATGAAATGTTTTTTGAGGAGTTCAATCAGTATCTGATGAGTTCTTTGAACATTACACTGGAAAGTAGCCTGTTATTGCAGATCAAACAAATAATAAGGTAACTTGTTGATCATTATTTGTGTTACAGTAGCACCCAGAGGCACCAACCAGAACTGGGGACCCATTGTGGTAGGGACTGTACATTCACACAATACGGGACAGACCTTGCTCCAAAGAGCTCGCAGTCTAAACAGACGAGACAGACAAAAGTATCAATATTCCCATGTTACAGACAAGGAACTGAGGCTCAAAGAAGTTAGGTGACTTGCCCAAGATCACATAGGAAGTGTGGGGCAAAGCACAAAATTGACCCTATGGGTTTGTCTACTCTAGGGAATTTCCACAAGGTGAATGGAGCTACTTTTGTTTCTTGTTCAACATATTAATAGATGTACATATATTTATAGAGATATGTAAGCTAAAATTCACCAAAGTTTCCACTGATTTCAGGTGTCTTACTGATTAGGTACACGCATGAGACAAGTGGGGCCTGATTTTCAGAGGTGCTGAGCATTCACAACTCACAGATATCATCAGGACCTACAGGTGCTAAGCATTTCTGTTAATAGGGTGGAGATGATGCAAAGAACTAACAAAGAGTTGCTTCGTTCACTCAGTGCTCTATCCTGTGTACTGAATGAAACAGGGTCCTGTGGGAAAAATGTGATCATGTTAATTACAGACTGTATTGTGGAATCATAGAAGATTAGGGTTGGAAGAGACCTCAGGAGGTCATCTAGTCCAACCCCCTGCTCAAAGCAGGACCAACCCCAACTAAATCATCCCAGCCAGGGCTTTGTCAAGCCGGGCCTTAAAACCTCTAAGGATGGAGATTCCACCACCTCCCCAGAACCCATTCCAGTGCTTCACCACCCTCCTAGTGAAATAGTTTTTCCTAATATCCAACCTAGACCTCCCCCATTGCAACTTGAAACCATTGCTCCTTGTTCTATCATCTGCCACCACTGAGAACAGCTGAGCTCCATCCTCTTTGGAACCCCCCTTTAGGTAGTTGAAGGCTGCTATCAAATCTCCCCCTCATTCTTCTCTTCTCTTCTTCAGACTAAATAAACCCAGTTCCCTCAGCCTCTCCTCATAAGTCATGTGCCCCAACCCCATAATAATTTTTGTTGCCCTCCACTGGACTTTCTCTCTCCACAGCCTTTCTGTAATGGGGGGGGGGGGGCCAAAACTGGATGCAATACTCCAGATGTGGCCTCACCAGTGCTGAATAGAGGGGAATAATCACTTCCCTCAATCTGCTGGAAACACTCCTACTAAAGCGGCCCAATATGCTGTTAGCCTTCTTGGCAACAAGGGCAAACTGGTGCCTCATATCCAGGTTCTCGTCCACTGTATTCCCCAGGTCCTTTTCTGCAGAACTGCTGCTTAGCCAGTCGGTCCCCAGCCTGTAGCAGTGCATGGGATTCTTCCATCCTAAGTGCAGGACTCTGCATTTGTCCTGTTGAACCTCATCAGATTTCTTTTAGTCCAGTCCTCCAATTCGTCTAGGTCGCTCTGGACCCTATCCCTACCGTCTGGCATATCTACCTCTCCCCCCATCTTGGTGTCATCCACAAACTTGTTGAGGGTGCAATCTGTCCCATCATCCAGATCATTAATGAAGATGTTGAACAAAACCAGCCCCAGGACAGACCTCTGGGGCACTCCACTTGCTACCAGCTGCTAATTAGACATTGAGCCATTGATCACTGCTCGTTGAGCCAACGATCTAGTTAGCTTTCTATCCACCTTATAGTCCATTCATCCAATCCATACTTTTTTAACTTGCTGGCAAGAATACTGTGGGAGACGCTATCAAAAGCTTTGCTAAAGTCAAGGTACATCATGTCCACTGCTTTCCCCATATCCACAGAGCCAGTTATCAGGTTGGTCAGGCATGACTTGCCCTTGATGAATCCATGTTGATTGTTCCTGATCATATGCACAGGAGGGCTGAATGAGGGTTGCATGGGCAACCTTAATATTGGCATTTCCTAACTTTTGAGGGTTTCACATTGCAAATGGAGTGTCCTTTTGACTAGTTTTTTTAAATGGATGTAATATTGGCTTATTGGTGGATTCCTTTTGTTACATCATTGCTGGCCCCAGGTTATTCCATAATTTGCTCAAAATGTGGTTTCTTGCCCGTTTCTCCGGAGAAGCTGGTCCTGGGCTTCCTAAGCCTGTGTGCTCTCAGAAGAACAAAGATACAACAGAAGGGTTGGGATGATGTCATAGCCGGGAAGGAAAGTCATTCCAATTGGAAGCAGAAGGCTGTACTGTGATCTCAGGCTTTTATATTGATTTTGTAATCTAAAATTTTTCACTGTTTAGAACGCTCCAGTAATGTGCCTAGGAATAAGGATGCAGGCTCATTATAACATCCTATTTAAACCCATTCCCTCAGAAATGATAGGAGCTATTTCAAGACATTCCTCTCTGTATGGTTTCCTGTTACAACAAGTTGGTTCCTGTCCTACAGCTGCTGAACCATGGCATGACATTCCATCGTGAGCTGACATTTCTGGACACCTGCTCAAGCGGATAATCAGCTGAGCTCTTTCAAACTGCTGCATTTCTGTGGGCTGGTTCACCCTTCGCTCTGTTTCAGTGCTCTTAGACTGATTTGTGAAGCCATGTGGTGTACACTTGGGTTGGATTCACTATGACTTGGCACTAAGGTGCAAGTCTGTAGCCCAGCAGCTGGAGCAGGGTCTGCAGTGCTTTCTGCATTTGTTCCATCCCATGGGGAGAGAAGATGCACAGAGCTAGATCTCCCAACTTGTCTACGTGCTGTCCTTGCACATTGCTGTGCATGGGAATCCTAGGGAGCTGAAATCTTGGTAGGAGCTGTGCATACCTCTTGCACAGCCAGCTGACAACACGCTCCCCTTTTATACATCAGACCCACCCCAGTCCTCTGCCATGAGAGCCTCCGCTGATTCTGGGTACTAGCTGGCTGGAACTGGCTCTGCAGCAGTGAGGTACAGTAGAAAGGAATGAGGTAGATAACAGGCACTTCCCCCATCCTGACCTCTTTGTGCTGCTTATGTGGACAAAGGGGCTAGAATCTGGCCCTAACTTTCCTTGGTGGGGGAAGCTCTCAGTGGCACAAAGCTGTCCTAGTCCGCTCCTGCGTCAACTGCCCCTCCCACCAGCATTGGGGTGGGCTGAGCGTAGCTGTGCTCCCCCAGTTCTCAGTTGGCATGTGATTTCGTGTCCCTAGGCAGCTCTAACGTCCAGGCTGGAGGACTTGTGACTTGTGGATCAGGGAACTGTAACTGGCCCCCTCATAGCTCCTTTCTTTCTTGAAATGGGGGCATCGCTCTAGAGAAGCACTTGAGCCAATGTGTGATATTGCATCAGGCATGCTTCTCCCCCAGCTGATGCAGCTAGTCCTGGTCCCACAAATCCTTGCTCAAACGAGTAGCCTTGGAGAGCAGCCCAGTGGAAGTCATTGGGACTGCTCAATTGTAAGGGTTTACAGTATTGGCTCCAGTTTTGTTGCATATATTGGGCCCTGCTTCCTTCAGACCTAATGTAAACTTTAATTAGATTTATGGCAATTTAACAATATCACCCTCATTGATGTTAGTTGGGGCCCTCTGCATCGCTGACTTATGCCACACTTACAAAATATGCTTTTGCTTTGCCTTGATGAAAACCCAGAATGCTTATCATGTGCACAATGTTTATTCTTTAGTCAACAAATGCAGGTGTGTGTGGAGTTTATGTATACATACACATATACTGGGTAGGTACATATATACATATATTTGTATTCTCTACACTTGATAGTTTGTCGAAGCATCCTGTGTGGTGAATAATAATCGTGATTGTCTACTTGAAAGAGAAATCCTGTTTTAATGGATAAAGGTTGTTAATTAGGTCACACCCATGTTGCTGGGAGGTCACTCTTGCATGTCTAGTGTCCATAGTCATTCTCTTGTTCTAAATGCAGATAACAAGAGAGCACGTCTCGGGCTCGTGATTAGTAGTCTGTTGTGCATCATTCCTTGAACCGATTTTGGCTTTATGCCATTCCGTGTTGTTGGAGAACACAGAAAACGTGTTGAATGTCACAGGAATACGTTGAGCTGCTTCAGAGATGTGCTAAATGATAGATTTTGTAAAGAGTTGTTTTAAAATCTTCTTTGTGCTCTTGTGCATTTCTTTCTTGTTCTAAAGCCTGTGGTATTATGATGTGTCCCTGCCATATTCAATCCTGGTCCAACTCTCAATAAAATCAGTGGTACGGCTTCAATGGGGTTTGGATCAGGCCTTTAGTTAGTGCAGTCAGATATATTTTTGCATGAGTCAGATTTTTTTACTATCTCTCTTTATTTTTGACTGGGCACAATAGCAAAAAGTAATAATAGTATGAGGAACAAGTCTGTTCCTGATCCACTTTTTCCATTTGCTTTTCCCACTGCACAGTGCCCTTCTGATCGCTGTGCTGTGTGTCTGCCTGCTCCAGGAATCTAGAATTATTGCTCTTACATGTTTATTGGCTGCTAAGTCAGATTTTGCATTTTTTCCTTTCCGCAGAAGCTGCCTTATGTGTATAGAGCCTGCAATCAGCACCAAACACCTTCACTACCAGAGTTTCCAGCTCTTCGGCTTTGACTTCATGGTAGATGAGGAACTGAAGGTCTGGCTAATCGAAGTCAATGGGGCCCCTGCCTGTGCCCAGTGAGCATCCTCTTCCTGTAATAAAATGGTAGCTCCCGTGTACCAACAGCACGGCACACCTGGTCTCTTGCTGCTGTAGTTCTGAAGAAGGTGTTGGCTTTCCTCTCTGCTTGGTGGAAAGCTATCATTCCTGAAACTGAGACCAGATACTTGCCTCCAACACGTAGCCTGCTGCTCCGTAAGCTTGGCGATCTAGGTGACCCTGCCTTGAATGTGCTCCAGAAGGAGGCCCCTCGCTCTTGTGTGGGGCTGGAGAAAGCTCTCCCTGGCTGCAGTGCTCCAGTAGCTACAGCCACATGGCACGCCAGAGTTCTGCCTCTGTGCCAGAAGGCACATTTCCGCTCAGCTGAATTTCTGTAACTTACACTATTTCTCAGCAGGAATTTGTCGTTATCCCTCTCTCCAAGCCCAGCAGCAGCATGGTCAGGGGAGGGACTTACTGGGAGAGGCCCTTCGTACCGGTGGCTTTTCCCCAGCAGTAGTGTGGGCCAGTCCAAAGGCTGAGATGCCCACTCCTGGACTTGTCATATGAAAAAAGCTCTGCTGTTCAAGTATCTAGCTCCAGTTTCAATCTGTGAATGAAAACTCTATTTGTGAAAATGTAAATGGAACTGAGAAGAGTTTTTTTGGTTCTTTTTATACCTGTGGGAAACAGGCAGAAATTGTGGAACTGAAGATTAGTGGGGGAAGGGGAGTGGGCGGAGTCATTGGTGATTAAGACGGGTGTGGCTAGTGGGTGGTACTGACTGCCTCTGGATGGTGGAGAGGTTAGTGGATGGAGATGTAAATAGTTCAGGGACTTGGTTTACTAAGGACTGGCCTTGACTTTCAAGTTAGGTCAACATAGATACGGTGCTCAGGGGTGTGAAAAATCTACACCCCTGAGCACCGTAGCTATGCACACCTAGCCCCAGGTGTAGAGACAAGTAGGTCAATGGAAGACTGCCTCTGTTGACCTAGCTACCATTGCTTGTGGAGGTGGAGTTCCCACAGCAACGCAAAAACCCCTTCCATCACTGTAGGAAGCACATACACCGTGGCACTACAGTGTCACAGCTACAATGCCATAGTTTGCCCCAGTAGTGCCCTAGTCTAGATGTGGCATAAATCTAGGAACTTCTGGAAGGTTGGCAGAGCATCTGATAACCTGGCTTTATATAAAAGCTGGCTAGCTTTTCAGCTGTTTGTCAGCTTTACCAGCCTTGTTTGTAGTGTGCAGTAGGTGGTGGTTTCTCATTTCAGCTATAACAAGTGTGAAAGCTGCTGGTCAATACTACGAATGCGGTGATTAGAATTTACTGAGTTCACGCACTGATACTTGGTATATATCCAACTTAAGATGTATAATGTTGAAAGAGGTGGTAGGGAAACAATCAATTGAATGAATTGAAATAATAAGAACAGATAATTCTTCTAAAGCAAAATATTAACATTGTCAACAATTGTGAAGTAGAAGGATAGAAATCATTTGTGCTCATCTCTAACCATGCAGAAAATCAGTTTCTTCAGACTCTTCAAGAGCAAATGTACCATTGAATGAAACTTTGTCTGTTGAAGTGTAAGAGAAGAACACCGATGAGTATGATCCTGGAAGTGAGACTTTTTTGATGCTGTCACCAAAAGGTAGGTGCAGTGATCATTTAAGTCTCTGTCCCAGGCCTTCCAGCAGCTCTTCACTATTGGTTCCGTTCAGGAGCAATTTCTCCTCTTCTGACAGCCAATAAATAGCAAAGAGCAATTGATGGTTGTGCATTAAAAACAACCTGAAATGCAAATACTTTAACTTGATAAGAAGGCAAGATGCTTCCTTCATGCCAATAACAGAATCCCCTTCAGTGGTGCACAACATGAGCACTTTACTTAAATTCTAACAAACTGAATTCCTTTATTGAGCATGTGCCAGAGGAACATCATGACCAGTTTAAAGGCTCTATTTAAGAGGGTCAGCTTCTAGCAAAGAAAATGCTCCAGGCCTCCTCAGACGTGGCAGCCACTGCAGAATGGTCTAGTTCCACTGCGGTGGTCATGAGAAGAGTGTCTTGGCTGCAGATGTTGGGCTTTCCGAGAGAGGTTCAGAGTGCCATTGAAGAACTCCCCTTTGACCATTGTAAACCCTTTGTGGATTTGACAGATGCTTCTCTACACAATTTAAAGAAGTCGAGAGCCCCACTGAGATCTCTTGGAATTTATACTACTGAAAATAAGAGGAGATTTAATAGGTCTCTATCACAGACCATCTGAACCTCTGGCCAAGAGACCAAGATACTCAATAAAGAAACCTCCATCAGCTATGATTACATCTTCCCAGCCATTCACTTCTAAGCAACAGTGCCGATGACTCAGTCAAGAGTCTCAAGCATCCAGTCAATAGGTATTTACAGCTGCAAAGAAAAAAACAAATAATATTGTGTCCATGTGGGTGAAGATGCCATCCAAGGAAGGGGTGAAATATGGGAGAGAAATCTTTGCCATTTCCTTGGACTGAGCATAAAAAGATGATAATTTTCAGAGATGCAGTCATCCTAAACTTCTTATGTACAGTGTGGGCATTCAGCACACTGCTTATACCTCACTGAGAAAGAAGTAAGGCCCAACACAGTTCTAGTGCATATTGTGGTTCAAATCTTCTTCCACAGACACCATTATCCTCTTGGTTGGTTGAAAAAGGAGGATGGATGCAATAGTAGTGGAACAATCAGGAAGATTGTATCTCTACACGTGCATCCAACTCCTAAAAGTGTTGGAACTTGAAAATGAGAAGAACTTTGATCAAAATACAGCTTGGCTTCTGCACCACAAGGGTTCTACAAAGAGGCATTAAACTTACAAAAGCAATTGAGGATTGTTTTGAAAGGACTTGACAGGTTACAGGTTGCTGACACTGTCATGGTATCCTGGGAAATTTGGTTTGACCTAATTTAACAAAGAACGGCAATCACACGAGGACCAGATTTTAAAATGATTCAGAGAAGCTACAGAATCAGTCATGCTGGCTAAGCAATAGACAGATCTCAAACACAAGGGCATAGGTGGAGCCCAGAACAGGAAGAAGTGCCTGATTCATGCTGGTTGGAATATAATCCTGAGTTCCTTCCCTGTCACATTTTAAGATGAAGATCCAGATTTCTACCCCAAATATGTTTGTGAAGGAGGATTTGCTCCATAGTTCATTCCACCATTTTGATACAAAAACTGTAGAAGCAAAATCACAGATGACAGAACAGTCAGCTTTTAAAGGACCTGAATCAAATCAGCAACAATTGAATGTCTGTTTAATCCTATAAAAGAAGAGGAGTACTTGTGGCACCTTAGAAACTAACCAATTTATTTTGAGCTGTAGCTCACAAAAGCTTATGCTCAAATAAATTGGTTAGTCTCTAAGGTGCCACAAGTACTCCTTTTCTTTTTGCGAATACAGACTAACACGGCTGTTAATCTGAAACCTGTTTAATCCTATGGGACTGGTTTGGTCATAAGTGTAACAGGCTAAGTGCTGGAAAAGCAAACAATTTGGGGAAATGTATTGGCTTCTGCAGAAAGCTGCAAAATCGTTGTGGGCCTACCTAGTAGACTAGGGACAGACTCAATGATTGTTCTTACATTTTGGTGAATTATAGAATTGGAAGGGTGGGGTATTTTTGGACAATAGCTGAGGGTTTATATTCAAATAATACACGTGCTTTGGTTTCATTTCATAAAACCTTTCCTGGGTTTTTTCACTGGTGTGTTTTGTGTTTGAGAGAAATTGCTAAAACTTAAAATCCAATGGCAGGTTTCAGAGTAACAGCCGTGTTAGTCCGTATTCGCAAAAAGAAAAGGAGTACTTGTGGCACCTTAGCGACTAACCAATTTATTTGAGCATAAGCTTTCGTGAGCTACAGCTCAAAATAAATTGGTTAGTCTCTAAGGTGCCACGAAGTACTCCTTTTTTAAAATCCAATGTTTGTTTTTAAAAAAAAAAGAGAGAAACTTGGGTAAAAGGCACTTTTGGGTGACATTCTATTGTCCAAGTAATTTAACTATCCAAATATTAAGCAATATATTTCATGAACAAATCAGCAGTGTCTGTCAGTGGAACAGTGGATAGGAACAGGTTTAATTTAATGTTGCGTAGAGAACTCTATCACCTCACTCTGCTCCCAGTGGTGCTTCTGGAGCACCTGCCCATTCCCTGTTGTTGCTGCAGCTGTATGCTCTTGACCTTTTGGTCCCAGTGCTCAAAAACAAGTGTTGCATGCCAAGATGAGGAAAATCCAATTGTAAACCTTCAAAAGAGTGTGTTGCTGATGCAGTAGGCCTGCAAATGCTAGCAGTTGCTCTGTGGGAATGTGGTTTTGAAGAGCAATTTAAAGAATGTGTTCTTCATACTTCAGACAAGACAGTGTATTTCACCCCTACCCTGCTGTACTATGAACAAAATATAGGGGAGCCTAAACCCATGTAAATGTGGGATTGGTTTATCATTGGCTATAATAAATATCTCAAATAGACCTGGAAAGTATATAATTTGTGTAGAGCTGCATCTCAGATTTTGAAGACAGATCCATGTTGCATCAATGCCTGCAAAGGTGTTCAAGAACCATTCACCCTAGTGAAAAGATGCCCTTGTAATGCCACCAACTAGATCTGCCAGGAGTTGGTTGAACTTACGCACGTGAGTTTCTGGAAAGAAGTGTAAATATTTTGCATGTGAGGAGTGTGGCCTGGCGTGGCGGTAGAGGAGCAGCTGTGTTGGGCTCCTGACTTAGGTGCTCTCCTTCAGAAACTGCCTGTGACAGGCTGCCCAGCTCTTGGGTGGCCCCTGGGCAGCCTTGCTCTGGTGGTGACTCTGGAGGAAAGCTCACTGAGCCAGACAACAGCCTGTGGCTTTGGAAGTGAATTCCCTGCCGTGGCTCAGATGCAGCTCAGGAAAGCACACTCCAATGGAAACTAGGTGCAGATGGGGAGCTTATTTAGACTCAACGTTGTATCAGAGAGGTGTGTTACTCCCTGAGCAGGGGGAGAGAGAAGGAGTTTAGGCTGACCAGGGCAGGGAGCTCTGGGGAAACAAGTTCAGTTTATTCAGTGCATTCCATCTATGCACTCTGAGACTCTTTGGCGAGTTGGTGTCAAATTGGCTTAAATTAGAAGCCCTATGATAAAACCCTAATGGAGAGGGCGATCTAGGTTCAAACATGAACCTCTGGAGAATCTCTCTTGTCATTGCACCCAACTGCAGAACCCTTTCCAAGGAAGTTCATCTTTCCTTTCTGGTTTGAGAGGCCATATCCAGAAAGGAGCAGCGCAACTAGGGTTTGGCGGTCAGCCTTTTCACTTGCTAAGGGCTTCTGTTTTTGCTGATAGCACTGCATAAGGCCCAGCCACAGAGACAGGTTTACAGAAAATGATTCTTGACAGCTAAGGAAATCAACACAAAGGTCCCCCAACTAGAGACAACACTGGGCATTCTGCATTAAAACAGAGAACTTGTATTAATATTGCAGCAAGAACCGATGCTATTCAGAAACGGATGCAGGACGTGGAATTGACACAGAAACCAAAAGAGTGAGAGAATGTACAGGTGTGGGGTGTGGAACCTTTAATTTAAAAAATGAAATACTTAACCAAAGGCATGTTTTGTGTTTTAATTTACAACTATCAAGATGACTTAAAAAGGAGAATGTTCTCTTCTCCTAGCATTCTTTAAAAACTGGTACCCGGAGGTCTAAGGATCCATTAGAAATGAAAGAGAACACAGAATGCTTGCCAGACATCCATCTAACACCATGGTTGGGAGAAAGACACTGACTTTCATAAATTGTCAGATTTGATACAGAAATAGTCTACTGAAAGCAGTGCAGGAGAAAGGATCTGGAAGCTGAAGGTATGCTGAGACAGTTGCACAGGTGAAAAGACCTTGTTAATCCTGGTAAAGAAGGCCTTGGTAGGGAAAAAACATATCCGCCTCTGTTATCTCCAGCCCCATTACAGTACATCTTCAACAGAAATTGCCTTGTTTGTTTTAGGACAGTGACAGTCACCAGAGATGAAGAAGAATATCTGCATCATTGAAACAGATAAATATTCCATCAACATGGAACTCGTTCGTCAGTCCTTGTATGCAATCTATAAAATCCAGGAATGTCACTCTGTCACCCTGAAGCCTGTTATCTTTGTAGAGTCAGTGTGAAGCGATGGGCACAGCTACAAGCATGGATGCGGGCTCTTTTTGTTCAGAATATAACCAAGTTCCGTCGTCACCGGATTTTGCAGTCTATCACTGTCCAATTTTTATGTTCTCAGACACTCTCTGCTTTTTTACACATGCGACTTTACGAATTACACCCATCCAGCAGCCCAGATTTTCAGCTACTAATATTGTGACTCACTGACACTACATGTATTGATAGTGCCATACCATCCCATGTCAGTAAACGTAGGAAGGTCTAGAGCTGTCTAAGCTGGGCAGTCTTAGCTGTGTAGCTCTTGCTGAGTTAAAATACCTTATCAAATATTGATGCTGTTCACTAGACTGAAGTTTGTCTGGTCGTTCTGTCTCACGTTGCCCCACAAATAAGGCTTCTCCTCTCATCAGAAGGTAGGCCTAGTTGAACAAAGTCCATTGTTGCTATGCCAGAGATTAATTTGTCCCTTCTTTAATTTTTTTGTGTGTAAAAACATCAAAACACTGCTCAGAATATCATTGATTTTGAGTTTGATGCTTGGAGAAATTGTGTGTGTTTCATAACCTCTGTGTGTGTGTGTGTGAGAGAGAGAGAGAACGAACAATTATACTAGACTGATCTTAGGTTGATTTGTTTTTCCATTATTGTCTAGCCCCTTTGGAATGAGCCTACCTTGATCTCTGTTGACAGTGCCCCTTGGCTGGTGCTGATAATACCAGCTTCATGAAACTTACTGTGACGAAGCACAACTAACTCTGCCAAACCATTGAAATCCCTGTGCAGTGCCACACAAGCAAACCTCATTTGCTGTTGCATCCTACTGCCGTGTTTCTTCGCAATACTGAAGCATCAAAATTACACGACTGTGATGGGGGGGAGGTGCACCTGCTGTGGACTCTTCCACAAATGTGCTAAGTATCTTCTGCAGCATTGACATGGTCCCTGAATTGGGGTTTCCATTTGGCAGCAGAGATCTCCACCAAGTTGGCTTTACTCTTCTCTGCCCATTTTGTATCAGATAAGGAGACCTGAATGCATATGACATGGAGCTCTTTTTGCTAGGTTTTCTTACTACTGCAGAATTAGTGTAGTCTACGCATCTCATGATTTAGGGTGGAATTCCGCTCTCAGGTGAACATGAGAAAGTTCACTGGCTTCAATTTGAGCTGCACGTCTGTATCTAAGTCCAGGATTAATACCTACCATAGGAATGGTTTGGTAGGAACGTTTTCTATTATAAATAGGATTAATTCAGTGTGCTAAACAGTAATTTGAATCTCACGTAATTGTGAAGATCAGCAATTTTCTTTTTTTCCCCAAAAAATGTCTTGTGCTTCAGTTTAATGTTTCAAGTTAAGTCCCTACTGCTTTTGTTCTATAATCTGTTCTGACAGTAAATAAATGTAGAACTACCCACTGTGATCTTGTAGTCCATTGCAATAGCTACTAGAAGGCATGGATTTACGATTCCATCTTTGCTTAGTTGGAGAGAGAAGTATAGTAAAAGGGATGAGCAGCCTCCCGGGTAGTGAGAGAAGAAGCTAGAAGGGAAAGGGGTATTTATACTAATGCCAAGATAGTATAACTGCTGCTAGGAAAACTTGAATGAGGGTAAAGAATGTTCAGTGTGTCTCTCTTTTCCTGTTAAAATATCTCATTCTGATTTTTCTCTCTTTTCTTCTAGGAAACTTTATGCAGAGCTTTGCCAAGGTATAGTGGATGTAGCCATCTCTAGTGTCTTTCCCCTCAGTGACATAGTGCAAAAGCAGAGCCAGCCATCAATATTTATGAAGCTGTGATGACAAGACCATCTTAGCGAGACACATGGGAGAGTTGCCATCTGTCGATTCTGAGGGAAGGCTGTTGGATCATTGACTTTAGTATCATGCCAAAAAGGAGGAAAGAGAGACAACTTTTTGGAAATTCACGAGGAAAATATAAATAAAAGAAGGCTTCCAAGGAGAGTCCAGGATGAGCCAAAGTTGTTCAGACAACTCTGCCTGTGTTTCACCAAACTATGCTTTGGAAACAGCTCATGTGACTTTAATAACTGAAGCAAATCTCTCTGGGAGAACAGCAAAATAATGTTTAAAAAAAAACAGGAATACAATAATATTGTATTATCTCGTCCTTTTCTAAAAAGAAACCTTTTTTCCTTTTTTTTAAATAAGGCAATTTAATGAAGAGTACCATTGATGTGGGTTTCTTGGTTCATCACCTGCTGCAGTTTTAGTGCCTTAGCTCAGTCCCCAATAGGTAACTCCTTTTTGTTCCTGCTCCATTTGTGTAGAGGTGAAAAGCGGTCTTGTTTTGTGGGATGTGTAAAAGAAGAAAAAGTTAATTTTAAGTCTGTTTTAAAATCAGCTAGCGAAACACCCAGTAACGATATGGCAAAGGTGGCACCACTGAGGGTACTGTATCTAATGTGATGAAGTAGCCTAGGGGTTTAAGGAGGTTTTATTTACTTGTATCCATTGTCTAATGAGATTTGAATCGGTTGTCTGTCAGTCTGACGCAGTTGGAACCCCTAGAAAACAAGTACTCAGCCCCTCCCTCACCGATCTGCAGTTTTTAGGGAGCCTAGGTTGACATTCTTGTTGAGAGCGTTGCTGTAACAGAGTCTGACTTTCCTGGAAGGCTTGTTCAGAGGGGCATTCAAATTATCTTAGTTCAGCTCTTCTTTCAGTTTTTATGCTTTTAATACCTTCGTTTTTGTTAACCAAAACAACACCAAGGGACTCTGGCAGCCTCTTTAAGATGCATCTGAGGCTTGAAAAAAGAATCCTTTCAACCCCACCAGTTGTTTCCCTTTCAACCCAACCAATTTTATCTCTCTCCATTGGACAAACATTGCATTTTTTAGCACTTACAAGTCAGCACCACCGAAACATGGCTGTGCTTTGTGCCCCAAGCATCATCAGTCAGTAGAAATAGGCTCACCTCTTGGGGAAAGCATTTGATGATCAGCTGGTGCTGCTGTAGAACAGCAGGGAAACTCTTGTTCCATATTGTGTTATATTGTGATAACCTTTTAAAAAAAAAAAAAAATTAGGTCAGTGAATGTAGAAACTCACATTTTTTAAGTATAACCTAAATAGATATATGAAATCCTGGGAACATTCCCCACATCATAAACAGACCCTTTAAGTTACAATTTTTAACCTAAATAGGTTGGCTGTGTTTCTTTGTAGAACACAGTGGGGTCCCTAATAGCAAACTGGGTACTATAGATCATAAGTGTGTTCCGTATTGCAATGCAATGTGTTGGAAATTTTCAGTAGGAATAGAGAGGTGGAATTTTAGATTTAATCTTAGTGTTTAAGAAGTAATAATCTGTGTCTGCAAATGACTAATACTAACAAGATCCCCTTTTTCAAGGAAACCAGTAAGATTTCTATAAGCTATTACGCGTTTTCAATACTGAGCTGCTGCAGTTCTCCTACATGCATTGCATGTTGCATCCTAGCATATTTTATGATTAGATTTTTTTTTCTACATATTTTAAAAGGTCAGTGAAATGAGGCAGCTTCCTACCAAACAAGTGTGCATGACTGAATGAGAAGCAGAGTCTGATACAGAAAAGCATGAGAGACTTGTTTAGAAGAAGGATCTCTCTTGTGTGGTGCACAATCCCCACAGGATGCTGTTGTGGAACACTGACATCTGCACCTGAATCAAATCCAGCAAGAGTTCTGGCTCTGCTGGTCGGATCAGAACTACATTCTGTTGTCTCTGACAGTTGCTTTGGGTTGAGGATACTTACATTAAGGGTGACCCAAGCAAAAGAAAAGTGGCTCCTGCTACCAAAAAAAAAACACATTTAGGAGGTTCCAAGCTTCTGATTGGCTGAGTTTAATAAGCATTGAGTTACGTAGTCTAATTTTTCCCTCCAGTGAAATGTCTGAGCACTCTTACACACTTTCCTCGACTTAGGGTTGAGATTTCCCATCTCTGAATTGTTTCCAGGGTAGAGCTCTGTGAATGAATGAAACTGTCACACTTTGCCAAGTCACTGGTGTTCATAAATCTTGGCTCTATAGCAAAGGGAGAGACAGAAGCATTTCTGAGAGGTGTACGGAACTTTAAATCTCATTGCTGGGGCGCACTGGGGGAGTTTCTGTTCCATACCTTAATTATTTCGATCCAGAACAGCTAGATTTGGGGACGGACTCAGCCACTCATCTTAAAAGTCTGTCTATTTGAAAACTTTGGCCAGGTGGCTATCAGATTGTCACTTCTGCCAAAGTGCTTCATACTCTTGCTGGCTTCATTTATTTACAGCAAGTAAATAACTTACTTCACAACTCTTCACACCATTGCTGCTTTTCTGCAGATCTCTGGGATCTAGCATTGAAGCTGCAGAGGTCGTTCCATTGGTGTGAGTTTTCTGCTGTAACGCCAGTTGAACATCATCTGTACATCAAGCCAGACTGCAGGTGAGACAGGAAACATCAGTGAAGCAGTTAAGATTCCTTAGCTGACTAGCATTCTTTCCTTATATCAGATGGCAAAGAACAGGCCTTATTCTAGGGCTTGTATGGGGCTGCCTGAGCTCACTGTCAAGAGCCCAATTACCTTGCTTGGCGGAGGGGCAGTGTAAGGCCAGGAATTTTGTTTTGCAAAGGGAGTAGCCAGGTGATTTGAGTTGGGTTTTCACGGCTGCAGGAAAAAAAAAGGAAAACTAATTTTAAAAATTAACTTGAAGTCTCCATTACTGTGGAGGCCAGGAAGCCTATGAGGGGGACAGACGGGGTTTGTACTGAAATGAACCCACAGAAAGCCTCAGTGGGGAATGTTGGATAATCCTAACTCATGTGACTACAAGCCTAATAAGGACACGGGCGCTATCATTAAAACATCAGTCAATATTTGAAGCGTATGCCCCCTTTAGTGTAATCTGTCATGAATTCCCAGGTACTGGAGTTATATATAGGGCTGTCAAAATCCAATGGCTAGCAGATTGCCACCATCACCATAAGAGGCTGCCCCTCTGATACTTGATAACATAAGTGTGTTGCTGCTGTGCAAACTTCTCTTAAGCAGTAAGTGTGAAATGAGCTCAAGTGTTGTATATAAATATCTGTGAAAATTTGATGGCAGATGTAACGTGCATTTGAACTATAAAGTGGTTGAAATATTGTATTCCAGAAGTTGACAAGAAAGACTGCTCTCACTGTGTGTACAGTGAGCTCACGTGTGAATGGTGGGGTAGAAGTTCCAAAAATTGATGTCTAAGTTAGGGTCCTATGTCCATAAGGGGCCTGATTTTTCAATAGAGCTGAGCTCCCAACAGCTCTCATTGATTTCATGAAGAAGCAAAAAAAGGCACAAGCCCAAATTTAAAAAAATTCTTTTTAGGTCACCTTTTATTTCCATTTCACTGATAGCAGTAGTAACTAGATAGTGAAGTGCAAATGAAAAGCCATCTGGCTAATACCAGTCAGTCAAATGGAAATCAAAGGTGACTTTAATTGAAAGTGATGAATTTAAAACCTGGGTTTGCCCCCCTGGTTTCTTCCTGATGTGTATGAAGTGAGCCTGGAACCTGTGGTGAGGTTTGGCTTTGCACGTGTTTTTACCTTTAGAAGTAGCAGGAATGTCAGTCTGGTCTCATTGGTCTTGCTGGATGTTGGAGGACGTGTATTGTGAGCTCTCATTCATTAACTCATTACTGGAAGAGGGAAGGTGGTGTGGACTATTTAAGGCCATGGCTACAGTAGAAAAAAGGTGGGGAAGTGATAAGCTCATGTTAGCTACCCTGTGTTAAAATCCTAGTACAGACAAAGTAAGTTGTAGCTTTACCACATGTTAGCTGGTCAGAGTAACCCCCAGGTTACCCCCCCCCGAATTTACCTGACCAGAATGTATTAAAACCACACCGTGCTTTGCCTGCACTCAGATTTTAATGTGTTAGCTAACATGTTTCAACACGCATTTTTCCCGGTGAAGACAAGGGCTGGCAAAGATGTCCTTTATTGAGAATGTGTATCAGACATGGAAGTAAAATAGGTATGAACCAAAAAAAGAGTTTAAACTAAAACTCTCTCCCCTCTCAGCTTTCGCTCTTGTGATACCCTCATTTTACTAGCTGGTTAGCCAGTTAAGACTGGGCTGGAATGTGTAAAATAAATTAGGGGAGGGGGGATCTTAAAGGTCTTAGGCCTTTTTTACCTCATAAAGAAGTGAAGAAAAGGCACAAGCCCTGAGGCAGTTGACATTTTCTTCCTTTGCAGGTCGCCTTTAAGAATTAATAAAGGTTCAGCAGCTGTTCCTCTAGTGTGTTCAGTGTGTCCCTATAGGGAACTTGTTGTATAGGATATATATATAGAGAGAGGAGAACATCTGCTTAGTGTGAGTCCAGCTAGTTGGGGCAGTAGAACCCTTCTCCAAACATGCTCTTGTAAGCATCTTGTTTGTGTGCTGTGCTCCTAGGGGAGACTGATAGAGCAAAGCCGTTAGCATAGTGTGCGAGATGGATCATGCTGAAGTGACTCCAGGCAGCCTCCTCCCACCCTGGTTTGATGGTCCCTGGATGAGCCTTGCAATCCTGTAACAGTAATCATGGGACTATTGTCATTCAGGTGTGGGAAAGTCAGAGAGAGAGATCTTACTTGTTCTCAGGATGTGCAGTTTCAGTGGGGTGACCTGCTGAGCAGGTAGGGACTGTCATCTGTGCCCATCATTTTACAGGTTTCAGAGTAACAGCCGTGTTAGTCTGTATTCGCAAAAAGGAGTACTTGTGGCACCTTAGAGACTAACCAATTTATTTGAGCATGAGCTTTCGTGAGCTACAGCTCACTTCATCGGATGCATCCGATGAAGTGAGCTGTAGCTCACGAAAGCTCATGCTCAAATAAATTGGTTAGTCTCTAAGGTGCCACAAGTACTCCTTTTCTTTTTTCATCATTTTACAGTGGGAGGAAAGCCACACAGACTCCCCCGCTGTCAAGCTACCTGACAGAACCATCCCAGTGCAGTCAGCTGGGATGCGATTGGGATAATCTTAATCCTTGACAGCCCCAGTGTTTATTGGAGAGATTAACTGAACGAACAGGCCACACACACACATACACAAACAAATGAAGAACTGCTCCCCCTTGTTATACAGTAATGACCAAGTACTGCATTTACAATGGCACTGTACGGCAGTGTTCTGGACCATTTCTGTTTCAGTCTGTAGTCCTGTCATTGATAGGTACTGGGTGATGACAAGCTCCCTTGATTATGTTCTCACTGCACAGATTCCCTGTCTTGGAAAGATGACCAATTGATGTTATTTGATGGTATTGACAAACTTCAGTCTATCAGCCCACCTCACCTTGAATGTTACCGTTGACCTTGTCCTGTTTTCAAGTTAGGCTCCTTAGATTTCTTGAGTCTAGGAGGAAATAAAAGTTGGAACATATGTTGCAGTGTACGTAATGCCCTGCCATTTTAGAGCACCTGCTTGCTGCCTTTGGGACAAATTCTGCCACTGTAGAGCCACAATTAACTCTGGACATCAGAATGGGGAGCCCCGCATTTACAGTAAAATCTGCACCAACTTTTGTTTTAAGCAACCAATTTAATGTATTCATGTGTAGAGTTTCAGGTACATATTTGTTTGACCTTGGGGTTGGTTATAATAGACCTCCAGTTGATGATCTCTTGCATCATCAATCAAAAGTCTTTAAACTACGGCGTTTCACTGTATTCCAAACTAACTGAATTCTGTTTAGTAAGGATCTGATTATTCGCACAATACCTGTTTAACTTTTCTCACCATTTTTAAAGATGTTTATCAGGTTGTCAAATTACTGGCTTCTTTGCCATATTCTTCGAAAGGCCTTTTCTCAGAATTCTACAAGGTTAATTGACAATAATACTTGGAGGGAAGAGGGGGGAAGGCATTTGTTACAGCAGAAGAGCAGTGTGTAACCAATTTCCCCATCCTTTATACCCTACTTATATCTGAAATATAAAATATTTTTCTGTCTTCCAAGGTGGTAGTCATTGCCAAGAGAAAACATCCGAAAGGTAACTGTGGTTTCTAAAATTCTGGGTGCTCACACTAAGGAAAATGTGTTTTGTCCAATTATCAAAATGTCTTTATCTGTAAGGGACTTGTTTTTGATTGAAGAGTTAGAACATTGTATGCTTGTGTGTAATTTTAAGTTAAGATCATGAACTTTTTTAAAGAAATTGCAAAAATAACATTTTCTAACTGAAGTCCTATAAAAGTTTAATTGAAAAGGCCTTACTCGTTAATGAGCTCTTGAAAGAGATGGATGCTGCTTTTCAAGAAGACGAATATCATCCTACAGAATGTGATTGGTGTCTAGGCTGATACGTTGTATCCTTTTTTGTGTCCTTCATTGAGAAGGATTTCAGACATGGGCTCTCTGAATAAGGGCCTCATGGAACTGGAATCCTGGAAGTCCCGTTTTCAGTTTGTCTGTGGTTTGTCTCATACAGGATAGGGGGAAATCCCATTTTAAAATTCATTGTGATTTTTGTGCTACAACTGTAATGTGCTCCCAGTCCATTTCAGAGGCTGACCACAACAGCCAAACAATTATGAAAATGCTGATGCTGTCTTAAGAAACCAGCTTTGTTAAGGAGGTCAGTCTTCTGTATCGCATTGTAATCAAGACCCTTCAGGACTGCATGCATGTGTATGGTCAATGCATTTCTTGTTCTCTAAGCATTGTTCTCTGCTAAGAGGAAAACACTGTGCAATAAGTAAGAGTTAATAATAATGTTTCATTATCAATGTCAGCTAAAAGTGTCTGTGGAAAACAGTAATGTTGAAAGGATCTGAAATGATCACTGTAGCGTACATAAAGAGCTCCTGAAGTTACATCCTATAGATCTTTAGTTTGTGTTTTCAAATTACTATCATGATGTGAGTGTGTATGTATGTCTCTCACAGGATTTGTGAGCAGTGCATGGTTCTCTGACATTTGTATTCAACTCTGTCCTGAATAACAATTAAAGAGAGAAAATCTTATTACCTGTTGTCTTTTTCTTTGTGAATAACTATACAAAGAGGCAACCACAGATGGGCGGGGAGTCTAGCTAAGCAAGCTGCTCGCCTTTACATTCACAAGTAAGCTTTTCAAGTCTTCCAAGTGGATATTGTGTCGAGGGGTAAATAGAGGGGAAACACATCAAAATAGATATGCTCACTAGCAGCTCTACTGCTGCTGGGAAATAGCCTAGCCAAGGGCACAAAGCCTTGGAGGGTAACATTTTCCAAAGCCTCTTGGGGATTTTGATGTTGGGGGGAGCCCTCAATCTCTCCTGGTGAAGCTGTGCTGCTCTGTATAAATAAATGGAGCGGGGGCCTGGACCTTGGGGGTCTCCCACCTCCCAGAGGGGTACCCATACCACCAGGCTATAGAGTCATGCTCTTGCTAGCCTGTCGTTTTATTTATACAGTGGTGTCTGCACGGGTGGGGGGTGTTCTGAGGGCCGTGCCATGGAGTGGGCCTGAGTGTGGGGGAGAGGGCGGAGATGGGTGTTGCTCTGAGGGCCATGTGTGTGGATAGGGAGGTTCTTTTGAGGGCCCTGTGGGCGTGGGTGGCTGGGGATTGCTCTGAAGGTGGGAATGGATAGGGGGTGGGGAGGGGTTACGCTGAGGGCCCTGTGGGGGGTGGATGGAGCTTATGGGGAGGTTGCACTGAGAGCTCTGTGGGGGCCTGGGGGCATTGCGCTGAAGCAGTTCGCCTGTGGCTGGGGGATGGCAAGGCGGGGCTGCTCTGAGAGCCGGTGGGGGGGGTCGTGCTGAAGACCCTGGGGGTGGTGGATGGAGTTGGGGGGGAAGGGGGGTTGCACTGAAGCCCCTGTGGCAGGGAGATGGCAAGGCGGGGTTGCTCTGAGGGCAGAGGGGGCATTGCACTGAGCATCCTGTCGGGGGTGGATGGAGGTGGGAGCTCCGAGACCTCGGGGGGGAGAGGCGAGGAGGGGTTGCTCTGAGGGCCCTGTGGGGGGGGGTGGACAGAGGTGGTGAGGGGTCGCGCTGAGGGCCCTGGGAGGGTGGAGGGAGGTGGAGAGGGGTCGCACGGAGGGCCCTGTGGGAGGAAGGGGGTCAAGCTGAGGGCCCGGGGGGGGCAGTGGAGGGGAGGGGGTCGCGCTGAGGGCCCGGGGGGGGCAGTGGACGGGAGGAGGGGGGGTCGCGCTGAGGGCCCGGGGGGGGCAGTGGACGGGAGGAGGGGGTCACGCTGAGGGCCCGGGGGGGCAGTGGACGGGAGGAGGGGGGTCGCGCTGAGGGCCCGGGGGGGGCAGTGGAGGGGAGGAGGGGGGGTCGCGCTGAGGGCCCGGGGGGGCAGTGGAGGGGAGGAGGGGGGTCGCGCTGAGGGCCCGGGGGGGGCAGAGGACGGGGAGGAGGTGGGTCGCGCTGAGGGCCCGGGGGGGGGCAGTGGACGGGAGGAGGAGGTGGGTCGCGCTGAGGGCCCGGGGGGGGGCAGTGGACGGGAGGAGGAGGAGGGGGTCGCGCTGAGGGCCCGGGGGGGGCAGTGGACGGGAGGAGGGGGGTCGCGCTGAGGGCCCGGGGGGGGGGCAGTGGACGGGAGGAGGGGGGTCGCGCTGAGGGCCCGGGGGGCAGTGGAGGGGAGGAGGGGGGGGGGTCGCGCTGAGGGCCCGGGGGGGGGCAGAGAATGGAAGGAGGGGGGTCACGCTGAGGGCCCGGGGGGGGGGGCAGTGGACGGGAGGAGGGGGTTGCGCTGAGTGCCCGGGGGGGGACACTGGACGGGAGGAGGGGGGGTCGCGCTGAGGGCCCGGGGGGGGCAGAGGACGGAAGGACGGGAGGAGGGGGTCGCGCTGAGCGCCCGGGGGGGGGGCAGTGGACGGGAGGAGGGGAGGAGAGGGGTCGCACTGAGGGCCCGGGTGGGGGCAGTGGACGGGAGGGGGGGGGGTCGCGCTGAGGGCCCGGGGGGGGCAGAGGACGGAAGGACGGGAGGAGGGGGGTCGCGCTGAGGGCCCAGGGGGGCAGTGGACGGGAGGAGGTGGGTCGCGCTGAGGGCCCGGGGGGGGGGGGGGGGGGGGGGGCCGGGGGGGGCAGAGGACGGGAGGAGGGGGTCGCGCTGAGGGCCCGGGGGGGGCAGTGGACGGGAGGAGGGGGGTGCGCTGAGGGCCCGGGGGGGGCCGTGGACGGGAGGAGGGGGGGTCGCGCTGAGGGCTCGGGGGGGGCAGTGGACGGGAGGGGGGGGCAGTGGACGGGAGGAGGGGGGTCGCGCTGAGGGCCCGGGGGGGGCAGTGGACGGGAGGAGGGGGGTCGCGCTGAGGGCCCGGGGGGGGCAGTGGACGGGAGGGGGGGTCGCGCTGAGGTCCCGGGGGGGGCAATGGACGGGAGGAGGAGGGGGTCGCGCTGAGGGCCCGGGGGGGGCAGTGGACGGGAGGGGGGGTCGCGCGGCGGACAGGGGGGGGTTCCGCGGCGCGCGCGGCCCGGGGGGCGGGGCCGGGTTCCGGAAGCGGCGAGCGCGTGGAGCGGCCGGGTCGGTTGGGCCGCGCGGGGCACGCCGGGAGCTGCCGGAGGCGCGCGGCGCAGCATGGAGGCGGCGGCGGCGGCGAGGTGGCGGGGCCTGCCCGAGCGGCCCAGCCTCGCGCCCCTGACGGCGCCGGGCTACGGGCGGCCCCGCGAGAGGCAGCACCCGGCCCTGCAGGAGCTGACCCGGGCCCACGTCGAGTCCTTCAACCTGGCCGTGGGCGAGGGGCTGCACCGGGCCGTGCAGGTGGGGAGAGAGCGGGGGGTGCGGGAGAGAGCGGGGGGCGCGGGAGAGAGCGGGGGGTGCGGGGGGAGAGAGCGGGGGGCGCGGGGGGAGTGCAGGTGGGGAGAGAGCGGGGGGGTGCGGGAGATAGTGGGGGAGTGCAGGTGGGGGAGAGAGCGGGGGGAGTGCAGGTGGGGAGAGAGTGGGGGGGTGCGGGGGGAGAGTGGGGGGGTGCGGGGGGGGAGTGCAGGTGGGGAGAGAGCAGGGGGGTGCGGGAGAGCGGGGGGAGTGCAGGTGGGGGGTGCAGGGGCAGTGCAGGTGGGGGAGAGAGCGGGGGGTGCGGGAGAGAGCGGGGGGAGTGCAGGTGGGGGGTGCGGGGGGGAGTGCAGGTGGGGAGAGAGCGGGGGGTGCGGGAGAGAGCGGGGGGTGCGGGGGGAGAGAGCGGGGGGAGTGCAGGTGGGGGGGTGCGGGGGGGAGTGCAGGTGGGGAGAGAGCGGGGGGTGCGGGAGAGAGCGGGGGGAGTGCAGGTGGGGGGTGCGGGGGGAGTGCAGGTGGGGAGAGAGCGGGGGGAGTGCAGGTGGGGGGTGCGGGGGGAGTGCAGGCGGGGGGAGAGAGCAGGGGGGCGCGGGGGAGTGCAGGTGGGGGGTGCGGGGGGGGAGTGCAGGTGGGGAGAGAGCGGGGGGGTGCGGGGGGGAGTGCAGGCGGGGGGTGCGGGAGAGGGGATTGCAGGAGGGGGAGGGAGTGCGGGTTGTAATGGGAGCAGGCCCGTGCACCCTCGGGAAGGGCTGGTGCGTGGCAGCAGGGGCCGCCAAGGCAGAGAGCTTGGGGCTGTCTCATGCCCCGTCGCTTTACGCCCCAGCTTGCCAGGCGCTGGCTCTCTCTAGACAAGCCCTAAGTCGGTTTCTGATCCGCGCCTGCTGGTTTCCTTACCAGCCGCATCTCCACAGCAACCTGTTGAAATACGCATGAGGATGGGTTGTTCTTATGCTGCTGTTGCACTGACGGGCCCAAAGAACCGGAATGGTTTAATGGGCAATGATTTTCCTCAGCTGGTTATTTACCCTCATAGAGACCACGTGGGTGAGGGAATATTTGTTGCGGCACCAACTTCTGTTGGTGAAAGAGACAAGCTTTCCAGCGCGCACAGCTCCTCTTCAGCCCTGGGAAATAAGCGTCACAGCTAAATACAAGGTGGATCAGATTGTTGAGCATAAGTAGTTAGCACATATTTCAAGGGACCTTTCAAAGTGAAGTGGGCCCCTTAATGCCTCTCCAGTCATAGGTTTCAGAGTAACAGCCGTGTTAGTCTGTATTCGCAAAAAGAAAAGGAGGACTTGTGGCGCCTTAGAGTAACCAATTTATTTGAGCATGAGCTTTCGTGAGCTACAGCTCACTTCATTGGATGCATACCGTGGAAACTGCAGCAGACTTTATATACACACAGAGATCATGAAACAATACCTCCTCCCACCCCACTGTCCTGCTGGTAATAGCTTATCTAAAGTGATCATCAAGTTGGGCCATTTCCAGCACAAATCCAGGTTTTCTCACCCTCCACCACCCCCCACGCACAAACTCACTCTCCTGCTGGTAATAGCCCATCCAAAGTGACAACTCTCTACACAATGTGCATGATAATCAAGGTGGGCCATTTCCTGCACAAATCCAGGTTTTCTCACCCCCCCACCCCCCTCCAAAAAACACACACACAAACTCACTCTCCTGCTGGTAATAGCTCATCCAAAGTGGCTGAGGTGGAATTCCTCAAGGGCTTCTTTTCCATGGTGTTATAACCAGGATGGTGTTATCAGGAAGATCACCGATGGATCCTGGCCACTATGGATGTAGAAGCCCTCTACACCAACATTCCACACAAAGATGGAGTACAAGCCGTCAAGAACACTATCCCCGATAATGTCACGGCTAACCCGGTGGCTGAACTTTGTGACTTTGTCCTTACCCATAACTATTTTACATTTGGGGACAATGTATACCTTCAGATCAGCGGCACTGCTATGGGTACCCGCATGGCCCCACAGTATGCCAACATTTTTATGGCTGATTTAGAACAACGCTTCCTCAGCTCTCGTCCCCTAAAGCCCCTACTCTACTTGCGCTATATTGATGACATCTTCATCATCTGGACCCATGGAAAAGAAACCCTTGAGGAATTCCACCATGATTTCAACAACTTCCATCCCACCATCAACCTCAGCCTGGTCCAGTCCACACAAGAGATCCACTTCCTAGACACTACAGTGCTAATAAACAATGGTCACATAAATACCACCCTATACCGGAAACCTACTGACCGCTATTCCTACCTACATGCCTCCAGCTTTCACCCTGACCACACCACACGATCCATCGTCTACAGCCAAGCTCTGCGATATAACCGCATTTGCTCCAACCCCTCAGACAGAGACAAACACCTACAAGATCTCTGTCAAGCTTTCTTACAACTACAATACCCACCTGCGGAAGTGAAGAAACAGACTGATAGAGCCAGAAGAGTTCCCAGAAGTTACCTACTACAGGACAGGCCTAACAAAGAAAATAACAGAACGCCACTAGCCGTCACCTTCAGCCCCCAACTAAAACCCCTCCAACGCATTATTAAGGATCTACAACCTATCCTGAAGGATGACCCAACACTCTCACAAATCTTGGGAGACAGGCCAGTCCTTGCCTACAGACAGCCCCGCAACCTGAAGCAAATACTCACCAACAACCACATACCACACAACAGAACCACTAACCCAGGAACCTATCCTTGCAACAAAGCCCGTTGCCAACTGTGCCCACATATCTATTCAGGGGACACCATCACAGGGCCTAATAACATCAGCCACGCTATCAGAGGCTTGTTCACCTGCACATCCACCAATGTGATATATGCCATCATGTGCCAGCAATGCCCCTCTGCCATTTACATTGGTCAAACTGGACAGTCTCTACGTAAAAGAATAAATGGACACAAATCAGATGTCAAGAATTATAACATTCATAAACCAGTCGGAGAAAACTTCAATCTCTCTGGTCATGCAATCACAGACATGAAGGTCGCTATCTTAAAACAAAAAAACTTCAAATCCAGACTCCACTGGGAAACTGCTGAATTGGAATTCATTTGCAAATTGGATACTATTAATTTAGGCTTAAATAGAGACTGGGAGTGGCTAAGTCATTATGCAAGGTAGCCTATTTCCCCTTGTTTTTTCCTACCCCCCCCCCCCCAGACGTTCTGGTTAAACTTGGATTTAAACTTGGAGAGTGGTCAGTTTGGATGAGCTATTGCCAGCAGGAGAGTGAGTTTGTGTGTGTGTGTGTGTGTGTCCCCGGGAAAAGGGCGGGGGGTGAGAAAGCCTGGATTTGTGCTGGACATGGCCCACCTTGATTACCATGCACATTGTAGGGAGAGTGGTCACTTTGGATGAGCTATTACCAGCAGGAGAGTGAGTTTGTGTGTGTGTTTTTTGGAGGGGGGTGGGGGGGTGAGAAAACCTGGATTTGTGCAGGAAATGGCCCACCTTGATTATCATGCACATTGTAGGGAGAGTGGTCACTTTGGATGGACTGTTACCAGCAGGAGAGTGAGTTTGTGCGTGGGGGGGTGGAGGGTGAGAAAACCTGGATTTGTGCTGGAAATGGCCCAACTTGATGATCACTTTAGATAAGCTATTACCAGCAGGACAGTGGGGTGGGAGGAGGTATTGTTTCATGATCTCTGTGTGTATATAAAGTCTGCTGCAGTTTCCACGGTATGCATCCGATGAAGTGAGCTGTAGCTCATGAAAGCTCATGCTCAAATAAATTGGTTAGTCTCTAAGGTGCCACAAGTACTCCTTTTCTTTCTCCAGTCATAGGAACTGGGGTAAAGCTGGAGGTGAGGCACGGTTAATGGGTTATATAGATTGTTGTAATAAGCCATAAATCCAGTGTTCCTGTTCAGTCCATGATTTTTAGTGTCTGGCAAAGTTATGACTTTAGGCTCCCACAGTCGTCTTTTGAAAGCGTTGTGCAGATTTCCTTTGAGGATGACGACTGAGAGGTCAGTTATAGAGTGATCGTTGTGAAAAGTATTCACCCACAGGTGATGTGGAGTTGTCGTCTTTTGTCATTTTTCTGAGTAAGTTCATTTGAGAGCGTAGTGATTCTCATTTCACCTGCAAGAACCCAGTTCAATATAGAAATAATCTCCCTTGACCGTACACCCCTAGTTGTCACCTACTATCCCACAGTGGAACCCGTATGGAGTATCATCAAACAGTTACAACCCATACTCTGGTTGTATGGGGACCACATCCTGAAATAAATCTTTCCTGAACCCCCTCTTCTAGCTTTCAAACAACCCCCCAACCTCTCCCAAGTTCATCAGAATCAAGATCCACACAGATCAGGACACTAGCTCAAAGTGGCACCAGATCCTGCCAGAATAACAGGTGCAAAACCTATGATCTACCTGCACTACCACAATGATCAACAACCCTCACAACACACCTTTCAAGATCCATGATTCCTACACACACCTATCACAACAAGTGGTGTACTTCATCCAGTGCACTAAATGCCCCAATAATAAATATGTGGGTGAAACGCAGAACTGACCCCTGCAGGACCCTACTAGATATGCCCTCCCAGTTTGACAATGAGTCATTCATACTACGTTTTCCCTTCTACAGTTGTCTAGGACCTCACCTGTCCTCCATAAGTGCTTGAATTGCTAATGCGTCTGAGATTACTTCCACTAGTTCCTTAAACACCCGAGTATGAATTTCATCAGGCTCTGCTGGCTTGAATACATCTATCTTAGTTAAATATTCTTTAGCCTGTTCTTTCCCTATTTTGGCTTATATTCTTTGCTGTTAATTTGAATTGTGTTGAGTATCTGGCCGTTATTAACCTTTTCAATGAAGACTGAAGCAAATTAGGCATTAAACACTGTCTTCTTGTTGCCATCAGGTATTAGTTCTCCTTCCCTGCTAAGTAGAAGACCTACACTTTCTTTTCTTTCTTTTGCTCATAATGTATTTAAAGAACCTCTATTGCCTTTTATATCCTTTGCTAGGTGTAACTCTTTTTGTGGCTTAGCTTTTCTGACTTTTGTCCCTACATACCTGTGCTGCTATTTTGTACTTCTCCTTAGCAATTCATCCATGTTTCTGCTTTTTGTAGGATTCCTTTCTGATTTTCAGGTCATTAAAGAGCTCCTGATGGAACCATATTGGCCTCTTACTATTCTTCCTTTCTTTCATTCATATGGGAATAGTTGGTAGTTGTGCATTTAATATTGTCTCCTTGAGAAACTACCTCGTCTCCCGAATTCTTTTATCCCTTGGAGTTTATCCCCATAAGAGCTTACCTGCCAGTTCCCTTTGTTTATTAAAGTGTGCTTCTTGAAATACATTGTCCTTATTCTGCTGCTCTCACTCCTTTCTTGCCTTACAATCATGATATCTATCATTTCATGATCACTTTCACCTAAATTGCTTTCCACTTTTAGATTCTCAACCAATTCCTCTTTGTTGGTCAGAATCAAATCTAAAATGGCTGCCCCAGGTCACTTCTTCCTCTTTCTGAAACAATAGGTTGTCCCCAGTACATTCCAGGAACTTATTGGAAACACTGTATTTTGCCATATTACCGTATATACTTGTTCATAAGCCGAATATTTTTGGTAAAAAAGTGACACATCAAAGAGTGGGGGTCGGCTTATAAACAGGTCTACACCAAAATTTGATGATTTTAAACTCTATGAAATCATTGAATTGAATATCTAATACATTGTCGTTTTGTTTATCCAGAGCGTCTGCGGGCATGGAGCCCCTCAGCCCCCTGCGGCCGCGGTTCGCCGTTCCAGACAATGTATAAACAAAATGTCCCAACCTGGCTTACCCTGACCGGCCGGGAGCCAAAGTTTGCCGACCCATTTATTGATGTCAATACTGCAGCCTTTTAAAGTTGCAAAGGCTTTGTTTAGTGGACTAGTTTGGCTTGAAAGGAATACTAAAAGAGCAGTGCTGCAGATCTGCATGACATTTGACCCATGCAGTTTACAAAATATAACGTGCAGAATCGATGGACTCTCTAATAAAATTGAAATAGCCTGTTATCCCCACAGAAATGCCAATCTACAGGGCTGCTTTGAAATAAAAAAAGAACAATAATAATTTGCCAGTGATAAAGCAGGTGACATTCCTATATAAAGTCCTACAAAATTTATAACTACAATAATAATAATCTATTTTCATACTAGTATTTAAAATGAACAACAGTAAAATCAAAAGCAAAAGGTCTGCTTATCACGCAGCATTCAAACTTAAAGTTGTTGAATATGCAGAAGCAAACAATAAATGCGCCGCTGCTCATGAATTCTGTATCAATGAGAAGCAAGTAAGAGAATGGCGAAAAAATAAAACACTAAAAGACATGCCAAGAAGCAAAAAAAAATGTCCAATGAGGTGTGCTTCATTTCCTGAGCTGGAGAAAGATGTCAATAATTGGGTTGTTGAATGTCGACGAAATGGGTACATTGTCACTAGAACTGGAATTCGTCTGCGTGCTCTGCAAATGTCGAAAGATGACAAATACAAGTCAGTAAAGCCATCAATGTTTGTCGCATCAGCGGGTTGGTATACTCGCTTCATGAACCGTCATAGTCTCTGTCTTCGTCAGCAAACAAAGCGCAAAAGCTGCCGAGAGATCTGGAAGAAAAAATTGAATCTTTCCAAAGGTTTATTATAAAATGTCAGAAGGAATATGCATTTGAACTATCACAAATAGGAAATATGGAAGAAACACCGATGACATTCGATCTCCAGAGCAAGCAACAGAATGGTAACCGGCATTGGTGGAAAAAACAGTTTTAATTAAAATCAATGGCCATGAAAAAATCCATTTTAGGGTGGTTTTATCATGTTTGGCAAATGGATCAAAGCTTTTTCTTGTTGTTGTTTTTAAAAGAAAAACCTTACCAAAAAACATGAAATTTCCTGCTGGTGTCATCGAAAAGGGATGGATGGATGAAAGTGGGACTATTGAATGACTGGAAAAAGTGTGGAATAAGAGACCAGGAGCACTTATCAAGGGACCTGCTGTGCTCGTTTGGGACATGTTCAGGGCACACAAGATAGATGAGGTGAAAAATGTGGCCAAAAATAGGACAACTACTTTGGCTGTAATACCTTGAGGCTTAACTTCAGTTCTACAACCACCTGATGTCTACCTGAACAAACCCTTTAAAGACTGGCTACGTAAAATGTGGTCTGAATGGATGTGCTCAGGCATGGTGAAGTTGACAAAAGGCAAGAATCTTATGAAGCCCGAAATCAATCTGGTCACCCAGTGGATCAAGGACGCGTGGGTGTCCATTCGCTCAGAAATTATAGAAAAATCATTTAGGAATTGCTGTATCAGCAATGCACTCAACAGGTCAGAAGATGATGCCATATTTGATGATGACACAGCAGAGGCTGATGATGAGAAGGAATCTGAGTCTGAAGACAAAACTGCCGAAATCGACAATGACAATGCAGGTGCAGCTGTGACTGAAGCTGAGTTTAATTAACTGTTTGGTGAATCAGAGATTGATTCAGACTTTGAAGGATTTTAAGACTTTTTAAAGTCTCATATTGTTCTAAGTTACTTGTTTTAAATATCCATTTACTGATTTCAAATACTGACTGTAATTTTGAAGATGAATACATTTGTTCAATGATTATTATAACAGGTTTTTCGTTAGATTACATTAAAATAATTCTAGCAAAACTTTTGAGTGTTTCTTGTGACGCCAGCTTTTAAAATATAGGAGGGTTTGGCAAACTTTGGCTCCCCGCCTGTCAGGGTAAGTCGCTGGCAGGTCGGGACGTTTTGTTTACTTGGAGCATCTGCAGGCACAGGCTGGGAATGGCAAACGGCGGCCACTGGGAGCTGAGGGGCTCCGTGCCTGCGAATGCTCCAGGTAAACAAAATGTCCCAACCCGCCAGCGGCTTACCCTGACGAGCTGGGAGCCAAAGTTTGCCAACCCCTGAAATATAGTGTCGGCTTATGAAAGGGTCATACAGTTTTTACTGTTTTTCCCTATTCATCTTGGGGGGTCGGCTTATAAACGAACGGGCTAATGAATGAGTATATATGGTACTTTTTCTACCGATAGCTGGATAGATCAAGTCTCCTGTTACTGTTGTTTGTATATGTACACATACAGAGTTTCTTTTGGGTTTCAGGCTGTTCCTGCTCTGGAGTTTGCTTTCAAAAATGAACGCATCACTCTGGCAGTTGTGGGCGCTGTCATCAGTCCTCCTATGGTACCAAAAGGGAGTATCTGTAAAGAGCTGAAAGTATACCCAGCAGAATGTAGAGGACGCAGAAGCACCTATCGTGGGAAACTGACTGTAAGTAGTAATGGCTAGAATAGTACTTTCAGGGAATGAAAACTCCACTTTTCCACTGTCTGGTATGTGCTATATTTGCTTATAAACCATAAGCTTGTAAATAAATACCTTTTCCCACATGTTCTCCAGCTGTTCTGTGGATCACCAGTAGTACTTGAAATGAAACATTCTGGGAACCATACTGTGGCGAACTGGGATGTTAGTAGAAGAGGTACATCCACGAGAAGATCTTTCTTTTACAAAATGGCCTACAGAATGGAAAAAGTTGGAGGACCATTGCCTTATGCTGCTGGAAAGTCATGAGTCTCACCTTTGCAATGATGTCTGGCATTTGTTTCTACACTTGAAAACGCCAGAGATATTGATAACCATTAAAGAAATATTTGTATATGTCACAATTCAGGGTAACTGTACCCATATTCCCCCTTCATTGTCCCTCAAGGACACCCACCCTAGGATCTTGGCTCTTCATCCCTCACCTCTCTTTGGCAGAGACCCATGTCACTCTCCCTCCTGACCTGGGTTTTTCCAGGCTGTGCAGATGCCTGCCTACCCTGTGATATCTCAGCAAGCCAGACCACATAAAATGGCCAGTATCTGCACTTTACTGAAATCTGAGATTTTTTTCTTCACTTTATTGGTATGCTTTAGCTTCTTTACGTTACAGGAGCAGGAATTCCATTATGACTTTGACAGTAGTAAGAGACTTGAACAGGCAATCTGGTTTTGCTGGGAGAGGGAGCCATCGCATTAATACAAAATAATTCTTAAATTTTTTGTGAAACTGTTCTGAAGTTTTACATAGTTAACATTGCATAACAGATTAAAAATACCAGTACTCCAATGCTGTGAAGTCTATTATTCTGCCTCCTGCCAGGCTATAAACATCATAAGCACTAATACTCAATTTGGGGCTTCGAGGGGGGGTTGTAAATAACAGTAGGACTTAGTTCTCACTGAAATATCAAACTACTTCAGTTGTTGTGTAAGAGAAAAAATAATTTTAATTCCACCATTGTAAGAGTTTTGTTCATCCTTGCATAACTTTTGTAATTTTGTTTAAACTTTCCAAAGAAAAACAACCCCAAAGCCATAATCCTTCCTTCAGGCAGAGATGAAACATAGGAAATTTTTATTCACATTATAATGAATAAAAATGGAATTATAAAGAAAGTCCCAATATAACCTGAACTACAGTAGATGTGACCATGCATCCACTATAATATATAATTTGTTTGTCTTTATTCTTATAATTGATGTATAATAAATTGTAACTAATTGCTGCTGTTTTTCTTTGCAGACAGTATAATTTTTTTGCTATTTATGGTTTTGTATTGAATATACAATGCTGTAACGTAGTTCATTCTCTAACGAGAGCGTGCTATATTTATTGTTGTCTGTGTTATTTTAACTTTCCTAATAATTTGATGTATTTGTTTCTCTATAGGCTGACATCAGCTGGTCAGTGAATGGCATTCCTAAAGGGATTATTAAACAGTCCCTGGGATATGTTCCAATCATGGTGAAATCTAAACTTTGCAATTTACATAGTCTTCCTCCCAGAGCTCTGATTGAACACCATGAGGAAGAAGAGGTAACAGTAGATTTTGGTGGGACAGGAATATCTTCTTTACCATGTGACAAGGGAAGTGGGTTTTACATTAGCTTGAAGGATTTGGCACCTCTATTTAGAAGCACAATGTGGCATATTTTCTGAGTTTACACCTTTCTTAAAGCTTCTGTGTGGTTTCTCTGGGGTCATAAGTCTCAGCTCTCGAGGTGGCTTCAGGTTACTTGCCCTTCAGAATACCTATAGCCCTCATCTTGAGAAGGTAAGAGCTCATGGGGTACCTCATGTTCATGCAGGCAGTGACCATTACTGGTACTAGATGTTACTTTCCAGATGTGCAGCTGCCTCCGGAAAACTATCCTTCCCCTCCTCTGGAGGCATGCAGGGCTGCTTCTGTTCTCGGTGTTAGAGTTTAAGGCTTGAGCACACTCTGCCCCCGGCTGCCAGCTACTGCTAAGCCATGGTACTGGGGCTCCTGGCTGATGGTGAGAGTCTTACAGTACGGCTCTTTGGACGTGATACATATCCCCTTCATAGCCATAGATTTTACTTCTCCATTACTTTTGGGTTCACTTTTGCTGTTTTGGCTTTTTTATCTGCTCTGTCTGATAACAAGTTGAATATGTGGATACAGAGTCATATAGTGCTATCATTTTTCATTAAAAGTGTAATAATTTCTTTTCAGTTTACAAAGTAAATAACCAATTAGTCTGCTTTCAGTCCGTGTAATCTGCAATGATACTCTCTTATTGCCAGGCCCATAGCCACGTATCATGCATCTTTATAATTAACTTTGATTGCACACTCGTAATTTGAACAAACATGTAAAGGTGAAGAGAATTTTCTCTGGAATTAATTTTTGTATTGGATGTTAGCACCACACACATGCTAAATTGCAAAGCCATGCAATAAATGTGCATGTATCATGTGTATTTGGCCACTTTACGTGTACTTTGCACACTAATGCATCTCACCCGAGGCTTTGTCTAGTATTTCAGATGGCTTCAAAGAGCTGCCATTTTTAAAAAAATCAGTTGGACACACAGTCATGTTCTTTTCTCCAAGTGTGGAATAGAGCTTTTCTTCCTCCCAGTTTTCTACGCAGAGACCTCGTGTGGGGAGAGGGAACATTCAGATCAGTGAAAAGTTTTAAATCCAATATTTTATATCACTCAAAACAGGAACTTTACTCTTGGAAAGGGGAGCTTCTTAGTAGATAGTACTTGCTAGTAGCTCTGAAAGGGCCCAAGGTATGGTATTTTAAAGTTGTGATATTTCTATGTATACTAAAGTTATTATAGGTCATTTTAGAGGTTTCTTTAGTTTTCAGTCTTGTCTTCTCATTTTCTCTGCATCTTCTACAGTTGGACTTAGTGTAACTAGTGCACCTGGCTTTACACGTGGACGGATACAAAAAATAGTCCCAATAACTCCTTTAAACACCACTAAAATAGTTATTTTTGTAAAATGCATGGAATTATACAGAGCGTATAATAGTATAGCAGGTTTATTGGCACTTGTTTGGGATGACCTCCGTAATGCACTCTTACCTGTTGTGTGAGTAATGCATGCATCCCAAGCACATGTCAATGCAACTTGCCATGTATTCCATACATATAAAAAAGATGGTGTGTATTTTATTGTCCAGTAAGAGCTAATTTTTCTCACTTCCATTTTGTTTCTTGTATAATAGATACTCTGTTCAGATCTTTGAACTCTGATGTATTAATTTTTAAAGCACTTCTTTCTCTTGTCAGGAAATGGGAGGCTATTTTATAGTTAACGGTATAGAAAAAGTTATCAGAATGCTGATTATGCCTAGACGAAACTTCCCCATTGCAATGATAAGACCCAAATGGAAAAGCCGAGGCCCTGGTTACACAGAGTATGGTAAGTGTAGTGATTTCATTAGGGGCATCACCTTAGTAAGACAGTTGTTTGAGAATAAACAAAAGAAAAAGAGCAGGTGACTTATTGTATTTAGTTATTGCTTTCTGTTTTGTTCATGCACTTGTGCTATACCATAAACATGGCAGCCTGCTCAGATGAGGGGAAATTCAATTCTTTGAAAAGGGAGAAGCCCAGTGCTGGAAAAAGCAATTCTTTTAACATTTGGATGAATTTTAGTGCTTGTGAAAATAAAAGGCTAATTACATTATAAAAGGCATAAGAAAGGTTGATGGCTTTTGATTGTTGTAATCTGAACCATCAATATCAGGTGATACTGGATTGTGTTCTGTCTGATTCTGGGTGATCCATCTTACATTGTGAGCAGGGTGTGATGGAAACGAACCTGAGTCCATCAATCCAATAGCCACAGAAGTCTGTTGATGCTGTAGGCAACACTGAATTTCCTTTCCCTACACTAAGTTAAGGTAGTAAAGAGATTTATCCACAGTTAAAATAGAATCTACACTACCTCCATCGTAAGGCTCAGTGTCATAATTGGTAATGGCTCTCCTTTGAATCCTGCCTGTTACTTATATTAAAACTCACTATCAGCGCTCCCTGTTTTTAATGAAAATCCTGTCGGTGCATTGTGTTCTGCCTCATTAAAAATGCATTGTTTATATTTATTCACAGAACAGGTACGTTTTTGACAGTGAGCTTGAAGCTGCTGTGTAAGACACACAGATACACTCCTTGTTCCATATGATCTAGAAGGATGGTGGTACAGGATCTGCGTTTGTTTCCCTAATTTGTCCCACCAGTGTGTCTGAACTCCTTTTGTCATGCTGCTACATCTAGTAATAAAAGAATAGTTCAGTCACCATGGGCCTGATTCCCCACTGCCTGACACATTGCAGAGTCATGTACACTGTACAGTGAGTCTAAAATGATATCAGATCACAACAATAGCATTTTGCACCCACTTTGCACTAGTGTAAAAGGTAATGACCTGATTCAACACGTGCTTAATTTTAAGATCGTGAATAGCCCGTGAAGTCAGTGGGACGACTAATGCTGAAATACCTTGCAAATCAGACCGAAGGCAGTAGCGAATCAGACCCTGTTTTTGATTAATCCTTGATCTCTCTCTTGAGACTGCCAGCAAGCGGGCCAGCTGTGATCTCAATACCCATCCTGTGGGAACTGAAGTGAGACCTCTAATTAATTTCTAAGCAGTTATCTACAAGTGTGACATGGTGTCTCAGTACGACGCCTTTGAGCATACAGTGCCCCGACCCAAGGAAATCTAACCTGTATCCGGAGCAATCGAGAACAATGCTTGTTTTGTAGTGCCGATAGAATGCAGTCAATAGTTTCTATGTTGTAGAAGTGAATCTTTGCTTATGTTCGTTTTGGCAGGTATATCGATGCACTGTGTTAGGGATGAGCACACTGCTATAAACATGAACCTTCACTACCTGGAGAATGGTACAGTGATGCTGAACTTCATTTTTCAGAAAGAGTTGTTCTTCCTCCCACTGGGATTTGCACTGAAGGTAAACTATCATCTAGTCTTAGGTTTTCTGGTGAATGGAAGGTTGATTGAAGAATTGCTGTGGAAAGTGTAGCAGCCGGTTTCTTGCTTGGAAAAATGACTTACTCAATAACTAATTCCACATGAAGTATTTCATTAAATGATACTTGTCATCTTGATTATCAAGGATTGTAGTCCAAGCCAGACCTGCCTATGTCGGTAGTATCATATTTAGGGCTGAAGTATGAGAATGTGTACACAGCTGAAGAAGGTGAAATAAGGTTTTGTATAAAAGTTTCTTGGCTTTTTGCTATAAAACAGTACTGATGAGATGTTTTTAAAAGGTAATGGTGGGGAGTTTTCCATCTGAACTCAAGGATAAAACTGTTTTAAAACAAAACTTGTTGTGCAGAATACATTTTCCAGCACAATATTGGCAGAATGTTTTCAGTCCGTATCCCAGTTATTGGCAGTATTGTCCAGTGAAAGATTTTGGGAGCACGTGAATCTTTGTTCTCCTCAGATAAGTCATGTCATCCCAATTGAAAATCAAGCAAAATAGTATAAAAACAAAATGCTGCTTCTGTACAGAACTTTCCTGGATAAACAATGTTAGAAGTGGTTGCAAAAATACAGGGTTTTTTTTAAAGTGATTGTGAAACCACCAATGTGTGCAGTGTTGTACAGAACACAAAGGAAGTCAGCCCTTTGCCCCATCGGGCTTAAAATATGAAGGCCCAATCCTGTAAACCTCCGTAGGTGTAATAGTTATTACCATGACCTGTCCTGTTGCTCACCAATCTTACAGAAGGGTCCTTGGCGCCTTTGGGATTTTGCTGTCTTCCAAGTCTTCCTTCCTGGTGGTTACCTTTGCTGCCAGGAGGATCTCAAAGACACAGACACTGATGCACTGTCGTCCATGATAAAAGTGTCTGCCCGTTCTCCTCCCTAGATTACAGAGACATTTGGGGAAGAGGAGGCTACCCATGTTGAACTGGAGAGCTGCAAGTTGTTGTTTAGACAGGACCAATTTCTTAGGAAATCTTCTGGTGGTGAACTTTGGGCAAAAAGTCCAAAGCCCTGTCATCCTGTCTCAAAGGCATTTCGAATGAATTCGACTGTGCATCCAAACCTGATTTCACCTACAGTACCTTATAGCCCTGCTCCAGAACCTCTTAGAGCTCATTCCCTCTAGGGGGATGGCAACAGCCATGGTGTCTGTCTGTAACATGGCCTCAAGGGAACGCTGTGGTGCTGCTATCCTGAGCTCAGCCCGCACCTTCAGATGCTGGGTTCAGGAGGGTGGCGTTTCAGCCTTGAACTAGCAGGGTTCCTTAGCTGACCCCTACAGCAAGGCCACTGCTAGCTATTCTCCTACAGTGGGCTCTGTGGAGGCAGATTCATGAAGGAAGACCTGGGGGGGTTACTATCGTAACTCCAGTTCTTGTTATGTTGCTTCCACAGAACCACCCTGCCCCATTTGCTCCCTTCTGCTTCCGAGCCGAGCTCCTTTTCACATTTACTGTGGTAGAGAGGAGACGGTTAGAGGGTCCAAGGGTGGTTATGTCCTCAGCCCAAAGGTGGAAGTCTGTTCAAGGGACATGCGCAGGCCCCCAACTGACACCAATCTAAACAGTTCTATGACCACTGCCTCAGGTGTGCAACTCCTACCATGTGAGTGCGTCTTCGTAGCACAGTTAACTTGAATTATAACTTGAGCATTACTGCAACTAGAGTCCCCTCCATGACCACAAATATTTAGCTTTGGTTAAATGGTGCTTTAAATTCAAGCTAACTGGGGTGGACGGGCTGTTTGAAGGACAGGGATGCTGATGCTCGAGCTCATAATGCTGTGGGATTGCAACAGCACAAGGTACCCCTACTCAACAGCAGCTAATCCATTCATTCTGTGCTGCAAATCAAATAACTGTGTAACTCTAGTGTTGTTTTGAAGTGTGGTTGCTCTCACTTGAGCTGGACTAACTCCAGTGTGCTAACTCGAGCTAACTGGTGCAGTGAGGATAAGCCCAGTGCCTCTATAGAGGCAATGAGTGCATTTAGAGAGCACAAGTTACGGAAGGCAAGCAACAACTGGATAATGAACTTTCAAAAAAGCTCATAACTCTAGAATACAATTTAGTAAGCACAGTGCATGAATTTTGCTAAGCAAGACAGTGAAAGTTTTCAAAATATCTGTCTCTGGACAGAATAGAATGATTTAAATTGTGCTTTAAATAGGTAGTAGTAAAGACTTGGCTTCAATTAATTATTTTCATCTTTCTTTTCCTGAAAAGAAAGCACATTCTTTCTGGTAGTAATGTCAGACTGCTTTTGTAATCTAGTTGATGTATTTGATTTATCAACCCACCAGGATGTGTCCATTGTCAGACGACATGCACATGCTTTGTTGAAATGGCAGCTTAGTTTGACAAATTACATTTCTTCACAGGCTTTATTTTTGTTTTAGTAAACAAGTGAAAGTTATTTCTGATTTTTCTATTTATAAAACCTCAGTCTGTGTGAGCTGTTTTGTTTAAATACGATCACTACCCAGTTTAGAATGTTGGATTTAAATCTAGGGATTGCAAACTTGAGCATTGTGGCTGAACTCAGGGTACACTACAGCTGCAACAGCGGCCCAGCTATGGCACTGCAATTATGTTGCTAGAGCACCATATTCTAGATGCTTCCTACAGCAATGGAAGGGCTTTTTCCATCAGTGTAGTTAAAGCACCTCTCGCGGTGGATGAATTCTTCCATTGATCTAGCTGCGTCTCTTCAGGGATTAGGTCAATCTAACTACGTCGCACAGGGTGTGAAATTTTTCACAGTCCTATGCAACATAGCTAAATCAATCTAATTTTTAAGCCATCCATTCCATTATAAAAACCACTTATTTTCAATTTACTTAAATGTCAATAATTAGTGATTTGAGACAAATTGGGAATTAAATTTATATTGTAAGCAAGGTCAGTCTATAAAAATATAAAAAATCTTATTTAAATGAAGAAAAACTATTTTTATTCATCATTGTCTGTATTAACCCAGCTTTTGCTTTTCCAGGGACTTCATTAGGGGTATTAGTGGTGATCATCAGATTGTGTATACCCAGGGTCTTTCTCCACAGCTAATCAAACCTCAGAAAACTGTTTTCATTTTAGGGGAAGGGTATTAGGACAAAAGAGCATAAACCAGCATAAGTGACTGGAGTGACCTGGTCCCATTCTATAATTTAATTAGACATGGTGATTTATTACTCTTGGTTTTTCTTTGTTCTCTGATCTGGTGCCTTTCTCTCCTCCAGGCATTAGCTGGTTTCTCAGATTACCAGATTTTTCAAGAGTTGATCAAAGGAAGAGAAAACAACTCCTTCTATAAGAACTGCATCTCTCAGATGCTGAGAATGGTAATGGAGGAGGGCTGTGCCACGCAGAAGCAGGTCCTTAACTACATTGGGAAATGCTTCCGAGTGAAACTCAACCTTCCTGAGTGGTACCCAAATGAGCAAGCTGCAGAATTCCTTTTGGAGTACGTATTCATATAGCAATATATAAGTAAATGATTGAACTACAGATGTAGTCACATTTCACTGTCTGACCTTACTGTATCATGACCAGCTTTTCAGTAAACTCAGGGACAAAAATTTAGAGAGACATCCACCCCCGAATAACATTATGGGGACAGTTTTCAGCTAGTTTCTGGAAACTTTGCATTTACCTTAATCTGTCTGCAAATACATATCCACCAAATATGTGAGCATGATTTCGGAGGATGGCTGTAGACTTGGTCCTTCGTGCATTTTGCCATATGGCTTTGTAGTGGGTTTTATAAAAGATCTAAATATCCTCAACACTGAGAGATAGATGTTAGGAAATTGAATAGTGAGCACTGCCTTAACTCTGAATCTACTGTACCACAGCCTGCTTGGCATTTAACCCATTGTTTGAAGTCCTTTGCACTTGAGCATAACAGGGTGAGTGAAGTTTACCTTAAAAGGTTTTTGGGCAGTATATCTTTAGGTAGAGGAGACAAAATAAATGCTTCCTCCGTGGAATAACATAGGACACCGCATTCCATTCCAGTTTTTACTTTGAATATTTTTAAGGGGTGGGGGGGAAGGAGGAAGTGGTATTAGGGAATCCCTGGTTCATGATACAGGTGTTTTGAGTTGAGGAGCTCTTGCTGCTAGCCCTTGAAAGGAACTGATTGGAAGGCTCCAGAGTCCTTGAGATACCTGTAGTTAGAGCATGGTCAGTGCGGTAGAGACCTCAAGCCAGCCTACTGGTGACTCAAAGGGTTAAAAATGTTAAGAGTCAGAGTCATCTGGAAGGACAAGAGTCAGGAGTAAGAATCCTTCATGATGATCTTCAAAGAATCGGAATTTCAAGGTTAAACTATCTATTTTTTTCCTTTCAAAATATCCTGGGGCTCTTCGTCCATATGGACTAAACTGAACATTTTGTTCATCAGAAAGAGTTTTCAGTTGAAGTGGGAGTTGAGACAGGAGGAAGCTGAAGGCACTAGATACGGTGTGCACCTCGTTCAATTGGGCTTTGGTAATTATAACTTGCATATTTTGAAAAAGAATTTTCCTGCCAAGTTTTGGCCCAGAGTGGACCTTTATAGTTGAGTCATAAACACTTGAATACAAGGGAGGACAGAGTGGAAACAATCATGGCAATGCTAAGATAAGCAAGGGCGATAGGTGCTACCTAATCATGGCACTTGCCTCTGGGAAAGTAAGCTTGTAGCTGATCTGCTTTGACAGGAATTTAGGAAGTCTGTACTTCGTCTTGCCCATGTTATGCTGTATTCAGACCAAAATTTTATAACCAAGTGCTCTGCTGGGACATGATAGGAGGTTTGATTGTGATGTTGCATGGCAGTAACAGAGTGTTAGTGAGTACATTTTCTATTTACCATTTATTTAGAGGGAGACAAAGTAGGTGAGGTAATACCTTTTATTGAACCAGCTTCTGTTGCTGGAAGGGACAAGTTCGAAAGCTGTGTCCCTTCACCAACAGAAGCTGATCAAGTAAAAGATATAACCTTTCCTACCTTGTCTCTCTCCTATCCTGGGACCAGCATGGCTACGGTAGCACTGAAAACATTTATTTTGAGTGCATTTTGTGTTTACTATTTCTCTGTGGAACAGAGTTAGTGATGCACATATATGATTGCACCACATTTTATGTGAAATCCGTGTACGAAATTTAGCCTTTATGTGGATCTGTCTCAAAATAATTTTGTGCTTTTAAGTCAATTTGGTGCTTAAAAAGGTGTAGAATTAACATTCCAGGAGTCTCTCTTCATCCAAATAACAGGCACAGTACTGGGAGCAGCAGTGCGGGCTCATCTGCTTATGTGCCTCAGTCATGTTCTGGAAGATTTGCATCTCTAAGGATGATGAGAGGGATGTCTCTCAACCCTTTCAGGCCGTGGTCTGCGTTGAAATTTTTGAAAAACCCCCAGACGTGTGTGGGGGAAACTGTTATGCAGCTTAACTTTTGAGTTAGTGAATAAGAGTTTGGTCAAGGGCTGTTCAGGCGGGAGCTTGGACCATAAATTCTGTTAGAGATGGAGTTAATTGGCCCTTTTTCTTCCTATTCCTACAGTCAGTGCATCTGTATACACTTGAAAACCAAAACTGAGAAGTTCTACTTGCTTTGTCTGATGACCCGGAAGCTGTTTGCTTTTGCCAAAGAAGAGTGCATGGAGGAGAATCCAGATAGCCTTATGAATCAGGAGGTGCTTACCCCAGGGCAGCTTTACCTCATGTTCTTAAAGGTAATGCCTTAAAGTGTTGAAAGCTGTGAGTGGCAGGAGAACCTCTAGATATACGGAAAAGAGAGCAAATCTGAATCCAGCATGTGGCGTATTTGAATGGCTCGTATAAGAGGAGTTTGTGAGGAGGCAGCTGGGCTCTGGTGGATCATGCTGAGGATTGAGATTCAAAAGATATAGATGGTGTTTCTGACTCTGCCCCTGGTTTGCTGTGTGACCTTGGATATGTCACTTAACCTTTCTGTGCCTGCTAGCCTGTCTGTGGAATAGGGATGGTGCTTTTTGCTCATCCTCGTTTGTTAGAGCACTATAACATCTACAGCGAGAGCGAAGTATTATCCACTAAGCACACCACACACAGGATTCTCACTCCTGAATTAGCATCTCAGCTTCTCGGTATAAAGCTGGCATCACTCCCTCAGTCAACACTGTGCCGAATGCTGTCGACAGACCCCTGTGCGGAATGCTGTTGGCAGACCCCCAGCTCAGGCCTGCACTCTGAGGATTTCACTTTTGAGTCACTCCAGGCCAACCTTGTGTCAGCTGTAGGACAGCAGGTATGTTCTTCATTTCCCAAGTGTTCAGGGAGACATCTGTAGGCAGGTTTCACACCCATGTACATCACATGAGACACTCAAGCAGCACTGACCTTGGCTATGACCATTTGTACAGGACATCTTTCTACCACAAGTCCACAAGCCTGCTTCATCCTTCTTCAAAACCATCTCTAGAAAGGAAAGGTCAGAAACCCCTAAGTATGCTAAGATGCATGGAGGCACCAGGCATCATAGGACACTGAGTAGGATGTGCTGAGTTAAGTCCTCTGAGGTGGAGCAGCTAAGAGTGTATTTGGCTGCGTTGATACAGTGCAGCTGATCTAATGCACCAAAGATAACAAGGAAGAGTTTGCGTCAGGGTTGCAGTAAAGTGCACCGAATGATTGGAGAGCAAATGACTGCACCAGGGGCCCGAACTGCTGCCAGTTCTGGGAAGCAAGCACCAAAGGGCACCGTGATGTCTGAACATGTTGGGAGAGTGCTTTGAGATACTGTTTGAATCAAGTGACCAAAGCACCAATGGATGGCATTTTGGGACAAGAGTATTAAGACACCAGGTCCAAGACAGACAAATTTTTATTTGTTTTTTTTTTTAAGTTTGATTGGCAAGGAAGGGTTAGAAATATCAGAAAGGATATACTTTGGGTTGATCTGTAGGGAACACCTTCCCCAAACTAGATAAAGAAGGAATTGGCTTGGAATGCATGGGCAGCAATACAAGAGTGAGTGTCTTGGCATAGGACACCCACTGGGGGTTGTGATAGAGGGAATTCTGCTGGCTTCATGCTCAGGGACACTGACCCAGGAGTGAGAACCCTCTGTGGGGAAGTCTTTAGAGAAGCAGGATAACTTTGTTCCTACTGAGGAAACGGTCTCAATACAGTTGTAGTGAAGCATCAGGAAGAACTTTTTGTTCAACTGCCCCGTGTTAGTTCTTTTTTTCCATTATAGAGGGAGCTGGTCACAACCCCTCTATTTAGATTGGCTAACACTTTGCTTTATGAAAGATCCTTATAACCTTTTCGGAGAAACTGATACCTTCATTGTTTGTAGCGTCTAGGTATAAAGTTGAAAGAACAAGGAGTACTTGTGCTACCATAGAGACTAACAAATTTATTTGAGCATAAGCTTTCGTGGGCTAAAGCCCACTTCATCAGATGCATACAGGGAAAATTCAGTAGGTAGATATAGATATATGCACAGAGAACATGAAAAAATGGGGGTTGCCATATCAACTCTTAACAGACCAATCGATTAAGGTGGGCTATTATCAGCAAGAGAAAAAAAACTTTTATGGTGATAATCAGGATGGCCCATTTCAAACAGTTGACAAGAAGGTGTGAGTAACAGTAGGGGGAAAATTAGAATGGGGAAATAGTTTTGTTAGTGTAATGACTCATCCACTCCCAGTCTTTATTCAAGCCTAATTTAATAGTGTCCAGTTTGCAGATTAATTCCAGTTCTGTTGTTTCTCATTGGAGTCTGTTTTTGAAGTTTTTTTGTTGAATAATTGCGACTTTTAGGTCTGTAATTGAGTGTCCAGGGAGATTGAAGTGTTTCTCTGGCTGGTTTTTGAATGTTACAATTCTTAAATGTCTGATTTGTGTCCATTTATTCTTTTGCATAGAGTCTATCCGGTTTAGCCAATGTACATGGCAGAGGGGCATTGTTAATTGATCAGTTTAGTCCCTTAAATCTCCATGATGCTCTGGTTTGCTGCCTGTCACATGGTGCATTGCCTGGCTTATGAATCTTGAATGCAAATGAGGGAGGAAAGCTGTTGTGGCTCATATATACTAACCTGAACTTGGCCCCAGTCTTATTTGGACAGCATGTAACTTTGTGCTGCTGTCCTCATCCTGTCCCTTAGCTAGCCATGGGCCTTTGTGCTGAGAATGCACAGTCAGGGGGCACAACAAAGCTCATTCCTTGCTTGTGCTAGGAAAGCCATTCTTTTCAGGTCTGCCCATTGGTGCCTGAGCTGAAGTGCTTTCAGTAACCACAACTGTAGGAGTTGCAGATGGCAGAAGCTATGCGTGCATTTGCTCAACACTAATAATCACTGGGGATTGCAAATTAGAATAACTGTAGCTGCAAATACTCATTTTGTGCCTTTCTCTTGTATAGGATGTGGTTCTCAACCAGGGGTCCGACCCCCCTGGGGGCCCGCAAGCAAGTTTCAGGGGGTCGGCCAAGCAGGGCCAGCATTAGATTTGCTGGGGCCCAAGGCAGAAAGCCGAAGCCCCACTACCTGAGGCTGAAGCCAAAGCCTGAGCAACTTAGCCTCACGGGGCCCTCTGTGGAGTGGGGCCTGCTTGCTACCACCTAACACTGGCCCTGGCTTTTATATGCAGAAAAACAGTTTTTGTGGCACAGACGGGCCATGGAATTTTTATAGCATGTTGGGGGGGGGGGTCTCAGAAAGAGAAAGGTTGAGAGCCCCTAGTATAGGAGACCTTTGTGCTATGTCTGTTCAGAGCCCTGTACTCCAAAAGACTAAGCTAGAACTGAGGCATTTGTAATACTGGTCTGCGTTCTGAAACAAAGACTATCAGTTTAAATGTTAATGAGCTAGTTCAGAAAGGAGTAGCGACACAGTGCATCGTGACAAGGAGTAAAATTTTCACAAATTGTGATCGTTGGTCTCTTTTAAAAGACAAGGAAGGGATGGGCTTGTGGTTAAGGCATTGTGCTGGGACTTGGGAGATCTGGGCTCAATTTCTGGTTTTGCCACTGATTTCCTATGTGACCTTGATTTGTCATTTAATATCTCTGCACCTTGATTTTCCAATCAGTAAAATACACCTCACATCGTGTGGCTCTAATGTCAGGTTTAGTGCCCCACTCTATCTACCAGCACAACTGATACCAATAATTCATAAAATTGGTTAAACTGAAGATTCAAATTAGTCTAGCTTTGTATTTTATTTCTGTAGTGCTTTTTATGTGATCTCAGAGCATTTTAGGGAACAATTAAGTATGTGAAGAAGCAACAGCATTCTGGCAAATTTAGTCATTGTAATTTTAGAATCTTCACGTGTGCTGTTGAATAACAGATGTAAATTAACAGAGATGGAATTGGATGTATGTCACCAGGCTGGTGTCATCTGGGAGCAAGATTTGCCTAAAACAGCAGTTGGTTCACTTACTCTTTTTTCATATTTTTTATGCCCTTCTTGCAATGATGATTCAGAAATAAAAAACGAATCTTGACTATCTGCATAGGAGTAAAATATCAACAGTAATTAAGGAAATCAAGTCAAAATAAAATGCATTAATTTTTGGAGCCATTTGCAGACTTAATAGGAGTAAATCAGTTCAGGGTGGGGAAAAATCCTCCATTACTATAAATCATTTAGTTATCAAGGGCAGCAATGAAGTCAGGTAAGAGCCTTTTCAGACTCTTTAGGTTAGGCAAGGAGTTCTCTTGTGCTGCTGAGTTCACCTGGAGACAATCCAACGAGCATACTGACATCCTTCACTTCAAGCTCAGTCTCTGGCTTCTTAGATATACCATCTTTCTTTCCAAAAAGCGTTATTTCTCAGTAATCAGTTACAGTGTACCATCAAACCCTGCAGACTTTTGTACCTTCAGTTCTCTCCTGAAACCCTGCTTCACCACACTTATTTGTGCACGAGATCTGACTAACAGCTTCATCAACAAAACTAATGGAGGACTTGTGGCACCTTATAGACTAACACATTTATTTGAGCATAAGCTTTTGTGAGCTACAGCTCACTTCATCGGATGCATTCAGTGAAAAATACAGTGGGGAGATTTATATACACAGAGAACATGAAACAATGGGTATTACCATACACACTATAACGAGAGTGGTCAGGTAAGGTGAGCTATTACCAGCAGGAGAGTGGGCGGGGGGGGGCCTTTTGTAGTGATAATCAAGGAGGGCGGGTGGGGGGGATAAACATGGGGAAATACATTTACTTTGTGTAATGACCCATCCACTCCCAGTCTTTATTCAAGCCTAAGTTAATTGTATCCAGTTTACAAATTAATTTCAATTCAGCAGTCTCTCGTTGGAGTCTGTTTTTGAATTTTTTTTGTTGAAGAATTGCCACTTTTAGGTCTGTAATCAAGTGACCAAAGAGATTGAACTGGGGTTCCAGGAGTGTGTCTGTGTGGATTTGTTCTCGTGCTTTTTCAGGGAGTTTCTTGAGCAAATGCTGTAGTTTCTTTTGGTAGCCCTCAGTGGGATCAGAGGGTAATGGCTTGTAGAAAGTGGTGTTGGAGAGCTGCCTAGCAGGATTGTCTGGCTATGTAGACTCCCTCCTCAGGCCTAATCACATCAGCCACACTATCAGAGCCTCGTTCACCTGCGCATCTACCAATGTGATATATGCCATCATATGCCAGCAGTGCCCCTCTGCCATGTACATTGGCCAAACTGGACAGTCTCTATGTAAAAGAATAAATGGACACAAATCAGATGTCAAGAATTATAACATTCAATAACCAGTTGGAGAACACTTCAATCTCTTTGGTCACTCAATTACAGACATAAAAGTGGCAATTCTTCAACAAAAAAAATTCAGAAACAGACTCCAACGAGAGACTGCTGAATCGGAATTAATTTGCAAACTGGATACAATTAATTTAGGATTGAATAAAGACTGGGAGTGGATGGGTCATTACACAAAGTAAAACTATTTCCCCATGTTTACCCCACACACACACACCCCACCCCACGCCCACAGTTCCTCATATGTTCTTGTCAACTGCTGGAAATGGTACACCTTGATTAACACTACAAAAGGTTTTCTCTCCCTCCCCCCACTGGTAATAGCTCACCTTACCTGACCACTCTCTTTACAGTGTGTATGGTAACACCCATTGTTTCATGTTCTTTCTGTATATAAATCTCCCCACTGTATTTTCCACTGAATGCATCCGATGAAGTGAGCTGTAGCTCATGAAAGCTTATGCTCAAATAAATTTGTTAGTCTCTAAGGTGCCACAAGTCCTCCTGTTCTTTTTGCGGTTACAGACTAACATGGCTGCTACTCTGAAACCTATCAACAAAACTGACATTCTCCAGCAATACATGTCCTCAGTTTTAACATGTCTCGTTTTTAAATCTTAGGAGAGGATGGAAGCTTGGTTGCTTTCTGTTAAAGTAGCCTTGGACAAAAGATCTCAAAAGACCAATATAACCATAAATTCAGAAAATATGATGAAGCTATTCAGCATGGGAATTGATGTTACAAGGCCATTTGAATATCTCCTTGCTACTGGTAACCTGCGCTCTAAAACAGGTAAATTTTATCTTGCACCTCATTCCATTCCTGCGATACAATTTTAGCCCTCCACAGAGAGGTGCTGATGGATATAAATTTTTAAGCCTCTTCTCTTAAAGTATCATTTTGTCTACTGAATATTTGCTCAAGTTGAATTCATGAAGCTCCATATGAACAAGAAGCTTTTTCACAAAAGGATTAGATTTTTCCTCAGACTTTGGATCATATGTATATTAAAATATATACATTATTTATATTCAGATACAGGATTATATATCTTTACATTTAGCATTGCTAAAAGAAGCCGCATTGATTGCTTTGAAAATAATGTCCGTTCTCCTGGAAAAGGCACAGCATGGTGTATGGAAGTGCTGGCTACTTCTCTGTACTCCCTCCCCTCTGAGTTAAACTATCCAAGTGCAGTAGTTTCTATCATCAGAGCCCATTCAATCTTTGGCCTGTGCACTGAGGCTACAAACATCATGTCTAATATGATACTGTTTTATGTCCACTGGAGACTGGGCTGAGCCTACAATAGACAACTGGAAATTTTCTGAAGTGAAACTTCAATGAAAAATAGGGAAACAAATTGATAAAATTTTCATGGAACAAACTTAGTTTTGCAGTCAGCTTTGAGACTGTTAACTCATTTCACATAGAGCGCCGAACAGGTGTGAGTAACTTTTGGTTGCTACCAATTTGAGCTGGATTTGATCCAGTGACCTTGAGTGTAAAGGCTGTATAGCCCATTACCAGTCCACTGAACCCCTCAAATGTAGATATAGCTTAATAAGCTGAGAATCTCTCCTTTGATGTCAGTCTTTTAGAATTCTATGCATGAGTCTAATGAAGATGATTTATAGAATTGTATTTTGCAAATGTCCTTCATTAATATCAGCTCACACATTAAATCTGGCTTTTGTTTTTTAAAGGTCTGGGTATGCTACAAGATTCTGGTCTGTGTGTGGTGGCAGACAAGCTGAATTTTATTCGTTACCTGTCCCATTTTCGCTGCGTACACAGAGGTGCTGCATTTGCCAAGATGAGAACCACCACAGTGCGCAAACTGCTGCCAGAATCCTGGGGCTTCCTGTGCCCTGTGCACACCCCCGACGGAGAGCCCTGTGGGCTGATGAACCATATTACGACTGTCTGCGAAATAGTGACGAAGTCAGCCTACACCTTGTCCCTGCCACCTTTGCTCTGCTCCTTAGGTAGGTTCCGTTGAGTTAATAACTTAAGAAAAACTTACAGAGAAAACAGCTGATGATGTTCTCTGCAGGACCTCGCAGACCCGTGTCTTCACTGGATATCATTAAAACAAAAACACTTCAACGTGGCTAAACCTGCATTTTGGTTAATGACCAAAAATACTGTATCACGTACACAGCACTGATGTTTTTAAAATGTTGATTGAGTATCAATACAATTACTTGGGGGTACTGATCTAATAAAAGCTGCATACTGTAGAATGAGCAGGTTCATGTGTACAGAGAGATAAATGCATAGAAATGTCTCCAAAAAGCATCATTATTTGTGCCTTTATAAAGTCACCAATGACTATTTAGTAAAAGAACTCAGCTAAGAGTTTTATTTTCTTGTGGTCATCAGACCACTTTTTATTGTTTTAAATCTGGATATAATTCAGGCAGCATATGGAAAAATAGTGTATACTTGATATTTAGATTCTTAATATATGTAGTGGGCAAAGCAAAATATAAAGCATTTCCTATATGCTGCTCTAGAATGTTTCTAAGATCCTGAAGAATGATTGGTGTGGATCACTACTTTCGGCATTAATGACTTCCTTGGTTCTTTCCCAGGTGTCACTCCAGTTGATGGGACTCCAAGCCAACCCTATGCAGAGTGTTACCCAGTTACACTGGATGGCTCGTTAGTGGGCTGGGTAGAAAAAGATATGGCTCCTAGGATTGCAGATACTCTCCGGCACTTTAAGGTTGCCTTGTTTGATGTGATGTGACTTAAAAGAAGCAGTCTGAATCTACTGTGCTAGACAATATGCAATGTGGTGCACCTTGAGGCTTGCCTCAGATTCTGAAATAATTTTTAACACTTCCCAAACGTTTCCTCCCTTCATTTTTGTGTCTGACCATTCATTTGGTTTTATTTGAATTTTATCATGTTTTTATTTAATTTTATGCCTATTTATCAGGCATTGCCACCAAAGCATTGCAGCATCAAGGTGTGTGTTGGTCGTAGCAATTTAAAATGCAATTGTTTTTCTCCAGTTTTGTAGAGATTTTGATGCAAATATTTTTTTTTTAAATATATGAAACAGTGAATTTGTGTAGCTACTTGTGTGACTAAGATTTTCATTTGCAGGGGAAAATAGGCTATTGGATGCAAAAAAATCTTCATTTATTACAAGTTTTCTAACTGGCTTTTTTTCTGTATATGTGAGAACAGGTAATGCAAGAAAAGAAAATTCCAGCCTGGACTGAGGTAGTCCTTATTCCAATGACAGGAAAACCCAGTCTGTATCCAGGATTATTCATTTTTACTACCCCTTGCAGGATGGTTCGGCCTGTGAGAAATTTGGCCTTGGGAAAGGAAGAATTGATCGGTACTCTGGAACAGGTACTATGCATGGGTCTGTCTAACGTGTTTGTTTATTACAAAGCAGTGGCCATTAGAGAAAAGTCTTTGATCCAAAAATAACACACACCTTACAAAAATATCTATGAAAGGAACAATGAAGGGGAGTGGGAAGCTGATGTTGTCAACGGGGTAATTAAGTTTGCTTGGGTGACCTTAGAGTTTTCTAGCTTTTTACTGGTGTGTACTTTGATAACCACTTTGTGCTTCTAAGGGTTTTTACCCTTCAATTACTGATATGTGCTCTCAATATTAACTGTGCCTGAATGAAGGCTTTTGTGTGGATTACTTCCTTGTGTTCACCTACCCTGTCTTCTGGCATGACACTTAGCTTTCAGAAAGAATGCTTACATAGTGACTTAAAACCATGGAAAGGCTGGAGTGACGTTCCCCTTCCCAGTTTTACTTCCCCTCCTCAGGGCTGGGAATGTGGTGTATGAGAAGGGTCGTTTACATCTACGCTGGGGGGGGGTGACGGGTGACGAGGTGACGACTCCCAGCTCACACTACAACAGTGGAGTCGCTCTGGTGGCAATGACGGCACCATGCTAGCTGTCCCAAATACAATGAACCTGAACCCTGTGGGCACGTCCTTGGGGCTGCTAGCACATGCTGCCGCTGCTTGTGGTACTGCAGCCACGTTACTGTGTGTAGTACGCTAGCGCAGATGAGAACTAGCGTGAATATGTCTACGCAAGCTGAGAATCACATCCCTAGCTCAGGGTAGAAGTAGCCATAGTTGTGTTTGGTTTTTGCATAGTCCTCTTTACACACTAATACACTAAGTTACCAAATAGAGCAGCTGGAGCTATGTAAGAGAATGAAAGTGATTGGAGACAGCTTTATTTACCCTTAAAAAGATCAGTTTGGTAATTAAATTGGACTTTGCTTATCTCAGGTCTTCATGAACATTGCTGTCCTTGAGGATGAAATTGTGCCTGGCGTGACCACTCACCAGGAGCTCTTTCCTCATAGCATGCTGAGTGTGGTGGCCAACTTCATTCCGTTCTCTGATCACAACCAGAGTCCCAGAAACATGTACCAATGCCAGATGGGTAAGTACTGTGCTAAATATTGCCATCAAACAATGCCCCAAGTTTCCACATGCAAGAGGAAGGAAAAAAATCAGATCCAAGACTCCTTCATTCCCCTTTCCTTTGTATCCTCATGTGCTTTGCAGGAGGCGAGAACCTCCAACAAACCTTAGAGGGGACTGTTGGTTCCCCTCACAACCCCATGGGACTTGGGAGGCTCATCAGTATCCCTTGCAAGCCTTTCACAGGAAAAGTTGTCCACCCCCCCTTCCTCCCCCATGACAAACTTCCCCAGCAGTCAGGCTCAGTTACTGCTCAAGAGAAAGGGCTTAAGAGTCCTCGTTTCTCATGTGCAGTGCTGAGCTCTCTGGAGCAGTCGTTCTCTAACATGAATTTTTGGTAGAGGAAGTTACTGTTTCAAAGTATGGTCAAAGGCACAGGACCTCAGCAGAATTCAAGGAAATTGGGTTTATTTCTTTTTTTGCCAATAAGTGGCAAATAAGTTGAGTGTTGAGAGTGTGTGGGTCTGCCTGCCTGCTGTATTTTCAGGGATCCTAATTCAAGAACCCATCCTCCACTTCACTTCAAATTTTGAAGAAAATGTCTACAAAGAAATGTCTTAACCCCATCAGATAGAAGCGACTCATGCCTGAAAGCATGAGAATTTATATCCTTTCTAAACATTGGGGGTTTATTACTGTCTGATGAAATTGTGTATGTTCTCATTAAACTATGCAAATTCCTAACCCTTTTCTAATCCTACTAAGTTCTTGGTCTCTGTGATATCTATTGGCAATGAGTTCTAAAGCTGAGTGATGCTTAATATGTCTATGCACACCTCCAAGGCTAAGTGGCTAAGCTCCCGGGATGGCACATGAATGGCCATACTGGACTTGTGCCCCCCAGCTGTCCTCAAGGGACGGTTCTCGCAGTATCTAGTGACCTTAGAGTGGTATCCTTGCTGATGGTATTAGCTCTATTAACCACCTTTGATACCATTGACCATGAGGTGTGTGGACTTGTTTCTGATCCATAGCAAGGATGGGTGGGATGCTCTGAATGGTCCTGGTCTTGCCTTGCTGACTGCTCTCAAAGCGTGGTGTGGGGTAACTACTCCTCCCTGAGGCGCTCTTTTGTTAAACAAGCAGGGTGATATGTATGTGAGGCCATTGGGAGGCTTAGTGATGAGGCATGGGTTGCAGTATGCGGCTAACAGACAGCTCTACATCTCCATATCCATTGACCTGGCCAGAGCTGTCCATTGTGGTGCTCCGTGTCTGGGGGAGACTGGCACAGCTATGAGGGCGAACTGGCTGAGACTCCATCCCAGACAAGATGGAGGTGGTGCAGATTGGTTGGGGGAAACAATCGGAAGATATAACAGGAATAATATTGGCCATCTTGAGGTGTGTCTGCGCCATCTGTGGATCAGGTTTTCAGTCTGGGCTCCGGTAACACTCAAATGCTATTAGAAGAGCAGGTAGCTGCCACAGCAAGATCACCTCTTTCCCCCTCCCCAAAGTTTCACATGGCTAAGAGATTTGAGTCCATTTCCTTTGGATGCAGACCATGCAACTGTCATCCATACCTTTGTCACTTTGCAGGGTGCTCACTGGGAGGCTATATCTTAAATCTATCTGGAAACCGCATCTGGTACAGAACTTAGCCGCCTCTGTGTTAAGCAGTATGTATTTCATGGTCATATTAAACTGGATCTCCATGATCTGCACGGATGGCCTGTTGGTTTCTGGGTTGACTTTGTGTTGATTTAGACCTATCAAGCCCTAAAATGGCCTGGCTTTTCTTCAAGACCCCTTCTCTCCCCGTGACATACTACCACAGTTGTGGTTAGTGAAGACACTTGAGCTGAAGTGTCAATGGTATAAAAGAGAGAGTGCAGCTGGCAGATGTTGAGCGAAGAGTGAGGCTGGGGACTCTAGGGTGGCTTTTATTGGTGGAGTTTATTAAATGTTTGTTAAATCCCTGTTGCTGCTGGCACAGTGCTATTGATGGGTGATTGCCAGAGTCCGTATGGTGTGTATTTTAAGAGTTTACCAAGGGCACTTACTCCTTGGAATGGGTGCTCTTTTCCATACAACCCTAAGTGAAACCCTAATACACCCTAAGTGAAAAAGTGCTTCAAGAGCTCAGAATTCCACCTTACTCCTGCTAGGAAGCAAAGACCAAGGAGTAGAGAATCCTATTGGAAAGGTTTTGAAGGAGCAGATTTGTAGTTCAGTCATTTTCCCATGGTTGTCTGAAAATAGTAAACTGAATAAAATAGCAACCCATTGTTCAGAAGTTGTATCGCTTATCAATATTCAGACCAGGAGTTAAAAAATATTTTATAGTATGAAAATGTAGGACAGAAGAGACATAAGTGAAATATCACATACAGAAAACCTTGATTTTAATTTTTTATGGTAAGTATGAAAGTGACATTCCATCTGGATATTTTAGAATTACTGTAAGAGGGAGAATATTAAAAATAAACCTTATTAAATGATAGGAATGAATTACTACAGGAGTTTAAGTCGTAGTTTGCAATTTGTGATTGAGGAGCAGGAAGGGAAGTTCTTATCTGCATCAGTGCTGTCTTAAAGTGAAAGCTTAGGAGAACTTTTTGGATTTGGGGAAAACATCAACTTTTTCTCTATACACAAGAAGAGACTCTGCAGGCTGGATCAGTTTTATCCCTACCAAAGCTATGACAGAACATTGTAATTTTTTTGCCACTGGTTTTAATCCGTCTCTACTTTGTTCTAGGCAAGCAAACTATGGGCTTTCCACTTCTGACTTATAAGGAACGCTCAGATAATAAACTGTACCGACTTCAGACCCCGCAAAGCCCCTTGGTGCGGCCATCCATGTATGATTACTATGACATGGACAACTATCCAATTGGCACCAATGCAGTCGTTGCTGTCATCTCCTACACTGGCTATGACATGGAAGATGCAATGGTAAGTTATTGAAAAGGAAATGGAATATACTGCCTTGACTGTGTCACATGAGGAACTGGCTATGTTGATTCCCAGTTAAGTCATGAATTAAACATGTTTGAGTAATTGGCAAAAAAAACCCAAACAATCTTAGTTTGCCACACAGCAGGTGGGCGCACAAAAGCAAGGAAATGAAAAGCCACCTAACAGTATGTGCCCTCTACTTTTCCACCTGTTTACAGGCTGCACCCCACAGCTTAGACTCTGCTGTGGAGTGTCTGGGGAGCAGGTCTCCCCCATGATGTGCTCTCCTCTGCCATTCCCTCCCTGGCTCTGCTGTCCAGTCTGCCTTCCTACTTGTCTGGGGAATGCCGAGAGAGAGGCTGTGCAGCGGGGCCAGAGGGCAACATCAAAGGATGGAAGTAGCAGTTGGTAAGAGTTTACTTGCCTGCTTTTGCTGGCGCACAAATTTCCCCGTCTGATAAAGAAGGGGGAAATAAATCACTTCTCACATTTCTGATCTGTATTGCTGTAGCACACTGGGACCTGCGACTGGCAATCGGCCCCATTGTGCTGGGTGCTGGACTTGCAACATTTGAGAAGTGGGTCATGTCAGTGGGAAGTGTGGTGTTTATGGGATTGTGATTATTTTGGCAGGGGTGTGATTATTTAGCTAGAGGGATGTTTTTAAAAAAAAAAAAAAAGTGGGTCACAGTAATATGTACATTTTTTTCTCTGCCGAGGTTCAGAAAGCATTTGTGGGCAGAGGAAGGGGAATATAGAAGCCTAGGGAGAGTGAATGTGTAAAATGGAGAGACTGAAATCAGACAAGAAGTGTTTTCATCTTGTTTAAAAACTATTGTTTTGGGTAAATCAGCTTTGAAGAAGCCTCGCTGAAGGGACTCTTCTAAGATTCTGGTTTATTGGGTTTTTTTGTTCAGATTGTAAGTAAGGCTTCGTGGGAGAGAGGATTTGCACATGGCAGCGTTTACAAGACGGAGAGCATAGATCTTGCTGAAAAAATCAAACAAGGAGATGACAGTCTGGTGTTTGGAGTCAAGCCTGGTGATCCAAGGGTTATACAGAATCTAGACGCTGACGGACTGCCGCACATTGGATCCATACTGCAGTATGGGGATCCTTACTACAGCTACCTGAACCTCAGTACCGGGGAGAGTTTCATAACCTATTACAAGTGAGTTCAGAGCTCAGCTGTTCTAGTTACCGTCTCAAATGCAGAGTTCTGAAAAATCCTCTGATGTGCAGACAGCCCTGTAGGGTTTAGGAGTCCTTTATTCATTCCCTGATGATTCCAGAGAATGAAAGCATCTGTGTATCTTTTTATAAAGCATCTCTCACTGGATGCATGCACTCTAGGGAAGAGTAATTAATATTGCAGATGGATTTCACACCAGTATGTTGGCTTTCCTCTGAGCCCTGCAAGTGTTGAAAAGCTGCAGATGCTTCTTCACAAAGCCAGGGAAAGACACACACAAAAGGTGGGCTTATCACAAAGTAAAACTGGAGACAGTTCTGGTGAGGAGAGCTTGTGCATATGAGATTCCTCCTCTCCCATTCTCCACTACTCCTGAACTTCAGCTCATCTTTGCTCCGCTCCCCTTCCCCTGCAGCCATTCCGTGTGGTGTACCACACTGCTTTCGTACTCCATAGCTTCTTTCACGAGGATTTCTTAAGGCACTCTGGGTAAAATTTTTACAGGTGCTTAAGCAACTGAGGAGCCTAAGTTCTGGTGACTTCCAGTGAGAGGTGTGTAGGACCTAAGTCACTTTGGAAAATGGGAGCTAGGCTCCTACATCGCTCAGGCAGTTTGAAAATTGTACCCATTATGAACAAACGTTACCACATTGCTGGGAGGTAGGCGGTATCCCTGTCTTACTCGCGGAGAAACCAAGGCACAGGGTCTGCGGCAGAACGAGGAATAGAACCCACTTGTCAGGATACCTTGTCAGTGCACTAGCTAGACAAGCACACCCCTCTCCATGTCGGATCAGTGACCTTCCTCTGTGTGGGTGGGGGGTGGCCGCCTCCATCTGCTGATCTTCAGGCCCAGAATGTTAAAGATGACATGAAAAGGATATTTTAAAAATTGGGCTTATAAAGAAAGGCCTAATGGTTGGTGGTTTTGGGGGGACTGGGCTGGTTCTGCTGTTTTTATTATACATTAGAACGGGGTGGCCAACTTGAGCCTGAGAAGGAGCCAGAACTTACCAATGTACATTGCCAAAGAGCCACAGTAATACATCAGCAGCCCCCCATCAGCTCCCCAACCCTGTTTCCAGAGCCTCCCATCCACCAGCAGCCCTGCCGATCAGCGCCTCCCGCTCCCTCCCAATCAGCTGTGGCGTGCAGGAAGCTCTGGGGGGGAGAGGGAGGAGCGAGGGCACTGCAGGTTCAGGGGGTGGGAAGGGGTGGAGTGGGGGCAGGGCCTGTGGCAGAGCCGGGGGGAGCAGTGAGCACCCCCCAGCACATTGGAAAGTTGGCGCCTGTCGCTCCAGCCCCGGAGTTGGGGCCTAGACAAGGAGCCGCATATTAACTTCTGAAGAGCCGCATGTGGCTCCGGAGCCACAGGCTGGCCACCCCTGCCTTAGAAATATCAGGAATCTCAAGGTTTGTCTTTCTTTTTTTTCCCCTGGAGGATCCCAGAGATATCTGTGAGATTTGACACCTTAAACTAAGAGGACAAAGATGGTGAATCTTTTACCAACAAGAGCAACCTTCCTTTTACTAAAGTATTAGTTGCTGACAATAAGTAGGCATTAACAAAAACATTTTTGAATATTCTGACTAAAAATTCCTACCCCTTTCAGATCATCAGCTCTCTCTCTCTGTGGGCACTTGTGATCTCACTGTTTCACTAATTCTCTAGTCCTCTTAGTCTGCAGTCAAGACTAGACATGAATTTCTAATGGAAAGGGGAAGAGAGGGTAAAAGGAAAAGCCTTTTTTTAAAAAACACACACAACTTTCAGGTCGTCTATATAGCTCATGATGATTTAAATAAAAATTAAAAAGGGGGCACAAGTCCACTTTTTCTTGTTTGCAGGTCACATTTAAAGTGTAAAGAAACTTACCAGATATTGAAACTCGGCTTGACCATCAATTCCCAGAGTGCAAAGATTAATCCGTTTTAATTGCTTCTTACTCTACATTGTTCATGGTGCATAAATCAAAAATCTTTTAGAAATCATAGTTTTGATTATTGTATTAGAAATGACTCCAGCAGCCTTTGAGGAACCCGTTTTTCAAGCGTAATGCTTTCTAAAACCAACCTGAATGTAGTTTTGATCTCCATGCTTACAAAATGGCTTCTTCCTTGAGGAAATGCTGAGTTTCCCAAGACAACCAGTTCATTTCACATAGCTTGGCTGTACTACTTATAAAGTCTCTTTCTAAAAGCAGTCTGAGATTATATCTCTTTCCAGACAAAAGTTCCTGGCACAAAGCTGCCAAGTTAACAACTCTGAAACTTTCATTGACTTTCTTTATTTTCCCCTTCCCAGGAGTAAGGAAAGTTGCATTGTGGATAACATCAAAGTGTGCAGCAATGACAGTGGAAATGGAAAATTTAAAAGTGTTTGCATCACTATGAGAATCCCTCGTAATCCAACTATTGGGGACAAATTTGCCAGCCGACATGGACAGAAGGGTATTTTGAGCAGACTCTGGCCAGTTGAGGACATGCCATTTACAGAGAGTGGAATGGTTCCCGATATTCTCTTCAATCCTCATGGCTTTCCATCCCGAATGACCATTGGAATGCTGATTGAGAGCATGGCAGGGAAGTCTGCAGCGTTGCATGGCCTCTGCCACGATGCCACCCCCTTCACGTTTTCAGAGGAGAACTCTGCCTTGGAATACTTTGGCAAGATGTTGAAGGCTGCTGGCTATAACCACTATGGAACGGAGAGGATGTACAGCGGAATCAGTGGGGTGGAACTGGAGGCAGATATCTTTATCGGACTTGTATACTACCAACGCCTGCGCCACATGGTCTCGGACAAGTTCCAAGTGAGGACGACAGGAGCCAGAGATAAAGTCACCAACCAGCCCATCGGTGGGAGGAATGTCCAGGGCGGGATTCGCTTTGGAGAGATGGAACGCGATGCCTTGTTGGCTCACGGCACGTCCTTCTTGCTGCATGACCGTCTCTTCAACTGTTCCGATCGGTCTGTGGCCCACGTCTGTGTCAAGTGTGGCAGTTTGCTTTCTCCTTTGTTGGAGAAGCCTCCGCCTTCCTGGTCCACCACGCGCAATAGGAAATGCTACTGTACTGTGTGCAATCAGAGCGACACAATCGACACGGTTTCTGTGCCTTATGTCTTCCGGTATTTTGTGGCTGAGTTGGCAGCCATGAACATAAAAGTGAAACTCGATGTGAACTAACTGTGGACGTGAATAGCCAGGCAACTACTCTGGAAAAACTAATTTTTAAATGCCCAGATTTTTCTGTTGAAGGATTTAAAAGGACTATTAACTCATAGCTTAAAATCCTGCAACAGCTGTGGGATTAGTTTGATTTGTGTACTTAAAGTGGGGAGATAATCTGCTAAATTACTTAGCAATCAAATGGAGAAGAGGTGCAGACCCCTTAATAGTCACTGTTAGCTCTGTAACAATCCTCTGCATTTGTTTCATATTCGCCAAAAATCGCTTTAGACCGGGGTGGGCAAACTTTTTTTGGCCTGAGGGCCACGTCAGGCTGTGCCTCCCCAAATAGCCTGGCTTTCGTCCCCTCCCACTTCCCACCCCCTGACTGCCCCCCTCAGAATCCCTGACCCATCCAACCCCCCCAGCTCCTTGTGCCCTGACCACCCCCTCCTAGAACTCCACCCCCTATCCAACCCCCGCCCGCTCCCTGTCCTCTGACTGCCCCACCCCCTATCCAAACCCCCGCCCCCTGACAGGCCCCCCCAGGACTCCCATGCCTATCCAACCCCCCCCATCCCCTGACTGCCCCCCCCAACCTCCATCCCATCCAACTGTCCCCTACCCGTCCCCGACCCCCCTGCCCCTTATCCAACCCCCTTGCTCCCCACCCCCTTACATGCCACTCAGATCAGCAGGACTGGCAGCCGTGCCGCCCAGCTGGAGCCAGCTGCGCTGCCCAGAGGGCTGGCGGCACAACAAGCTGAGGCTGCGGGAGAGGGGGACAGCAGGGGAGGGGCCGGGGGCTAGGCTCCCTGGCCGGGCGCTGAAGGGCCGGGCAGGACAGTCCCACAGGCCGTAGTTTGCCCACCTCTGCTTTCGACAGTCGGGTATGAAAACTAAGCAGTGCCAATGATTTACTGGACGAGTGGGCTGGGAATTAAAGCGTTAACTCCTTTCCCCAGGTACTGCATCTTGTAACTGTGCGATGACTGTTCCAGGTGGTGGATGCACTGCAGTCGTGCTGAAGAGATTAAATAAAGGGGAATGTCCTTTGAACACTGGAAGACCACCAAAAGTCTCTTTGTAAAAGAATCAAACCTAATGCCTTAATGGCTGGCACAGTGTCACTGTCATGTGCAGCCAGCCAGGAAAAATCATGTCTTTGCTGATGTGAGAAATACATCTGTGATGATTAAAAGGGGAAAACGCTTGTGGTGATCTGAAGGCACAGCCCGAAGTCAGGACATGGTAGAGTGGCTCTGCTCAAGGAGGAGCTCTGGAAAGAGCCTGCCTCAGAGAGGCACAGTCTGTCATAAGGGCCAACAGTCTGCCCCATTCCTTGGGGGAAGCAGATTGCTGCTTCCACTGTGTCAGCCCCATTCTGCCAGCTGGCTGTTAGCCCCAGGGCAGCAGCACAACTGGGATGGAGGGGGCAAAGTTCTTGCTCACCCTGCAGCAGCCTCTTGGGCCATTCACAATCTCGGCTTTAAGTCTAATGACTTCCTGCTATCTGTGCTTCTCTCTGTGTGTGAACAATTAACACAGACTAGTTACTGTCAGGTTCTAGTCAGTGTCACTTCCTGGCATAATCTGGGCTGCAAACACTGCAGCAGCAACATTTATGTCATATCCCTTGTTTAATTTTATATTTTATTCCATGGAAACGTGACTCTGATTTTGTAAAAGTTCATTTTTAACTAACTTAAACTTGTGGCAAAATAAATCTTTTTATATTACGGATGAGAGAAATAGAACTTTATTCAGATTTTGGAAAAACAGCACGATACCCTGTGGTATTAAATATAAGTAATAACAAACAAATGAGGTGTTTTAGATAAATATTATTGAGCAGTGCTTCAAAAATGTTGATCAGTTGCAAGTCCACGGTGTATTTCTAGCAATTATAAAACTAAAGATGGAAAAATCATTAGTTATAGTTGCAACATAGTTTCTGTTTAAAGCTGAAATTTGTGACCTCTCTAAAATCCAAGTCCATCATTAGATGGACTTGGAAACTGGCATGCCAATTCTGGGCCCAGGGCAGAATATGCTGCACCCTGGCGGACATTTGATCAAAGGGTTCCTGAAACACTGGTTGCCTTCCCCGAATGATAGGTTTTCAGAATTCCACAATTTTTAACTCTCATCTCTGCACAAAAAAGGTGGATTTTTTTTTTTAATGGGGGCAAGCTCTACCAGACAGCAGAGATACCAGCCCTCCCTGATTTTGCATAATCCTCCCAGTGTTTAAATGTAATTATGACATTGCTTTAAATCTACACATTTTGCAATTACATTTTAAAAACCAGGAGGACTGTGTGTGTTGTGTGTCACCACCTCTCAGGACTTCTCCACTGGTGCCCCTGTGCAGATCAGTGTCGCCTGCAGCCCAGCCCTGTACATGGTGTGTACTATTTTGTTGGCCAGCTGGAGGAGGCTCACAGGGTGGGGCTCCTGAGTCACACTGGTGAGATCCCCTGATGGGGATCCCATCCCAGGCTGGTGCACCTACTTGGGGCTTGAACACATGGCTGGCTGCCACTGACTAAATGAGCCAGATACACCAAAAAACCACATGAAGTGGTTTCAGAAGTGTGTGCACACAAGTGAGGATGTGGCCGAAGTCATGGTCAGACCTGGTCATGGCTAATGATGTTACTAAATAGAAAAGGAGTACTTGTGGCACCTTAGAGACTAACCAATTTATTTGAGCATAAAATTGGTTAGTCTCTTAAGGTGCCACAAGAACCTTTTCTTTTTGCGAATACAGACTAACACAGCTGTTACTCTGAAACCTGATGTTACTAAATGTAACTTCAGCTTATTACCACTGTTATTACTGTAACACACACACAAGTGAATCTGAAATGCACCACAAGGGTTTAAGGCGCTACCCCAGACTCTCTCTCTGTATTTGGCTTTGCACTTTTCCCACTACTCCAAGCTGCCTCCCTATAAGTCTCAGAGGAAGGTCAATATCTCTGGAGCTATGATTGCCAGGACCCCTCTCTGAGATCTAGTGTCTGGCACCAAGAACAAGCTCCAAAACCTAATTATTACAAAGTTACTCAATTCTGGGGATCCCGAAACAGAAGGCCAGCGCTGTGCACAGTCTCCAGAGACAGCAAGAGCAATCTTCCCCAATAAAATTCCCTGGAGTCAAGTAGGGTGCTCAGGGCAACAAGCCAGGAGACTGAGTTAAAGTTCCCTCTTCCACTAACTGATATTTTCATGCTCTTGACAAACCATATCAATGGCCAAGGCCTCTTATCCCTACCCATCAGAGAGGCAGCGTAGCCTAGTATAGCGCACAGGCCTGGGACGTGGAAAACTTCCGACAGAGTCCGAAATAGAATCCTATTATCTCTTCTAACAGAACTACCTTTTGCTACTTAGCCACTTTCCTTCTGAGAAAAATTAGGTCAAATCCATGTACTTGAGTGTGCTGTTTGTACAATGGGCTTCTTCCTGCACCCCACCACTTCAGAGCTCTGCAGCTCACTGCTGAATTGGCCCAGCAAATAGCAGCACCTGCAGTGTCTGCATAGTGAGTGCTGGAAGGGAAGGTACTGGGGTTAAGGTCTGAGCCAGGAGAATTGAGTGAAGCAGTGTGGGGCAATGCAATCAGGAACTGCCATCTGCAAATATCCGTGCCTACACACAGCACAGTGGTTTCTAGCCTCCCCCAGTCTGCACAGAACCCAGGGAGACTACCCCTGAAATGGTGGCTCTGTCATTTAACAGCGCCAGTGTGGACATAAGTATACGGTGTTACACCCACATCCTGCACTGTATAATGTAGAGACACTGTGTGGGCAAGGGGAATATGCACAAGCACAGACACAGTTCAGTACTTGTATATGCATGCCACTACAGACCTAACCTAAAGCTCTAATCCCTCCCTCCCTGGAGCCACAATCTGACCTGGTTCCTGGCACTCCCCTCCTGGGGCCAGGATCCCACACACAGCTTCCCCGTCTCTTATCGCTGCGTCCCGGCCGTGTGCTGTACTTGGGCTGACGTTTTGTCACCCTGGTAAAAAGGATCATGGAGAATTCAGGGATCTCCTAACTTTGCTGGGAATGATGGTGCATTGCATTGAGCTTTTCCCTTGCACCCCCAGTGAATAAGGGAATGGCATCATTTTCTACTCAGAGTGGAGCCAGAGCCACTCCTGTACAGAAAATACAGTTTCAATACCCAAATCAGTCTTAGATTCCATCCATTTAGGAATGAATATTCCAAGGGAGGTTCTATCCGGAAGTACTGCTCATGAGTCCCCCAGCCTTCTTCCCATGGGATGGTGGCTCTTCAGAGCTGTTGTATGCAGGTCCCTCTGTGAGCAGCTACGCGTACCTGCTCCCCAGGTCTTTCAGTGTCCTGAAAGAGACAGAGCCTTTTAATTCCTGTATCTAGTCTCTGGTTTCTCTCACCAGATAAAATTTGGCAGCCAGTAGATGGCATTATTGAGATTAAGATTTGACACACAAACACAAAAAGACCCAACAAATCTCTCTCTGAGCGGAGCAGGTTTGGACAAGTGCCACCAGCTCACGAAAGCTCATGCTCAAATAAATTGGTTAGTCTCTAAGGTGCCACAAGTACTCCTTTTCTTTTTACCTACAGCTAAAGAACTGAAAAGCAGGTCAGCGACCCTCAGCTGTCATGATCCCAGCTGCTTAAGGAGGAACTGGCAGGCCAGCGAAGGTTAGCTCTCTGTTTGCTACTACATAGATCAAAGTTAAACTGTTCTACTTTGTGGCTGGCTTTACTTGCCAAAGTTTGTTTAGTGATCTCTTATGCCACACGCAAAATTACAGTAAGATGTGGCTTCTATTTTATTCAGCAATAGAAAATTAATTTACTAGGAAGTAGGCTCTAAATAACTGTAGGCTCTAAATAACTGAATTAGCTTTCTTTTACCTTGTAATTTTTTGCACTCTTATAGAAAAATTCAGTATCAGTAAAAACAATGCCGAGCCATCTGCTGCTTAGTATTGACTCTGAAGAATGGCTGAACTCTATCCAGCTCTTACTGAAGTCAGTGAGACTTGCAGTTAGCAGGATCAAGCTGCCTTCTACTAATGCTGAGAAGTTAAGGGCAAAACCCTGAGAGGTGCTGAGCACCTTCAACTGCTATTGGCTTCAATAAGTGGCACGGGCCCAGCCCCCTTCAGAATCTAGTCCTAATTTATTATTTTTAAACATAACTTCTTTGTACGTTTCGTTTTGTCAGTCTTAATTCAGAACTGTTCAACTCTGCTTACCCCTTCCTAAATGGCATAGCAGAAAGGCTACAGAGAAGAGCAGCAACCATTCCTGGTAGCAGGCAGGGCCAATGGCTAACTGATAGGTCTCAAAATTGGAAACAAGGTGGGTGAGGGAATATCTTTTATTGGACCAACTTTTGTTGGTGAAAAAGCCAAACTTCCGAGCCACATAGAGCTCTTGGTCAGCTCCAAAGCTTGTGTCTCACCAACAGAAGTTGGTCCAACAGTAAATGTCCCACCTTGTCATATCCTGGGACCAACAGGGCTACAGCTATACTGCAAACAACAATGGAAGATATCCATCCTAGGTACTTATCTGGTCCCCGTTACTGTAATATCTAATCACCTCACAATCTCTAAGGCTGTGGTTCTCGACCAGGGGTCTGCGGCCCTTTGGGGGGGGCGCAAGCAGGTTTCAGGGGGTCTGCCAAAATAAACCAGAGACCAGGGCCAGCATTAAACTCGCAGCAAGGGCGCAGGGCAGAAAGACAAAGCTCGAGCCCCACCGCACTGGGGCGGGTAAGGTGGGCTGTGGCCGAGCAGGTTGTCCAGCCAGCTGGCTGGTGGAGAGGGTGGAGCTGTGCAGGTTGGCCGTGACATCAATTAACACATGGCACCAAGCCAGGATTAACACTCACCATGACACGTGCATGTGCTTGTCGAAGACACCCCCACACAGAATTGTTGATCAGCAACAAGTTTCACACTGAGTAAGGAAAACAAAAATAATCAGTTTATTTTTGTACCTGTATTTCCTTTTGTGTATTACAGGTGTGGGTGTGTGTTTAGCTGTATAACTACCCATTTAATACAACTTTTCATCTACTGGCTATCCAGAAAACCAGTTGTGGCACAGGTGGGCTGTGGCATCTTTATAGCATATTGTGGGGGCTCAGAAAGAAAGGTTGAGAACCCCCGCTCTAATGCATTTATCCTCTAAACCCCCTGTGAGGCAGGGCAGGGCTGTTATGTCCCCACTGGACAGATGGGGCATTAAGGGGGACAGGAACACCCCGGAAGCGTGTCTGAATCACTGTCACCGTGGGTTGATTTGGGGGAGGATTCTAGCTTGTAAGTGACTGGTGGAACGTAGGTCCCTGACGCTCCATCCCCCGTGGTGTTCCCTGCACACCTAGAGGAGAGTCTCTGGGGAGGGAGAAGCCTGTTTAGTTTGTGGTGGTTTGACCAAGAACCCTCCACCGATGCTGCCGGTCAGCCATTTCACTTGGGTGTGAATGTCCCCATCTGCTGCTAGAGCCAGTTGAGACAGGTCCTGTTGTATCATTTCAGGCAATGAGCAGTACCTTACAGGGCCTCTCTGCTCTAGCTGGCCCCTTCTCCACAGTCAGAATAGGCTTTAGTCTGAGTGGGGGTCTGCCTTCCCCAGCCTGACACCCAGCGGCTTCTTATTAGGCGCCTTCTGCCCCAACAAAGGGGTGCTGCTGTGAGGGGGGGCGAGAGGCCATTAGCCTGTCAGGTTCTTCCCTTAAAAAAACAAACGCGAGAGGCCTGGGTGACAAGGAGCGGCAGGGCCGAACAGCCGCTCCTCGTCTGTGGCGGCAGCCAAAGCAGGCTGCGCACCCGTTCCGCTACCCTGACCAGGGGCACGGCGAGCCGGGCTCCCTGCGGGGTGCGAGTGCTGCGTGCCGGCAAGGCCGAGGGGCGCTGCCCGCCGAGAGCCAGCTCGCCGCCCCTCGGGAGAGTAGCTCGCTGTCCTTACAGCTGTTTCTAGACTCTACTGAGCAAGGGCCGCTGCCACACCCCACTGTCCCCGGGTTTCCTGGGAACTGCTTCACTTTTTGTCATTTCTTCCAACTGCCCTCTCTCGCAGGGCGCTGCTTATTACCGGCTGGGCGCCGCTCGGGGCGGCCGGGGCGCGGCTCGGGGTGGACGGGGCGGCCGGGGCGCGGCTCGGGAGGGACGGGGCGGCCGGGTCTCGGCACCGGGCGGCCGGGGCGCGGCACGTTTCGAGGGAGCGGTGAGGGACCTGCGCCCAGGGCCAGCTTCCACGGCACGGCTGGGCCTCCGCCTCCTCGCCGGGCCCTTGGGCTGCGCCCGGCCGGCTGCAGGCCGGTCCCATGCGGCCCTGTAACGCCCGCCGCAGTTCGCCCCTCCCGCGGCTCCGGCCCGGCCAGGCGCCCCGCACGAGGCCGAGGCCGGAGAGCTCCGCTCCCGCCGGGCTCGCGTCAGGGCTGCGGGGGCTCGGCCGGGCGCGCCCCCTCCCAGGGCTTGGGCCTGCGGGCCAGGCGCGAGGGGGTGGGGCTCGCCAGGCTCGCCGCGACGTGGGGCCTGTGGAGGCCGGGCAGCTCCCGGCCGCTCCGCACCAGGCGGAGGATCTCGGAGAAGGAGGCCGGGGGCGCCGGGGCCGGGCCGGGGCCCCCCTGGCTCCGCGGCTCCGCGCCGGGCTCCATGGGCGGCGAGGGGCAGGCTCGGGCCCCGCCCGGCAGCGGCCGGTACCACTCCAGGCGCACGGGGGGGGGGCGGCTGGGAGGTACCACTTCAGCCGGGGGACCGCTGGCTCCATGCAGCTCCGGCTGCTGTGACCAGTCTGTGCACTGCGCGGGCCACGGCGCCGCCCCCGGCCGCCCCCCTGCACCGGACTGCGCGGGCCACGGCGCCGCCCCGGCCGCCCCCCTGCACCGGACTGCGCGGGCCACGGCGCCGCCCCGGCCGCCCCCCTGGCCATAGCCCTGCACTCGGCTATCACATACAGAGCCTGGAGCGAATGGGCTCCGTCCCCCATGTCCCGCACCTTGGCCTCTGGTGGGGCGGGGAGGTTGTCCCAGTGATTGCCCCACATACACACCATGGCAGCGACTCTCCCCTCCACACCCCACGAGCTGCAGGGGAACCTCACAGCAATTCCCCCTACGCACCATGAGCCCTGGAGAGAGCCTCACGGTGACACCCCCGACCTACACACAACACCCTCCCAAGAGGGAGCCTTGCAGAGACTCCCCCACCCAGAAGTGACCTGAGTCTGCACCCTGGATTCACAGCCACAAGGAGGCAAATGGTGCAGCTCCTGCTTGCACCCATCACTGAGACCCCTGCCCAGGCACACTCTGTGCCAAGCCACCCAGCCCCATCCATGGGACCCTTTGGCACACTGCATGGCCATTTGTCATGTTCCCCTCCCCTCAGCCGGGTACCGGGTAAGAACAGGGAATGGCTCTCCTCTCCTGTTCTCGCCTCCCTCCAGCCCTGGGCCTGAGTCTCCCTCAGGACTGATGTCAGCAGGGGGTGCTCACCGCCAGCAGGGGCAGGATCCAGCACCTGGCTGCCTGGAGGGGCCAGCAGGGCTCATAGACTCCAGGCTGTAGGCACTGGCTGCCCAGCACTGCAGGCAAGGGGAAATGGAGTTTACCCAGTTTATAGCATTTAGGTTAGATTAGCTGACCCAGTTCTTTTACCACCACTATATCACTGGGGCAACCTCTGGATGCCCCCTCCCCAATGCCACACCCGCATGCCAGCCAGTGTTGGGGGCACTCCTCCACTCAGCCCCATGCTCTCTGGGCCTGATCCCCACAGCCTGCCCCCCTTTGCACCAGGTAAATCCAGTGCCATGTGGTGTGTAGCACTGCCCAGACCCAGCGGGTGGGTATGACCCCCCAAGGAGCAGGGAATGGCTGACCCTGGTCTTGCTGTTGCCTTGGCTCATGGAAACCTGCTGGGGCATCTCCACAAGAGCCATCTGTTGTGCCCCGTGGAGCTGCAAACTGGGGTCTCTGTACTCCCCTTTGCCTGTGGGATTCTGCAGTTGGGGGGACCCAGTCAGGTCAGCTTGTGCTCCCACAGGGCTGGGCTCAGGGCCATTAGGGTGGTTTTAGGCTCTCACTGCCTATAGCCATGTGAGCAAGCAAACGGTTAAAAGGTGCGTGGGTTTGTTTGCCAGGAAGCACAGCAGCTGGTTAGGCAGCTGGCGAGAGACCGTTAGAAAGGGGCAGGGACAGCAGAGGGGAGGGAAAGGTGCTGAGAGACAGGCTGGGGTCCTTCTGCCTGCTGCGTTGTTCATCCCTGGATCAGATGCTGCAGCTTCTCACCATGGGCCTGCCCTTGTGGCTGCTTGGACAGCTCCTGGCCCCCACAGTACTTCAGCTTCTGAGCTGTGAGTATGCCTGTCCCCTGGGGCAGGTGCCTCTTGCTTCACTCAGCTCCACACTCTCCTCCTTGGCAGCAAGCTTGCCTGCTCCCCAGGGTGGGCTGCATCCTCCCCCTGCCCTGACACCCAGGAGAACCATGCTGGGCCGGGTGGGTTCTGCAGGCAGCGTGTAGCTAGAGGCCCAAGACTGTAGATACCGTGGGAGGGGAGGAAAGGAGTGGCCAGTGAGTACCCCTGTTAAAGGGTTAGCTACACCCTGCAAAGGAGCAGCAAGGCCTGGGGGTTTTGTTCCAACAAACAGCGGTGGGGCTGGGGCAGCCAGACAAGGACCTAACCCCCAGTTGGGCACTCGTAGCTGGCCAAGCAGAGATACTTGCTCCACGAGGCAATCCTTCCCGAGAGGTTGGAAACCAGCTTTAGCCTCGTTGCTCCTGGTCAACAGGGCTCCAGGGTCAGCGAGGCCTTGTGGCTGAGACCTGCCCTGTGCATTGCTAACTGGCTGTCTGTTCTCCCGCCAGGCAGCACTGCAGCCCCTTTCCCTACCTTGGCGCCCCCACTTACCATGGTCGTGAACGGCGAGAGGAAGACCCTAGTGGTTTGTGTGGTGAACGACCTCTCCCAGGACATGGCAGATGCTATCTGGTTTTCAAATCAGAATGGGAGTGCTCTGGACTCCTTCACCTACGGAGTTTCCAGGGAGGAAGACGGCACATTCAGCACAGTCTCTCACCTCTCCGTCCACACCGCAGAACTGGAGTCCTGGGAATCCCTCGCCTGCCACGTGAGACAGAACAGAACTGCTCAGGTGTGGAGTGCCAGGTCCCTGCTGATCTCTGGTAGGTACCGAGCGAAGAGAATATCCAACACACAAACCCCATCTCTTTTCTGTCACTTCCCTGCCCCCATCTCCCTCCACCTCCAGTCCCCTGGGAGCCCCACATTCCTCTCCATTTCCCTGTGACTCCTTCCTCCCCTCAGTCACATTGTGTTAGCCCTGAATGACCTGGGCGAGAAAGTGAGGGTGCAGTGGCAGCTGCAGTGGCTCCCACTGCCCATTTGCAACAATGCAGACAAAGTACAAATGTCAGACGGTTCATTCAAATGCAACACCCCAGGGAAAAATAAAGGGTGACACTGTCACCCAAGGGGAGCCATATTAATAGCAAATATGGCACAAAAGTGTCAAGAAGGCTCTAGCCTCAACAGACCTGGCAGGGCTGACATAATTCCTGCAACTATGGAATAGAGATGTAGGAGAGTGGAGACTCATGGGAAGGAGACACACACACAGCTCTCTGCATTGAAGAGATCTCTACAGGGAAATGCACCATGGTCAGGTTGAAGCTAACCTTCCAGTATAAGCCCAATTTTGACACATAAACACCTTCTCTCAAAACTAAACCAGCTGCATTTTCATAAATAAGCATGGGCTCCAAATCTTTCTTCAAAGGTTGAGGGAAACTGGATCAAGTGTTTGAGAGCCAATACTTTGAAACAACATTTGCAAAAATGTGGATGAGGCAAAAAGCTGTGTTGAGCTAAGATTCTAAATATGCTTCAGTTACATAAGGGGAAAACTTGAGAACACTGTAGTTGCTTTTCCTCAGGCATGTAGCTATTAATTACTTAACTCCAGTTTGCTGATGCGTTTTGCCTGGATCTAACACAGTACATATATAGCCGTGACTCTTTAATGCCTGGGCTTGCCACTTTTCTATATAAAGATAAGATCAGATTCCTGATACTCCATATGTCTGGGAAATTGTTTTGTTCAGCAATGTTTTTATATGGTGGTTTTCAGTCTAATGAATATGAAGTGCACAGATGCAATGTGATGGCTGCACAGTTAAATATCACAAAGGCGGGAAATGAACAAGTCAGTTGTAGCCACAACCTTAGCATCCATATTTTACCCATCCTGCAGGATTTGGGTATTGGGGGTAAGAGGACTTTCAAAGGCTCAAAGAGGGGTTAGGCACCTGACTCCCATGGAGAGTCAATGTGAGTTGGGCAGCTACCTCCCAGCTCTTGTTTGTGCCTTGGAAAATCATCTCCGCAGTTGTTACCCCCACCACAAAATGCATTTATGTTGCTTTTGTTTTGCCCAACTTTTAGTGGCATGTCTGTGCAGCGATGCAATTTTCTGCATTTAATATCCTAGTACCATGACTATTTTAAGACAAAGCGCGAAGCCGGTGTGTGACCTTTCCAAGCTTTGTCAAGTTCACCAGCAGAGCTTGTGAGCTAACTGATCCAGAGGCACTTGGTGTGTGCATCCCTTCTATCAGCTAGTTGCACATCTATAGGTATACCCCCAATAAAGTGTTTTCAGCTAAATTAATTTATTATGCATGCTCAGTCCCACTTCTTCCCACTTCTCCTGTCTCATTTTAAAACTTGGCAAAGTAGAGAATCTTTATGAAGAGGCATTTACACATAAAATGTGAAGTTTTAAAGTTGAGTTGTTTGCATTATCAGTGCAAAAATAAAAGGGAGGGGTGGGGGGTAGCTTGTTTTAAAGCAGGAAAAGTATGTATTTTACATAATTATCTCAGAAAACCCTCATGAGAATGCACTCAGGCTTTCCAAAACTCCACCCCTTTGAGCAGAGACCAAGAAAGATATCAACCCAAAAGGTGAATGAATTGGTAAGTTATGAGAACGGTGTAAGAAGGAGGTTATGGTGGGAACCGTTCTGAGCTTTAACCACGCAGTCAGTACTGTTACAACTAGTATAATTCCTCCTACTAATAGTTATAACTCTGTCTTGTAGAAGACCATGTGGAAGAGCCCTGTCTGGATGAAGACCGAAGTGGTAAGCAATAACTCTGCATTCCTCCCAGCACATTCATACTGCCTATTTGAATCCAACTGATTCTTTGAGGAAACAGAAGGGCTGTGGAAAGAAGCATGTGGATACCACCTCCAGTTTAAGCCTTTTCTGAAAATGAACATCAGAAGAAACGGGGATAAATTCTGGCCTCACTTACACAGGTCCAAGTCTAGAGTAGTAAAGTTATTCCAGATTTGCAGCAGTGTAAATGAAAGCAGAATTTTGCCCACTGTTTCCAAGAGCTTTAGTCATTGGATGAAAGATGCAGGTCATGAATTGACTAACCTTTTCCACCTGGACATCTGTATGTCAGAGGTTATATCTTAGCCTCAAAGAAAGAAGCTGTCAGCAGCATTGCTCTTAGAGCCTTTCTGCTATGCAACCCCTGGATCTGCGCTGGCAGCAGCAGACATGCGTGCAGGATCTCCACATCGCCACTCAAAGGCAAACAGCCACAGAGCTGGCTCTTGTGAATTTGACCTGGTCTGGAAGAGCAGTTGATCTCCGAGTTGAGAAGTCAGCTCCCCCATAGAGCAGGTCAGGAATTTTGCAATGAAACATTATTTTATCTAAAAATGTCGATTCCTCAAAATTAAAATCACTTGCAGACCAGGGTCCTGACCTGAAACGTTTTTGAAAAAAAAAGTTTCGAAGTTGGCAAAACATTGTGTTCTGATGTTTTCTAAACACTAAATGTTGGTTGTGTGATTTGAAACAGCTTTTCATTTTGAAATTTAAGTTAACTGGGGGAAAAAGTCAAGGAAAGAGGTTGAAATCAAAAGGAAATGTTTTGAAAATATTGCAACAAAATGTTTCAATTGATCTGAACTGAAAATGTTTTGGTTTGTGAAAATTTTAGATTGACTTTTTGTCCTGATTCAGGACAGGAAAAAAAATGGAACTCTCAGAACTATTTGCGGGATGGGAAAACCATTTATGGATGTGGTCCTTGAGGCTATAAAATGCCACAAAACAAGATGCTAAACCCGCACTTCACTGTGAGATGCTGTTCAGTGCAGGGGCTGGAGAGAGATCCTCCAATATTACCTATGAACACTACAAAGTTCCAGTGATGCTGTCCTGGCCCTAGTGTCAAGAAAGGAACAACTCCATAAACACTTATTACCTATACAATGTGGCTTGCCAGGATCATCTGGGAATATCTCACTTTAATCCATTTCCTTGCCACTGCAGGGACCTGGGGCACATCAGTCCCTCCTAGTCTCTGCCAGTGGCACATAATAGTCTAGTCTCCTGTGAGCTGTAATACTTTGGTCTAATTTCAGTTGTTGAGCTTAATGTGCAGGTGCTGGGTGTGGTTAATGGCCTGTGATCTACAGGCAGTCAGGCTAGAATTCTGGTGGTTCCTTTTGGCCTTAAACTCTATCTCCTCTGTCTGTTACATAGACATTAACAGGCGGGTGGGGTGGGGTGACAGGATAACAAATGGAATAGGAGGTGTGTGATTCTTAGCAATGGTCCCAGCACACCACCTGTCCAGCCATTATCACAGTGTAGTTTGTGATGTACATCATGGCAAAAGTGAGTCTGGGGAAGGGACATGGAAGAGGATACAATGGTGGCTTTACGGATTTCAACTGAGAGCTTTTCCCCCTGGTAAGGGACAGCGTAGGACAGAGTGTCAGAATGCTCGTCAGAGATGGGGGTGATCAAAACGGGCACTGGTGGAATGAAGGGCAGAACTGACTGTGCATACAGTAACAGACTGGATAGGTGGGGAGGGCTAAATTATGGAAGGTTTTGTAAGTACGGACAAGAAGTATGTGTTTGTGATGGGAGAAGGTGAGCCAGTGGATGGACTTTAAAAGGGGAGTGATATGGTCAGAACATGGAAGATGATCTTGGCAGCTGCGTTTTGAATGGGTTTGAGAAGGAGAGGGGGCAAGTACTGAGCCAGAGAGAAGGAGGAAAGAGCAGTGGTCAATGCATGAGACGATTAAGGCTCAGACAACGGTTTCGGCTGTGTGGGCAGAGAGGGAAGGACAGATCTTGGGGATGTTGTACAGGAAGAAGTGGTTAGATTTAGGCACAGCTTGGATATAGGGGTGAAAAGAGACAGTGAAATCCAAGATGAAGCCACATCTACCATTTTACAGAAGGGGAAATTGAGGCACAGAGTCAGCAACAAATTATTTATAATAATAGCATAAGAGTATGGTCTGAAGTAAGTACTCCACTTTGGAAGAAACAATCAATTGCACATACAAAATGGGAAAGGACTGCCTAGGAAGGAGTACTGTGGAAAGGGATCTGGCTGTCACAGTGTATCACAAGCTAAATACAGGTCAACAGTGTAACACTGTTGCAAAAAAAGCAAATATAATTCTGGGATATTTCAGCAGGAGCGTTGTACACAAGAAGTAACTCTTCCACTCTAGTCCATGCAGATTTAAGCCTCGGCTGGAGTACTGTGTCCAGTTCTGGGTGTCATATTTCAGGAAAGATGTGGACAAATTGGAGAAAGTCCAGAGCATCAAAAATTATGAAAGGTCTAGAAAACATGACCTATCAGGGAAGACTGAAAAGAACTGGGTTTCTTTAGTCTGGAAAAGAACAGACCATGGGGCGGGGAGGGAAGAGGAGAACAGTTTTCCAATACATAAAAGGTTGTTACAAGAAGGAGGGTGATAAATGGTTCTCCATAACCTCTGAGGATAGGACAAAAAGCAACAGGCTTAAATTGCAGCAAGGGAGCTTTAGGTTGGACATTAGGAAGCACTTCCTATCAGGGTAGTTAAGCACTGGAACAAAACTGCCTAGGGAGGTGTGGAATCCCCATCATTGGAGGTTTTTAAGAACAGGTTAGACAAACACCTGTAAGGAATGGTCCAGTTATTAGGAGTCCTGTCTTGAGTGCAGGGGACTGGACTAGCTGACCTACTGAGGTCCCTTCCAGTCCTACACTTTTATGATTCTGTGACTTGTCCAAGGTCACACTGAGTGGGTGGCAGAGCTGATAAGTCACCAGAGTTCCAAGCGCCCAACCCAGAGCTGCATCCTCTAGGCCAATTGTTCTTGTACCATTGGACATAGGAGGGGTAGAAGTACAATAGCAGTAAGATTTCATTATAACGACGCTGATGATAGCAACGAATGTGCTACACTAAGTACCTGAGTTCTAGAGGAGGTGCATTAGGTCTTTCAGACTGACTCCTATTGCTCAGGCCAAGGGTGCCCAACCTCCAGCCCACCAGAGCATTTCATACGACCCGTGGCCTGCCTCAACACAATTTACTAACGGCAGATTTATCAGCGTTTTGGCATCATGTTTACATCTTTTTAGTTTACACGAGAGTGTGAATAGACAATACTGTACACAGAAACAACCTATCTAAATATATATGAAACAAGAGAACTTAAAAAATATAAATCAATACAGGTTACTTTAAATCTTATTAAAATATGTGGAAGCTGTTTGGCCCGAACAAGGTTGTGCTTAGGTTTATGTGGCCCTCTTGTGTAATAAGGTTGGGCACTGCGGCCATACACAGTCCCAATAGGGACCACTGGTAATTTTTCTGTGTGGCACCCCAGGTTCTGATCAGGTACGTGATCCCATCTGTTTCAGCTCTGCCCGTCCATTCACAAATCCTGCTTCTCTTGGCCATCAGAGTGTTGTTGCTGAAGTTCCTCCTGTTTGACATACTGATCACCTGCAGCTTCCTCTTCAAAGGGTAAGACTCCATAATGCAGGGAAACTGTGGAGCACAAGGGGTTTCTAGTCATGGCATCCAGTCGCTAGGAAGCTGAAATAACTTCAGAAGTTATTAAACTGTCAACGACAATTAACAAAAATAATGAATTGACGTAGAAGGCCGCCATTTTGCAGAACACCATTCTGGGAATGCAACTCCGAGCTGAATGTATGGGTAAGGAAGAGACTTTCAGAGATGTGCTTTGGGTTCATTCAGAAACTGGTTTGATCACTGCTAGGTCCTGGTTCCTATTCTGACTTTCCTTTAATCTTGGAATGGCTCCTTCCCCTGGAGTAGGAATTGCACCAACCTGGGTCTCCAGGTGGGAAGTACCAATAAAATGGGCAAGATGCTAGAAGGAGAAAAACAGGCAGAGCTGGTCAGGATGTGTGAATTGCCTCAGGGAGGCCAGTCCCTCCACAAGATCTTCTGCAGCCTCAGTCACTGCATCACCTCCATAACTACATGGACATGCTGGTCCGCACTAGTTAATTCCCCTTCCTCCTTCACCCCCCACCTGTCTCCAGCTTCCCTTCACCCAACCCAGCTCTCCTCCTGTCTCCATCTTCTGTCTCTTCTTCCCAATCTTCCCAATCCCATACAAGGAGTCTGCCCCTCCTTGTATGCAGTGTAGTTGTAGCTGTGTAGGTCCTAGGATATTAGAGAGACAAGGTGAGTAAAGTTTTAGATCTTTGAGGTGCTATACCCCATTTGGTGGAACTTAATGCAGCATTAGATCGGAACTGTTGTCCCCTAGAAGTCAGAGGAGGGTTGCTGGGCAACCACTTCTCTCAGAAGACATAGGGGATGCTGTTGCCAGAGCTGCTCCGAGCTCACTAGCAGAACCAGGGGCTGCCGTATGTGCCTGCAGCATTGATTGCACTGCAGTTTCCACACTCCAGCACTGGCTCTGCACCCAGTGGTTATGAATGCTAATTTATTAGCCAATCCCACAAACCACAGAGGGCCTGATTTGCAGAGGTGCTAAGCCCACAACAGGGTTTGTGGATGCTCTGCACATCTAAAAGCCAAGTCATCCTGTGCATTACCCTCTTGCTAGGGTGAGAGCTCTCTGCTGAATGTTGTAGCTTGGCAAGACATCATCCATCCTGGGCAGTGATGATTTGCTGCTGCTCTCCACAGCACATTCTCAGGTCAGCCAGCCTTATAAAGCAGCAGACCTGAGAAGAGCAAGTAAAGACTGGAAAGCAGAGACACGATGGAAAGTGTTCCCTGCCCTCTACTATCCTCACCTCGTCACACCGTTTCATCTCCTTTCAGGGGACGCCAAGCCCTACCGCTGAATTCTGCAAATAGTTCATCTGCTCAGGCTTGGTTCAGCAACGGAGAATCAGCCTCACTCGTCAGCATGGAGAGCAGACCGAGGCAGAGACTGAGTTGGACAGAGTTAGTGACTGGAGCCAGCCATCCCAGGGGTAGCAGAGACAGAGCTTCCCACACCATTTCCTTCCACCTTCCACCCATCTGAGCTAGAGCAAATCAAATGACCCACTAGCAACTGTCCGCACAGTGGGACTTGGGGCAGTTTACAAGGTGTTGCGCTTGGTTTGCTCACCTCTCTGTCCGCTATGCTGATGTCAGCCAGGACATGACCCATGATAGGCATGTACCATGTGCAGAACAGATGGTCCCAAGCTGGACCGAAGTGTAGAACAGAAGACAACAAACCTAGGCTAATGGCATACCAGCCCAAGTGTTGAGTTGGGCGTGGACCCAGGTTTCCCTCTTGGTCACCTGTTCTAATTTTTATTTGTTTGTTTTTTATTGATGTCTTACTGGGTAAACTGCACAGTTTGCAGAGGAGTATGGCGTTCACAGGCTGCAGCAATGTACTTCATGTACTAGCAACAGTGATACAGGGCTCATCTCCAGCACCCTACTTGTGAGCGCCAGGAAACACCTTGTTGGTAAAGAAAATCCTTTTCTGGGCAAAGAGATCAGTTTGCTCTCAGAGTCAGCACCCAGGGAAATTCACTTCAGAAGAAGTCCTGTGGCTTTTTGGGTCTACAATTTTTAAAAAAAACAGAACATTTTGACTTTTGACATTTTTTTAAACCAGATAAACTATTTGTTGAATTCAGCCTGAATTCAGCAAATAGTTTTGGACCCCCAAAAATGCATTTTGTGGTGAAAAAACAGTATGTTGAAAAAAAATGTGCCCAGCTCTACCCTTCACACAGAACTAAAATCAGATCATGACCAGAACCACATACAGTCTGAAACTCTTCCAATCCCGGAGTGGAGTTGTTTCTCTCTAGATCAGCAACTTCTTCCTGCGCGGTTTCCTTTTTTGTATCCGAGTGAAGCTGCTCCAGTTCCAACACCTGAGGGAGCTGCTCAAAGGCTCCCCCTTCTCAGGTAGGCACTGCCTATTTTTATAAGGGAAATCAGAACTTGGGAAAACCCTTTTGGGTCCAAAGGGATCTATTCTGCCTGTTGAAGAGGAATTTGCTCAGCATGTAGAGGAATGAGGAGAAAGAAAACCCTAGGCTATTTTATAAACAATTATAATAAATTCAAACCCATACAGTATGGCCTCATGTATGTGTGTCTGAGTGTTTCTGTAGGTGTGTGCACAGACTGCAGTGACAGCACACCCCAACCCAGCCCTCTGTCCATAACTCTTGCAGCCAGCATTTCTGGCTCTCTCAGGCACTTTTGGGCACTGAAAGGAGAATAATACATTCACAGGCTCCGGCAGCCCCAGAGAAGGGTGCGTTGGGCATGGAATGAGGTTGAGGACTGGACATGGAGAGGGCAGGGGCAAAAGGTGTGGAGAGGGGAATGAGATGGGGAGGAAGAGGAGCACATGGCTCAAGCACTCAGGCCACTCAGAAGCCACCTACAACCTTTTAAGGTTGAATGGACAGAAAGCTGGAATTGTTATGCAAATTTAATAATTGCATATTTAATTGGTATAATTTGCATACATGAGACCAAGCACTATATTTGCAAATAAAAGAACTGCACAGACTATCCCCACTACCTCCTAGATCATTCTAGGGGAGAGGTGGATAGGAGCAGGGGGTTGGGCAGGCTGTCTAGGGTCAGGGCAGATAGGAGCAGAGGTGTGGGGGTGGGGTGTCAGGATGGATGGGCAGAAGGGACAGGGCTGGGCAAAGGGGTGGACTGGGCAGGCTGCGGGAGGCGGGGGGAAGGGTTGTACCCACTGTGCTCTCTTGCCTCTACACTGGACATGCCCTAGGCTCTGTGAGTCCCAACTGGCTAGTCTGTGAATATCCTAGGGCAGTGGTTTATAAATTTTCTAGGTTATGTACCCCCTTTCCAAATAATGTAGTCTATCACGTACCGCTATCTGAGATAGGGTCATAATATACTTATGAAAACAGAAAAAAGTCTGTAAGGGATAACATGATGCAAAAATGCACAAGCCCTGGAGTGTGTTGTCCCGGATAAAATTGTTCGTTATAATAACTGTATCATATATACCTTCACTTTGGATCAAAGTAGTCCCTCAAACAAGTTTCTAGTTGTTCTAAACATTAAACTGGAAGTTTCCATGGTCATTTTATTGTAATTAATTAAAATTAATGAAGCCTCCATGCTGGTCTCAATCACTCAGACATAACCCATGTTAGCCTGTTTGTGACTAAGCATTTAAAAATGCCAATCATGTATTTTTGTTGATAATAAAAAGATACAGAAAAGGAGGCAAAGAAAAGTTCACTATCCATACATTTCTACAGCTAACCTCGATAATACGAAAATATATTATTGGCATTTTTAAATTCTTGATGACTAATGTACAGTACTTATTGATGTTAAGAAAAAATATATATAATGCTTACCTATCAGTGTGATGGATGTCCTTGCTTTTTATCACACAAATCACTGATGGCAGGGAAAATTGGAGAGAGCTTCACTCACAAGTCATTTTCAGCATTTAATCTCTGAGGATACTTTGTCTCGATCGCCATGAGGGCAGAGAATCCAGTCTCACAAAAGTATGTTGTGGAGAAGGGCATCAGAAACTTGACAGCTCGTTTTGACAGGTATGGGTAATCTTTCATCCTTTGCACCCAGAAGTCTGCCAAAGGTTTGCATGCAAATTCTAATTTAAGACCACCGTCACAAGAGAGATCTAAAAGTTTCTCCTGCTCATGCACTGGCAGAGGAGGAACTGGGAGAGATTCAGGCACCTTAAAGGGATTGCATATCCAGGAATTTGCATTGTCCATTTTGGGGAAATACTTTCTTAGTTGTTTGGTAAGTTGTTGCAAGTGTTCCATAATGTCAGCTTTCACACTCTCATGTAACAACATATTGTAATTTGTTGCAAGAAATTCTTGCAGTGTTGGAAAGCAGTCAATCACATTTCTCTTTAAGCAACTATCCCAAAATAGTAGTTTCTTAATCATGGATTCGATTTTGTCTTGTGTTTAGAAAATAGTGGTGCTTAAGCCCTGAAGGCCAAAATTGAGCTCGTTGAGGCAAGAAAAAATGTCTGCCAAGTAGGCTAATCGCTGAAGCCAGGCAGCATCTTCCAAACAAGATGACAGTGCAAAGGGGTAGTGATCAGTGAAAAAAAATTGAAGCTCGCTGTGCAGCTCAAAGAGTCATGTCAGCACTTTGCCACACGACAGCCAGCGAAGCTCAGTGTGCATTAGTAAAAAGAAAAGGAGTACTTGTGGCACCTTAGAGACTAACCAATTTATTTGAGCATGAGCTTTCGTGAGCTACAGATGAAGTGAGCTGTAGCTCACGAAAGCTCATGCTCAAATAAATTGGTTAGTCTCTAAGGTGCCACAAGTACTCCTTTTCTTTTTGCGAATACAGACTAACACGGCTGTTCCTCTGAAACCTATCATTGTGCATTAGTAGCGGCAAATGGTCATTTCCCGTTTTCATTACAGGGTAGCAAAAATTCTTGAATTTAGACACTGACCCTTAATGAAGTTAACCATTTTGACAGCATCAGACAACACTGACATTAAGTTTTCAGGCATTTTTGGGGAAGCTAGGGCCTCTCTATGGATGCTGCAGTGCACCCATGTGGCTTCTGTTGCTACAGCCTTGATGTGAACCACGACTCCACTGTGCTTTCCTATCATTGATTTTGTCCCATCAGTAGAAATCCCTACACAGTGGGACCAGTCAATTCTATTCTCACTCATGAAGTTATCAAGCAGTAGAAAAAATCTCTTCTCCTGTTGTTTGGATAGGCAGGGAATGACAAAAGAGAAAGTCTTCATGTATGGTACTTTCATACATATAAGGAACATAAAGCAAAAGATTAGCTAGGCTGTCTAAATCCGTGGACTTGTCTAATTGCAAAGAATAATAGTCACTGTTCCTAACCCAATTCACAAGCTGAGAAAGAACATTTTCAGCCATATCGGCAATGCAGTGTGACAGTGTCATTGGAGAGGGGTATGGAATCAAGCTTTTTTTTTCTGCTTTTTCACTGAGCATGCACTTCCCCAGGGCCTTCACAGCCGGTATAAGGAAATCTTCTGTAATAGCGTGTGGTTCTCCAGTTTTAGCCACTCTGTAACTCATGAAGTGTGAAGCTCGAAGTGCATTCACATTTTCCACGCAAGAATTCGATGGCAGGATTTTATTGCTTTTTAGCGCTTCCAGTTTGCGATTGAAAAACTGAGCTGGTTTGTCTTTAAATTGATTGTGTTTAGTCTCTAGATGCTGGCGAAGAAGGGACGGGGGCTGAGGATATCCAGCGGCCCCAGTCCACGTAAATCCAAGGTCAATGTAGCTTTCATCAAACTTGCATTTTTTGACGCCCTTTCTGTGCCCTGCTCTTGCTTCCCAGGCTGCACTTGTAACTCATGCCCGGCCTGCGTGGGCACAGCCAACAGCAGTCGGGGAATCAGCTGAAACTGCGGTGGCGCGGGGCTGCCGCTGGTGCCGGTGTGTTGCCCGTTTTGCTGGGCCAGCGAGCCACGTTTTCTCTCGGAACCGGGAGCCTCACACCCCTCGCCTCGGCCCCCCGAGGGCGGCCCCAGCGGGTGAGGAGGCGGCCAAGGCGGCGTGCCTGGCGCTACCCAGGCAGGAAGGACCTGCGTGCCAGGGCGGCTGCCGGTTCAGCGGGCAGGAGAGTAAAGAAAACAGAACAGGAGGCCTCGCGGCACCTCGGAGACGAACGCTTTTATTTGAGCATCAGCTTTCGTGGGCTACAGCTCGCTTCGTGGGCGACTACAGCCTCCCACGCGGGCTCAGTGAAACGCGTTGCCCGCCATTACAGGGGTTTCCTCCTCCACCCCCTGACTGGAGCTGGGGGTACACAGCCCGAGACGCCATTTCGGGAGAGCGGGGGAGGGGCACCCTGGAGCCCCCCCCTCACCGCCCCCGCCCCGGCGCGGACACCGCCCCCGCCCCGGCGCGGACCCCGCCCCCGCCCCGGCGCGGACCCCGGTCCGCAGCTCTGAGGAGACCGCGACGCTCTGACTCCCGCCGCTCTTGGAGACAGAGACGCCGAAGCAGTTAGAAGCCTCCTCATTGGTTGAGCTGGCGGCGGAGCTTCCTGCCTCCCCCATTGGCTGGCCGAACCCGGGCTGGTCGCTCCTCGCCTGGCCATTGGCCGGACTTTGACACGCTCGGCGCTGTGATTGGGCGCGCTGCTGTCGTTATAGTGACGCTGTGGGGGGGGGAGAAAGGAACGTTCGCGGAAGTGAGTGTGGCGGGGCCGCCTGTCCAAAGCGCGCGCGCGTCCCTCGTGGGGCTCCCCCAGCGCGGCTGCCCCCCCCCCCCGCCGCCATGGCCGAGCCGGGCCCCGCCGCCTGCCTGCTGCTGCTGCTGCTCCCGCCGCTGCTGCTGAGCCCGGCCGGGGCCGCCGCCGACGACACCGAGTGGGTCCGGCTGCCCAGCAAGTGCGAGGGTGAGAGACTGGCGGGGGGTGGGTGGAAGGAGGTCGGGGGCACTGAGGGGTCTGGGAGGGGGTTGAGGGGGAGGAGGAGAGTGAGGTACTGAGGGCTCTGGGGGAGGTCAGGGGGCTGAGGGTGGGGGAAGTCGGGGGGGGGTCTGGGGGAGGTCAGGGGGCTGAGGGTGAGGGAAGTCGGGGGGTCTGGGGGGAGGTCAGGGGCCGGGGCTGGGAGGGGGTTGAGGGGGGAGGGAGAGTGGGGCACTGAGGGCTCTGGGGGAGGTCAGGGGGCTGAGGGTGGGGGAAGTCGGGGGGGGTCTGGGGGAGGTCAGGGGGCTGAGGGTGGGGGAAGTCGGGGGGTCTGGGGGAGGTCAGGGGGCTGAGGGGGAGGAGGAGAGTGGTGCACTGAGGGATCTGGGGGAGGTCAGGGGGCTCAGGGTGGGGGAAGTTGGGGGGTCTGGGGGAGGTCGGGGGCACTGAGGGGTCTGGGAGGGAGTTGAGGGGGAGGAGGAGAGTGGGGCACTGAGGGCTCTGGGGGAGGTCAGGGGGCTGAGGGTGGGGGGAAGTCGGGGGGTCTGGGGGAGGTCAGGGGGCTGAGGGGGAGGAGGAGAGTGGTGCACTGAGGGATCTGGGGGAGGTCAGGGGGCTGAGGGTGGGGGAAGTTGCGGGCACTGAGGGGTCTGGGAGGGTGTTGAGGGGGAGGAGGAGAGTGAGGTACTGAGGGCTCTGGGGGAGGTCAGGGGGCTGAGGGTGGGGGAAGTCGGGGGGTCTGGGGGAGGTCAGGGGGCTGTGGATGGGGAAAGTCACGGGCACTGAGGGGTCTGGGAGGGGGTTGAGGGGGAGGAGGAGAGTGGGGTACTGAAGGGTCTGAGGGAAGTCGGGGGCACGGAGGGATGGGGTGTTGAGTGGGATCGAAGGGTCTGGGGGAGGTCGGGGTGCTGACGGTGGGGATGGGGAAGTCTGGGCATCTGGGGGGTGGAGGAGGTTGAGGGATCTGGGGGAGGTCAGGGAAGGAGGGTGGGAGAAGTTGGGGACACTGAGGGATCTGGGAGGGGGTGCTGAGGGGCACTGAGGGATCTGGGGGAGGTCAGGGGGCTGAGGGGTGGGGTGCTCAGGAGGAGGCTAAGGGTGGGGCTGGGGGAGGCAGGGCGAGTGATAGGAGGTAGCAGAGCATGGATAATGGACCCATGTAGATGCTGTAGAGGCAGGACAAGCAATCTGATAGGGTGAAGGGGTCCATGGTATCCCAGGCAGCCCTGGAGGAAAGGAGGACAGCAGTTTCCATGCTGACAGTTGTGGCTTCTGGTGCTTTCTCCAAGTTTCTCTCACTGTGGTTCATAGAGGCACGTTTCCTGTGGTGGGTGGGGAGAAGGCCCAGTGAGAAAAGGGAACTGCTACTTCTTGTTCCAGTGGTCATGGCTCACATTGTCAGATGTTTGGGGGGGGAGGTGTTCTACCATGCAAGGCATTTAAGCAAGAAAGTAAAGGAGAGACCTAACTAATGAAAAAATCCCATGCCTCTGCTGGTGATTGAGGAGAGGGACAAATAGGAATAATAGATTCTGGGGGGTAAGTGTGCGGGGGAGAAGCAGGCCAAAGTATGTATGGTGATGGGGAGGGGGGAAGCAGTGGAGGATGTGGTGTGAAATATCTAGAGATGGGTGAACTGCTTGCTCTGGGTGATGCAGCAGTTCTGGTGCCCCCACTGACTTGAGTGTCTCTTGGTTAGTAGTTGCACAATAGTTCACTAATTTCTCAACCAAACAACTCTGGAATATAAACTCCTTCTCGCAAATACAGTAGCTGGGGTGTCTGGTTTTGTGTGTTGTCTTGTCTATTAAATAATTATAGCGTGTGTTCCCTGAAAACAAGCTCCATGAGGACCCTTTAGTTAGTCATACTTAACTCCAAGCATCTGCTTTTAAAATAGCCCTGCTTGCTGGAAATGGCCTATTCATACCTAAAGCAGGCAAGACCCTTAGGAGGGCAGTACAGTTCAGTGCACCCACTAACCTGCTTCTCTTCTCCAGTGTGCAAGTATGTGGCAGTAGAACTGAAATCTGCCTTTGAGGAAACCGGGAAGACAAAGGAGGTGATTGACACACAGTATGGCTTTTTGGGCGGAAAGGGGTCTGGAATCAAGTACACGCAATCGTAAGTGAATCAATCAGTGACATCCGCTCAGTGGCCCTCTTTGCTGCTCCTCTGGATTAATAAATATCTCCACAAAGAGCACTCACAAGCAGGGGATGACCTGGCCACCTACCATACTTGGGGGCAAAGGTTGCTTATCCCTTCTCCAGAGTTATTCGTGTTGGCAAGATATGATGGATGTTGAGTCCCTAGCAGGGTTTGATGCAGTGGTACTGCTCCACTAGTTACCAAGAATTGCAGATCCAAAGCGAAGTCACGGGGGGTGGTTTGAGCGTAGCCGTGCTGCCCAGTCCTAACTCGGGACCTCTGTCACCTGCAGCAAGCTGTATGGAGATTCTGCTTCTAGCTTTCTGCAGCACTCTGACAATTCTGTGGCAGCTTCATTTACATTTTGAAAGTAGGTTTTTAATTAATTTTAATACCTGTATCAGTCCAATGAGCTTGGGTCACTGCTGCTAAATTCCATTTATCTTGTGCTCTCCCAACACACTCAGTTGTCAGTGTGCCTCAGATATCTGCATTGTAGAAATTGTCATACAAAAGTGGGGTTTCTGTAAGCTGAGGAGGGGACAATTGTGGCTTTGGGCACCTGGGATTGTAGGATAACCATATTAGCTGGATTTTTTTGCTATAGTGGTCAAGGATGAAGTAGTAGCCTAAGTTGGAATTTAAATAATTGTCATTCGACTCCAGAGTTAACATGTCACCGTGAGATCAGTGGTGTGCTCCCTTAGACTTACTTCAGACTCTGCCCGCTTGGGCAAACCTCACTGCACCAGTTACATTCAGTTCACGTTTTCAAGTTTTTCTAGCCCTCACAGTTGAGAAAGAAAGAGAGCCTTTCATGGACCCTCTTCTGTCAGAGGTAGGGCGGTGCCAGTCATCATTGCTGTTAATCTCAATTTTTGTCAAGGCAGTTAGCTCCTCTTGGGGCTGTGCACAGAGACAGTTTGAGTTGAGGCTTAAACAAGATATCCGCCTGCTTCTTAGGTGTTGTGCACAGGGAACCCACTACGCTGCTGCTCAGGGATCTGTACTGGCTGGCAGTATGTTTCTGGGTGTGGTTCAAAGTAGTGACTCTAACCTACAGAGCCCTGAATGACGTGGGCCACCTGTCTCACCCTCTGTGACCTTGTTGTGCCACAATCAGCAGACATGGAGCCCCTGAAGTGTAAATGGGGAAGAGGCTCTTCAAAGGATGCTCTCTGAGGGCCTGTTGACTTTGGAAATAGCTTCCCCACAGCCTGGCTTTGTGAACTTCCCGTCATGCTGCAAAACCCACCTGTCTCGGAGGGGGTGGGGATGCTGATAAATGGACCGGGTTTGTCCAATGTGGGCAGTCATTGCTTCAGGATCACTTGGCAGCTTGTATTCCTGTTGGAGGAGGCAGTTTAATTAGTGTGGGAAGGTATTCATTTTTTAATTGAATGTAATTGTTTTTCAAGACACAGTTAGCTCGAAATCTAGTCACTTTAAGAACTCCAGGGACATTACCTGCCCCTGAAGTATGTCTGCATTGGAGCTAACTCTGATCAAGCTAGCGTGCTAAAAACAGCTGCCCCAAAGATGATCCTGTCCGAGACCCTAGGTGTGTACTCAGGGCAGCTAGCCTGCCGCTGCCATCATGGCTACACTTCTATTTTTACTGTGCTAGCTCAATCAGAGCTATCGAGCTTGACATTACATTTCCAGCTGCAGTACAGACAGACCCTGAATCCCCCTTGCCTACTTCTGATGGTTTTACAACTGCACTCTTCTCTTTAAATGTTTTTCTCCCTGGCCATTATGAGGAAATACAGACACAAAGAGAAGAAACTGGCTATGGTGAAACAGTAAGGCTGCTGTGTACACATGGTGTGTGCTGCACACAAAGGAAACAGTTTTCATTTGCCCTGGTTACAGGTTTTACAAATAACAATAGTGGGTAAACAACTTCAGGCACCAGTGAGATATTGTAAGTTGATGGGGCCCTTTAATTTGTGTCTGGTACCTAGAGTATAAGATTAGGGATGTACGTTAAGTTTGAGCCCTCAAGATTGCAAAGATGATCTGCCAAACATGAATTGCTTGAGTCTACAGCAGGCAGCTCCAGCCTGTTGCTCAGAGCTTTCCCGTGCACTGGATGAGACACTGGTGGTTTCACAGCTACTATTCAGACCTTTGACGGCAAAAATGCCCCTTCTAATGTTAGTTCCGTTCTGCTGCTGCTTGGCAAAGCTCTGGGCAGGAGTAGAGGCTGGCGCTAGCAACATGGGATACGGACCAGAAAGTGAAGGCTGTGATGGGGGTTATGCAGCAGACACACCTTCTCCCCGCACCTCCCTTGCAGTAGCCAGGAGTCTCGGGGAGAGGAGTGAAGTAGTGTAGACCCCTTGCAGTTGCCAGGAAGCCGTGATGGAGGAGCCCATCCCTCTTTCAATAGCCAGGTGGAGGTAGGGGGAGCTCAGGGGTGGAGCCCCCACCCCTTTACAGTAGCCAGGGGCTGTGGAAGTAAGAGGCGGCATCTTTTCCCTTCTGGCACTTGGAGGGAGGCAGGCAGTGGAGTTCCAGTTGATTAGACACCTATCCTCAAGAGGCTGATACCTTCTGAAAGGTGGGGCCTCTAAGCTGGCCCAGGGTCAGCAAGCTGGTGGAAATCCCAGCAGCTGCAGAGACTAGCCATTGCCCCAGCCCCTTCATCTTGTTCCCATCTCTAGCCAGTGGGCTTAGTCCTCGAACTAGAATTTTTCTAGCCCTGTTAATGGACTGTAGCCTTTCTCAGGGAGCGGTACTAAATCCTTCCCCGTTTCACCAGCTTCTCCTCTGGGCAGGGATATCCGATTGATCGAGGTGACAGAGACCATCTGCAAGAGGCTGTTGGACTATAACCTGCACAAAGAGAGAACTGGCAGTAACAGGTTTGCAAAGGTTTGTACTGTTGCTTGTTCCCTTTCACTGGAGCTTTAGTCAGATGCCCCTAGGCCTTGCCTTGCCGAGAGCATCCATGTTTGCGTCCTTGGTCTGCATCTGCAAAACAGACTTCCCAGGTATAGATGTAGCCTCTCTCCCTCCCTCAACTTGTTAGTGTAACCTTCTCTCCATGGCCTTGCTGGTGGGTTGCATGCAACCCAGAATCCTGGTGGGGAGGTGTAGCAGACCTGTTCTCATGGGTGGAGTGGGGAGGTGCTCAGGAAGCCTCCTAGTGTAATGGGTATGTACTGAGTGGCTTCTTCCGCCTCTGGTTTGGGATCAGGTACGGATTAACAATTCCATTTTAAAAGTGTAGGTTGAGATCGCTAACTGCCCAGGTAAACATGCTGCTCCAGTAATGTTAAAGCTAAGGATAGTCCCATCCTCTTGACTGCCCCTTGTGTGTTTGCGTTGTGGCTTTGCACCTGCCACGGTTTCAAGGGAAACAGTGTGATCTGCTATCAGTGTGGCAGGGAAAGCTGTGAAACCATGACTCTTGGAAGGTCTGTGCACAAGGGGGCAGAGCGTCCCAGAGAACCCTTTGGGTTTGGTTGAGTTTGCCTTTCACAAAGACACTTTGTGCAGTCTCAGGGCTGGGCCCAGGGATCATGCCTGTGATGGAAGAGGCAGGGTTCTGTAGAGACTATATCAGTCCAGAGAATGAGCTGGGGCTTTAGCAATGGGAAAGCAAGGCTTCCCTTTCCAAAGGACTGTGGTACTGCTATGCCCTAGAGTCAATCCCCACTGTGACTTTAGGCGTTTACAGTCAGGCCTGTCCCTTTAGCGTTCCCCTCTCCCTCTCCGCTCACATCCAGGCCACATCTGAGTCCTGCCACTGCTTCCTCTGGAACGCTGCTGGAATCCAGCCTTTTCTGCCTATTCGGACAGCCAAGCCTCATCATGGGCTGCCATGGACTGCATCCTCCTTGCTACCCACATTGCACCAGCCATTTGAAACAGGGCTGCTAGGACCATCTTCCCTGGCCATCACTCACACTGTCACCCTTCTATGAGTCCCTCCCCTGACTCCACATCAAAAGCAAGCTGCTTGACCCTTTAGGCCCTCCCACCTCCACTTCACCAGGGATGCGGCCTCTTCCTCTGGCTTGTCTGCTCCTCATGCATAGAATGCCCTCCCCAAACTGAACCAGACAGCCACTGTCCTCTCCTCCTTCAAGTCCTGCATCTAGAACCACTCGCACCAGGACGCTGACAAGGAATCCGCCACCGTGTTCGGCGCCTCGGGGGCAGATGAGGAAAGTCCATGTTCATTCAGTCATGGAAGCACAAACTTTGAACAAGTATCATAGCCTTCCCCCTGCCCACCTCCTCCTCAGGCTGGTCATCTTTGGTGGCATGTTCTTCATGGCCGGGACTGTCTGTCAAGCAACAAGCGTGTTGGGGTCCCAGTCCAGCTGGAGCTGCTGGATGCCATAGAGAGGGATGTGCGGGGGGCAGCAGATAAGGCCAGGCTTTCGCACCCTCCTGAGAAGTGAGCAGGCTGCTCAGCCACTTGCCCCTGAGGCTTCTCCCTTCATGCTGCCCTGGTGCCATGACTCCTGGTGCTGCACCCCCTCTTCTGCAGGGCTCTGAGCTGGCTCCCATGTAGGGGAGCTGTATGAGAGTTCCCCTCTCTCCCTGAGTACAAGCGTTGTGCGTGTGGAACTGGGATTCTGCCTCTTCCCGAAGGTGGGGTCACTCACATTACTGTGTCTCCTTAGGGAATGTCGGAGACGTTTGAAACCCTGCACAACCTGGTGCACAAGGGGGTGAAAGTGGTGATGGACATCCCCTATGAGCTGTGGAACGAGACCTCTGCTGAAGTGGCTGACCTCAAGAAGCAGGTACTGCCCGTGCGGTAGCACAATGTCACTGGGGGCACTAGCGCGGAGGGCAGTAATGGCTGGGAGGCCTGGGATGCAGAGTGGGGGAGATCTGGGAAGACTGGCTCAGGCTGGGTGTGGGTATCGTACTCCAAGAGTTCACTCCAAGAGTATGAGCTGCCCCTCTTTGGCAAGCTTGTCCTGGAGCTGCGCTTGCTCCTCATGTTGGAAGGGGCCCTGGGAGTGGGGTTAGTAGGGAAGGTCTCCTGGTGCTGGACTGTGCTTTCTCTCTGCACTAGTGTGATGTGCTGGTGGAGGAATTCGAAGACGTGATCGAGGACTGGTACAGGCATCACCAGAAGGAGGACCTGGCTCAGTTTCTCTGTGCGAACCATGTGCTGAAAGGGAAAGACACAAGTGAGTTTGACCTCTGCTTGGAGGCCAATGCCCCCTTGTATTTGCTGAGGCAGCACACGTGCTCCAGTGCCAGAGTGATGGGTGCAGCAGAGGAGCATTGAAATGCCGTCTCTGTGTGAGCAGGAAGGGGGCGTGGGGTGGGGAGAGGAAACCTGACCGCCTCACTGCTCCCTTTTCTCCATGATGTCATCCCTGCAGGCTGCCTGGCAGAGCAGTGGGCCAGCAAGAAGGGAGATGTAGCAACCACAGGGGAGAATAAAACAAAGAAAAAGGGTGGCAAGAACAAGAAGGCAGCAGAGAAGAAAAAGAAAAACAAGGAGAAGGTCGAGGAAGCAAAAAGCCACCTGGCCCCAAGTGCTGAAAGGAGCCCTGAGGAGGAGGGGGATATCCAGCCAAAGGCTCCCCTTGCGCACAGCCCAGCTGACGAGCTATAGTCTCTCGGACTCTGCATGCCAATTTGCAGCCCATGGTAGGGACAGCGGACGCTCTGGACAGGTGGGATATTGGATGCGCTCTGGGCATTGCAACAGCCAGTTGCCTCACAAGATGGTGACCCCTTATTTACTGAAGGGAAATAAATGAGAACTCTTCCAACTTATTGCTCCAAGGGCAGCAGCCTGTTCCTGCTGGGTGGAGATCTCGGCCAGTCACGCCGTAGCTAGTCAGCATGACCATGAGCAGTGGTACCACGTTGATCACAGCAGCTGGCAGAGACCCCTGCACACGCAGGGCAGCTGGGCCGGACAGGAGATGCCTCCTGAGTACATGGAGCTTGTTAAACTCCCCTTAGTGCTCCCTAGACAATACAGATCCTGCCTTCAGCGGGAGAGACCTGCTGCCTCTTGCCCAGCGTGGTATGGAAGTGGGAGAAAGGAGGCTGGTTTGCTCACAGAGGAGCCTCTGGCTTTTGCCTACAGCTGCCCTTGGGGCAGGGAACTTGGCAGTGGCTTGGAAGGAGAGTGGCTTCTGCGTGGCCAGCCTGGTGGGTTTCCCACTGAGCGTGCTGGGGTCCCACAATGAGTTATCCTCCTGCTCTGCAAGCGTGCTGTCCACCCCTCTCCCGTAATACCATTCCACTCAGGAGCAGCCACTCCAGCTTCCTGGAAGCCTGTGGCTCGTGCTGTTGCTGCAGAGAGGACCCTTCCCCCCTCTGCTAATGTCCTGTTTCATTTGGTCTAGCGTGTGCTCTCTGTACTAGCTTTCACTCTCCCTGCTGCACTGTGGACAGCAGCTCCTTGCTTTGCAAGGAGAGGATCACTTGTATTTTATGCAGTTCTTTGCTACCTGTTGGTGGTTTCTCTTAAAGTGCCAGTAGATATTAACACTCTCCCTGTGGGGTGCGGGAGCAAGACCCACTACGGCCTGCAGTGACACCCGGATAACTCTGAATGCAGTCTTTGTTCCTCTTGCACGTGCCCAAGAGCCTCCCATCAGCTCTAACACTCATCAAAGCATGTGGGGACCCCAGCCTGGGAGTGGGGTTAGGTCTGGTCCAGTCCAGCCGGGCTGACCTGTGATCTCGGCACTGCAGCTCAGTGAGTCAGATGTCAGTGCACTGAGGTGGCTGCTCTGCTAGAATTAGGTATGTTCCTGAGTGCTCTTTCGTCTCACCAGCTCTGTCATGTGTCATGGAATATTCCTAGGTAGTGAGAGACTCATCGGTCTTACGTTGCTTTTCAGGCTAGTGAGCAACTGTTGGTTCCCCAGGCAGGTCACCATACTCCAGGCACCAGCAATTCCAACTCCTGCCACTTTATCACAGGTCTCCTGGTATTTGTGTGTGTGTGTGTTTTGTGTTGTGTTTTGTTTTTTGTTTTTTTACAACCTCCGCTCGTGGCGTCATGGGATTATGTGAGAATCTCAGCTTTAGAATGAAGCTGTTTCTAGCCCTCTTGGCTACAGGGGACAGCTTGAAAGTGTCACCAGAGTGTTACCTAAAAGGCTCAGAAGTCAGAGAAAACCCCAAATGTGTGGTTTAAAAAAAAATAAATTCTTGTGGGGCTGTTGGGGGCTAGACCCTGGGTTCTGAATGTAGGGGGTTGGCCCTGCCATTTAGATGCAGCACAAGAGGCACAATTGGAAGGAAGCTTAGAATTATTTTTAAGCAAGGCAGTTTTACACCACTTCCTGCTGTGGAGTAATGCAATAGAGTGACTTCAGTGGGAGTGGGGGTGGGTCGGTACGACTGGGCATGGGTGACGGAGAGGAATGAATGAGACTATCTGGCGTGACAAGTTTTTGTCCTTTCAGTTTTGTTCTATTGTAACTGCTGGAGTTGCCGCAACTATACATTTGGAATCTATATGTTGGAATCTTTGTTACCGCAAGCAAGGGACTTGGCATTTTTGGCATTCCAGTTAGCGAAACTGGCCTGAAGCAGCTAAGAGCCTCATGGCCTCCAGCCCTTGCTCTTCTGGAAGGTTATCCTCTGATCACCTTTGTCCTTCTCTCTTCCCCATACAGTCCTCCTTTACAGGTAGTAATGAGCTCTGCAATGGCAGAACCTCTGCCTTTCACCTACTGGGACAGCTGCTACGCCTGTTAATGCTGCCCCTACCAGGCCTACACTAGACGCTTCCAGCACCGACTTCAGCTCTGGGAGTGCTAGCAGAGGCTAGAGCCCTCCTGGAGATGGGCCCAAGGCGGCCAGTGGCCTTGATTAGACTTTCTGAGCAGGCTTAGACAGGGCATTATGTGACAGTGTTAAAAACACCAGCAGGCTGTCAACATGAGGGCTCCTAACCCCTGTGGAATCTGTCCTGAGTGTAAACAGCTCCTTGGAGACAGGAGCACCTCCCAGATCACCAGCACCATTCCTCCAGCACAGCGAGAGGGGCTGGGTATGCCATACAGACCCCGGCATGTACACAGCAGTGAGATGCTGCAAAGCAACCCTTGCCTCTACATTTCCCAGCTCTTCTCCCACTCCGTGGCAATGTAAGACAGTGAAGTGCAGCACCCACGCAGTGAGAAGCAGAGAGATCAGAAGAAAATGCTCTGTGGGCCTTCAGTAGATACAACCCTCCAGTAAAGCTGCTGCTGGAACATCCTAACAAGAGACTCCAGCTCTTCCACAGATACTGGCTTATTGCTTTGTTTCTGACCCAAGCCTTTCACCCCTGTGTTCTAGGTACTTGTCTGGCCTTGAGCCCAGTTCCAGGTGAGGTTGCTGAGCCCAAGGTGAGGCTCCTGGTGTTTGTTTGCACACTGTGTTTGATTCCCCTAGTGCTTTGCACTGGGAGGAGTGTTTGCTGCTTTGGCCAAGATACAGCAGAAGTCTAGTGTTCTTCCCTGACTGCTGCTTAGCAGGGGTGATCGACCAGTTCTGCTCTGCTGCTGTTGTTCCTGAGTCCACATAGTTGTTTACGTAATTGCAGCTCAAGCCTTTCTGTATGGGTTTGTGCCAATGAGTGTGGCGCAATAGGGCAGGCCCTTGCCAGGTGCAGCTCAATGACCCAATGACTGAGGGGGAGACAAAGCCCGAAAGGCCCAAAGGTCCAAGCCAGAGTGACTGCAGCCATTGAGATGTCCAGAGATTGAATGCAGAGGTCTGGAATAGGAGCATGGGAGAGTTTCTCAAATGAACAGGAATCTTAAGACTCCTTATCAAGAGCACTGCAGCAAACTGGGTCTGCCCCAGGAACGATGCAGAGATAGCATCCAGCTGACTTCAGAGCAAACCCCAAGGAATACAAACCCCTGTGCTGAACAGAGGGAACCTGCCTTTGACAGAGACCCAAATCCGTCTGTTACACGGTGGCAGCATTGAGATAGCTCAGAGAGGCTGCAGGGTTTCCATATGTGGGCATGGCAGTGAGCTGGTGCATGCACAGGGCAGGGAAGGCGCAGAAGCTTTATGTCCTACCCGACACAGGACAGTCAGGCCCTGTTTGCAGTTGAGAACAGTGAGGTGCTGAGCCAAAGAGGGTGATGGTACCATCCTAGTCCTCTCCGGGCTGGGCTGGATTACAGAACCCAGCCAGTGGGGACAGAGCAGTAGCTGATAGCCCTTCCCTATGGTGCTCTTATTAACCTCTCATTTTTCTTCCCCTGCCTCCCCAGAGGGCTAGGTTTTTAGATGAGCAGTTGTATCTTAAATGTCTAGGGCCCTGTTGGCTCAATAACCAATGGTCTTGTGTAGACAGTGGCCTGTGATCCTATGTGAATCTGGTTAATGGTCACATAGTTTCACCCTGAATTCACTCTTGTGTGCTATTTGCAGTTATTTTTTAAATAAACTCCAAGTCTGTTAATGGTTTGTTTGTCCTGTTTCCTAAGTATATTAACCCATCCCACCTTCTCTTTCTCTCTCTCTTCCCAGCTGGAATTTAACCTTAATCCATGTTTATCTCAAACATTAGGCAGCTGCAGTTGTGATGCCAAGAGAACAAAGGTCTGAACTTCAGGTCAGAAAGGGGCACCTACTCTGAATTATGGGGATGAAGAGGTGCAGTGGTCAGATGCCAGAATCCTCTGTGTTTCTGGAGTCAAACCCCTTCTTTCTAGATCTGTGGACAGTAGCATTGTGTATAGGAATCTGACTCATAGTTTCCTGTGGGGTGTACGAATTGACACTGATCTAGCGAATTGATTGTAGGGTCAGTGTGAGATACTTGCTAGATCTTCCCTTCATGCAACATAATGAAGAACGCTAATGTGAATTGGACAACTGGGAGATAATGTGCAACCAGAAGTTTCCAGAAGTCCCAGAATGGGACTCTCTGAAGTGTGAGTCTGAGTTGGCTGAAAGCTGTAAACACAAAGAATGGCAAATTAAAAGGGAAAAGCAAAATTGACCAGCCCTCCTCCTGATGATCTATATCTCAGGGGCGTAACCCCTGTGTACTTCACACCTTGCTACAGTGGGCCAAGAAATGGAAATCTCTTCCCAGGGGAAATGGTATTTTGGGAGAAAAGTCCCAAATAGGGACACAAAGTTCCTCCCCCCACCCCGTGTGTGTGTGTGTGACACCCTGTATAGCCCCCCCCCCCCCCCGTGTGTATTCCCCTCCACTTGTTCCCAGTCCCTTGGCTGTTGTCAGGTCTAAATCTTGCCCCTGCGTTCCCTAGCAGAGTGTTAATTAACTTGTCTTCACTCCCTCTCTGTCCCTGACAGCGAGTGCCTGGACTGAGCTGGTAAACACTGCTGGAGGAACTGGGCAGCGAGGGGCCCGGGGGCTCACGCTTGCCCGTGCAGCGTCGGGTAGCTGCCACCAGTCCCAGCTTGGCTCAGCTGCGTGTGACAACCCAGGCCCGGGAAATTTCCAGCCCGCGTCCTGGGAGTGAGAACTTTCCCTTTTCTGGGTCCTTCATGGCTCATTCGCTACGGAGACGAGCCCAGCCAGCCCAGGAGGGAATCCCGGTGCTCGGAGAGCCCTGAGCAGGCTGCTGGTTTATACCCCCCCGCGCCCTGCCAGGGGTCTCCACAGCAGCCCGGGGCGGGGGCGGGGCCCGGGGGCGGGAGGCGGGGCGGGGCGGCCGCGGGGCCCGGGGCGGGAGCCGGCGGGGCCCGGCAGAGCGCGGGCAGGCGGCGGCATGGTGGACAGCATCTACCGGACGCGCTCGCTGGGGGTGGCGGCCGAGGGGCTGCCGGACCAGTACGCGGACGGGCGGGCGGCGCGCGTCTGGCAGCTCTACATCGGGGACACGCGGGGCCGCACGGCCGAGTACCGCAGCTGGCTCCTGGCGCTGCTCCGCCGCCACCGCTGCCGCGCCGTGCTCGACGTGGCCTGCGGCACCGGGTGAGCGGCCGGGCCGCGGGGAGCGGGGCCGGGGCCGGGGCCGGGGAGCCCGGAACGCCCACCCGCTGGGGGGGGGGTGTGAGAGACACCCCGTACGGCCCCCCCCCCGTGTGTGTGTGACATCCTGTACCCCCCCCGTGCGTGAGAGACACCCCGTACCCCCCCCCCGTGCGTGAGAGACACCCTGTACGGCCCCCCCCGTGTGTGTGTGACACCCCGTACCCCCCCCCGTGCGTGAGAGACACCCTGTACGTCCCCCCCCGTGTGTGAGTGACACCCCGTACGGCCCCCCCCCGTGTGTGTGTGACACCCTGTACCCCCCCCCCGTGCGTGAGACACCCTGTGCAGGCCCCCCCCGTGTGTGTGGCACCCCGTACGGCCCCCCCCCGTGTGTGGGTGACACCCTGTACCCCCCCCCGTGTGTGTGAACACCCCGTACGCCCCCCCCGTGTGTGAGAACACCCTGTACGGCCCCCCCCCGTGTGTGACACCCTGTGCAGGCCCCCCCGTGCGTGAGAGACACCCCGTACGGCCCCCCCCCTGTGTGAGAGACACCCTGTACAGGCCCCCCCCCGTGTGTGTGACACCCTGTACAGGCCCCCCCCGTGTGTGACACCCCGTACGGCCCCCCCGTGCGTGGGTGACACCCCGTACGGCCCCCCCGTGTGTGTGTGACACCCCGTACGCCCCCCCGTGTGTGAGAGACACCCCGTACGGCCCCCCCGTGTGTGTGACACCCTGTACAGCCCCCCCGTGTGTGTGAGACACCCTGTGCAGGCCCCCCCCTGTGTGTGACACCCTGTACAGGCCCCCCCCCCCCCGTGTGTGGCACCCCGTACGGCCCCCCCGTGTGTGGGTGACACCCCGTACGCCCCCCCCGTGTGTGAGAGACACCCCGTACCCCCCCCCCGTGTGTGAGAGACACCCTGTACGGCCCCCCCGTGTGTGACACCCTGTGCAGGCCCCCCCCGTGTGTGAGAGACACCCCGTACGGCCCCCCCATGTGTGAGAGACACCCTGTGCAGGCCCCCCCCCCGTGTGTGACACCCTGTACAGGCCCCCCCCCGTGTGTGGGTGACACCCCGTACGGCCCCCCCGTGTGTGTGACACCCCGTACGCCCCCCCGTGTGTGAGAGACACCCTGTACGTCCCCCCCCGTGTGTGAGAGACACCCTGTACGGCCCCCCCCCGTGTGTGACACCCTGTGCAGGCCCCCCCCCCGTGTGAGAGACACCCCGTACGGCCCCCCCATGTGTGTGGACACCCCGTACCCCCCCCGTGTGTGTGTGACATCCTGTACGGCCCCCCCCCGTGTGTGAGAGACACCCTGTGCAGGCCCCCCCCCCTGTGCGTGAGAGACACCCTGTACGGCCCCCCCGTGTGTGTGTGACACCCCGTACGGCCCCTCCGTGTGTGGGTGACACCCCGTACAGCCCCCCCGTGTGTGAGAGACACCCTGTGCAGGCCCCCCCCCGTGTGTGACACCCCGTATGGCCCCCCCCCGTGTGTGACACCCCTGTACAGTCCCCCTGTGTGTGAGAGACACCCTGTGCAGGCCCCCCCCGTGTGTGTGACACCCCGTTCAGCCCCCCTGTGTGAGACACACCCTGTACAGGCCCCCCCCCGTGTGTGTGACACCCCATACAGCCCCCCATGTGTGAGAGACACCCTGTAGGGCCCCCCCGTGTGTGTGACACCCCGTAGGGCCCCCCCGTGTGTGTGACACCCTGTACGGCCCCCCCCCGTGTGTGAGACACCCCCGTACGTCCCCCTTCACCCCCCCGTGTGTGTGACACCCTGTACGGCCCCCCCGTGTGTGAGAGACACCCTGTATGGCCCCCCCCCGTGTGTGTGACACCCCGTTCAGCCCCCCCCGTGTGAGAGACACCCCGTACAGGCCGCCCCCGTGTGTGTGACACCCCATACAGCCCCCCCGTGTGTGACACCCCATACGGCCCCCCCTGTGTGTGAGAACACCCTGTACGGCCCCCCCTGTGTGTGACACCCCCTGTTCAGGCCCCCACCGTGTGAGAGACACCCTGTACAGGCCCCCCCCATGTGTGAGACACACCCCGTACGGCCCCCCCATGTGTGAGACCCCGTACGGGCCCCCCCGTGTGTGACACCCCATACGGCCCCCCCGTGTGTGAGAGACACCCTGTACAGCCCCCCCGTGTGTGTGACACCCCATTCAGCCCCCCCGTGTGAGAGACACCCTGTACAGGCCCCCCCATGTGTGAGAGACACCCCGTACGGCCCCCCCCGTGTGTGATACCCCATACGGCCCCCCGTGTGTGTGCGTCACATCGTGTGTGTGTCACACCCCCGTACAGCTCTCCGTGTGTGTGTGACACCCTGTACAGCCCCCACTGTGTGTGTGTGTCACACCACGTACAGCCCCCCCGTGTCTGAGACCCCCCCCGTCTGTGAAATCCCCGTACAGCCCCACTTGTGTTGTGTGTGTGCACATCCCCATACAGCCCCCACTGTGTGTCACATCCCCGTAGAGCTCCCAGTCTGTCGGATCCCCCTGTGTCTGAGACCCCCCCCAGTCTGTGCAATCCCCATACAGCCCCCTGTGTCTGAGACACCCCTGTGAGTGACATCCTTGACCCCCCCGCCCCCGTGTGTGGGAGCCGCCCATCCCTCTCTGTGAGAGAGCCCCATACAGAGGGGGAACCCCCAACATATGTGTGTGTGAAATCGCTGTATAGCCCCACCATGTGTGTGACCCCCTACCTGTGTGTGTGAACCCTCCCCTACCCTGTAGGTGTGACCCTCCCACCATTGTGTGTTTGCAGGAACTCCCCCTACCCTGTGTGTGTGAGATTCCTCATACAGCCCCATCCCTGTGTGTGCCCCCCCATACATCCCTGTGGTGTGTGTGGGAAAACCCCTCCCCACACACACACACATGCAGGAACCCCTACTGCCCCATGTGTGTGTACCCCCCATACAGCCTCCATCCTGTGTGTGAGTGGAAACCCCTGCCTTGTGTGTGTGACCCCCTGTACAGCCCCACCCCATGTGTGTGTGACCCCCCATACAGCCTCCATCCTGTGTGTGAGTGGAAACCCCTGCCTTGTGTGTGTGACCCCCTGTACAGCCCCACCCCATGTGTGTATGAACCCCTGAGATCGAGGGGACCCCCCCCCGGTGCATGTGAGACCCCTCTTCAACCCCCCCAGGGCCTGAGGGGAACCTCTACACCCATGGAGCCTTATGGGATACCCCCATCTCACGCCATCTGTGTGATGCCCCCAGCCCTGGCGCGCACCCAGGCACCCCGCTCATGTGCCCTGCGGGTGTGTGTCACACTCTTCCTGCCCTCGGCAGGGTGGACTCCATCATGCTGGTGGAGGACGGGTTCAGCGTGACCAGCGTTGATGCCAGTGACAAGATGCTCAAGTACGCCCTGAAGGAGCGGTGGAACCGGCGGAAGGAAGAGGCCTTTGACAAGTGGGGTAGGCACAGTGCCCTGGGGCGCACACTTGGCCACATGCCATGGAGCA